TAGCTCATCCAAAAGGGCATCAGTAAAACTCACCTTCACAGTCCTTGATGTACATTTCCTCGCTACATAGCCCAGAAAGCTCGTAGAGTATCTCGCCGGTGTGGTCGTTTCTGATGGCGCCGACAATGGCGTTGTATGTACCGCTGACCCACCCTTTTAACCTTGAAGTCGATGTCGGGCTGATAACCCTGTCTCTGGGCACCTCACGAAGCTGTGATGTCCGAGCTCGTATTTCATCTTGCCAAACAGAATGCGCGTGGCATACATATTCGGCTGCGTGAGAGTACTAGTGAAAATCATTAGTCTCGGCGGAATCTATCTTCCCGTCAAGATTTGCTCGGTAGCGCTCGCCCTTCGAGAGGGAGGGGGTGGGTTTCTAGAGTTTCAAGGGGTTGGTGGTCGGGAGGGTTTTGGGAGGGGTGGGCACTGGGTTGTTGTTTGTGGGGTTTGAGAGTTGGGTGGTGGGGGACTTGTTGAAGGGGAGGAGGAGGAGGAGGGGAGCGGAGGAGGGGAAGGGCGAGACGAAGGAGGGGGAGGGCGAGGCGGAGGCGGAGTTGGGGTGGGTGATGGGAGCGATGAGTGGGTTGAATAGTGTCGCGGCGATCGTGTCAGGGGTAGGGAGTGAGTGGTTGGTGGTGAGGACTGGGTCGAGGAAGGCGCCGTTTGCACTGGCTGTTGGGGTGTTGGCAGTGGCGGCGGGGGTTATTGGGTGGTTTTGGGTGAGTTGTTTTGTTTATTTTGTTTGTTTTGAACCCCCCTTATGCTATAGGAGATATCACGCGTGATGATGAAGATGGTGGGTGGAGGCTGATGAGAGTAGGATGAGAACTATGGCGAGGCGGCCGAGACGAAGAACGAGAAGGGGGAATCGAAGAGCAGGGTGTGGTCGGTCCTGTCTCACCCACAGGTCCTCGCACTCGGCGCCGCTTCAACCATCTTCGAAGGTTCCATGTACCTCTTCGTCTTCTTCTGGGCCCCGGTTCTGAGGTCGGTTCAGTCCTCGCCGGGCGACCTCCCGTACGGACTCATCTTTGCGAACTTCATGGCTGCAACTCTGGCATCATCATTGGCCTTCAATGCCATTACGCAACGGCAGTTAATGCGGCATACCAGTCTGCTCGTGGCCATCCTGGGGGTCTCGGCAGCCTGTTTCTTCCTGTCGGCGACCCCCAAGTCCGAGCAGTCTGCCTTCTGGGTGTTCTGCCTGTTCGAGGCGGCCGTGGGGATGTACTGGCCGTGTATGGGGTACTTGAAGGGACAACTTGTAGAAGACGGGGTCCGCGCGCAGGTTTACGGCATCCTGAGGATACCTCTCAACATCTTTGTCGTGGTCTCGTTGCTCTTTACCGGAGACGGAGACTCCTATGGGAAGGTGTTTTCGGTTTGCTCCACATTGTTGTTGGCCTCTTCTGGGGCGCTGTGGGCGGTAATGGCGGCTTAGACTTCATCGACGATGCCGGGAGGAGAGGTCAAAGCACGAGTCAAACAGGTCACATTTGCGAGGCGGCATTGCCCCGTCACATATCGGCATTTCCCACCACAGCCAACCGCAATCACCATCACAGTCACCTCGCAGCGGCAGGCGTTCGCCGACCCCGTTCCTCGGCATGCAATGGTAAGCGGAGCTTGGGATTGGGACCTGCAGCTTACTGTGTACTTCGCCGTGCGCCCACGCGGTTAGCAGCAAGCAGCCGCGAATCCAACGCCGTGTTCACCGCCCGCAGACGCCCCTGCCCGCCCAACCTAGGTTTTAACGGGGCACGGCAAGGAGCGTGGGATTGGGGACACGGCGGGATGCGAAAAGGGGGATGGGGGTCTCACCGGTCGACTGGATGTACCCAGCTGTGAATAGCCTCTTGCCTCTCCTCCTATCCCAAGCGAGGGAGCCAATTGACAGATTATAGTGGCAACCCCTGCGGCATAGCAGAACCGCCCAAGTTCAAGTATTTTTGGTCCGATTACGGCCCTGTCCTTGTCCACGAGACGCCATGACGTCGATTGCCCCTGAGCGGCCGTGGGGGTCGCCGTCGCGTTGATCATGGAATTGACCAATGGTTCGCCATCTTTCCCAAGGCGATAAAAACGAGGCATCTCGTGCCTCGGAGAGGTCCGCAAACTCGCAAGGCCCAATTGCTCTTGTTTTGCTTCCCTCGAGTGCAGCAATGCACACTCCGTAGTTCGGCGCCGGCAGGTCAGCCTCAGCCGCTGCCGGGTCCGGAAACCCCACACTCCAGGCTGCCGGGGCTTCCGGATGCTTGCCGAACGGCAGTCGGTGGTGGCCGGAGCGGGTGTCGGAAACCTGGGGCAGGTTCAACCAAACCCTTGCTCGCCGGCACTCGACCTTCTCACCAAAACCGCCGGTTTGTGGGATTTCAGGACCCCCCTGGAACCGTGTGGTGGCAGTCAATAACCTCGTTTAGCTTCTTTTAGCGGCCCTTCGGTGAGCAGTCTGGGAGCCAATCATCACCCAGGGGCGTCCGAATCAAGCCCCTCCCCCGCTCGTGGTGCATGCGCCTATGACAAAGGGGTTTCCGTTTCCGCTTAGCCCCCCGTTTTACCATTCTTGACGACGCATCCGAAGAGTTGCTGTTTGTACGAGGTACAGTCCCGTCTCTAACATAGCAGTCGGGCTGTTTTCTGCTGTTTGGCGGGTCATGTCCTGCCTGAGAGTGGAGCTTCTCTGTCGCCATGTCAGCTTCGCAGGACCCGTGACAGCTTGCTTGCAGGTTCCCTTCGCAGCTGCATTTCCTCCCTTCTTGATCGGGCCGGGGTTGGGAAGCCGAGTTGGAGCGACACGTCAGGCAAACGGTACGGTATCTTGTTGGGATCGATAAAGATCCTTCATAGCCGTCCCCCCGTCCCCTCCCCCACCAGACTTCCCCTAGCTTTTGGTGAGAATTGGGGGTCAGCGTGGCGGTGCATGGGTGCCAGTACAGTCGAGGAAGGGGATCACGCACTGTAAGCCTTGTATCCGATCGCCTCCCGCCCTGCAGGTGCCGCTCCGCTGGGTGTCTGCTGGGTGTGTGTGGGCGCTCGCCGGTGAGGGGCCAAGGTGGTGTGTGGAACTCCAGGCTTGCCGCAGCTTTTACCAAACCCTTACATAACTGCGTCCACATCAAGTCTCGGGTCGAACCCAACTCCGAGTAGTGTCGCGTGACTGATAACAACCACCAACCATTCCCACCTGAACCGAATATGAACGGAGAATATGGCATTGGCCAGCCGTAAAATCCGCAGTGGATTAGAAAAAGGGTGGTCCGTATCAGTTTCACCATCAAGGTCTACTAGAGATCACAAGAAGAATGCCACCGGATCTCGCAGTGTACTTATTTTAACCACGAAACCACGGAGCCGCCGACCAGACCGTGAATGGTAGTAAACCAGCAGTACGCAAAACGAATCAAATAGGTTTCGCCTTGAGAAACTCTCCAATCGTTGTCTGTGACGATCTCGACGAGATGCCGTGTTTCTGGAGGGCTCAGATACGGCGGCCTCAAAAAGTCCCTTGAGTGTAACGTCGGGCGACAACGCTGCGAGTGTCGCGTGCCCCTTGGGGGTCTGTCGGATAACGGTTTGCGGCGAGTCGAAGTTGAGCAACCAGAGAGGGCAGACGATCGGAAGAGAGCAGCGGGCCGTCTGCATGAAATACTCTTTCCGTTCGATCTCGCATCGGCCAAGCCATTGGGATCGCATTTCAACGCCCTCTCGACCGTGCTAGCCACGTGGGCCTGCGTTTTCGCTGCGGAGAACCTGAGGGTGATGCCATCCTTCATCCCACACCCATCACACTGGACGTCCGTCTCGCCTCAGCCACATGGTGAGCTTTTCAGGCCCAAGGAGCTGTTCCCCGCGTGGGCAAGAGCCAATGGGGGAAAGGGTCGCCTGGCGAAGCGAATGCGGCTTCGTCTAACTCGTCGCCGCCCATGAGTAAGCCATAACCACCCAGTTGTCTTCCAACAAGGTCTGCTCTTTGTGGCGTCTATCGATCTGGCTATGTGCATGCCACTAAATAACCACCCTCGGCAGGGGCCATGGTCCTGGCTTGGAGAGATCGAACCAGACCTCCGGTATCTGCACGTCATCGCCGTTGACGTGTAACAGCAGTTTCTTGGCCACCCCTTCGTTTCACGCCGTCACTTGGCCTCTAGCTAACGAGAAGCTCTATCTCGAGAGGAGGCTATCGCAAGGCGGAGATTATGAGGGCTGACGTCAGTGGCACTTGCACTGCACCTAGATGGACTGGACTCGCCATCCAGTCGACATGTCGCAGACTTGGGGAGTTCTGCCTGCCCACAGTTGTTACTCAACGGTGACTTTTGAAAGAACGAACAGATTGAACCAAATGAGAACCCGGCTGACCTGTCAATGGCCGAAGAGTAAAACCTTAAAAGGGATTGACGGGAACGCCAGGTAACGAGACAAGATCGGGATGAGACAAAAGAAGAAAGACAACAGCCAGCCAAGCCCGGGTCTGTGATTCGCAACAGACTTTCACTTGAAGTTGATGCGGCTTGTTGATTGTTAATCTAATTGGTGGAATTCAGCAACAAGATGCTTCGATCCGTGGGGAAGCTGCCGAGGTAATCGCTGGTAAACATTTCCGAACGGCGGTCAGAGAGGTCATCATGTTTCCGCAAATTCCAGAACCGAAAAGACCGCCGATGGCTAGGCTCGATGTTGATTGAGAGTGGGTGTGTGGGTGGGCGCAAAATGCTTCTGAAATTGAAAAGCGTGGGGGTCAATTAATGAATGGATCGAGTCAAAATGTTTGGTCATGTGTTGTGTTCCGATGTGGGTCCATTCCTGGTACGGTACACGAGAGGGAAGGGACGATCAACGGTGGCCAGAACCGAATGGAAACAAAACTTCGAGGAACTAAGGTACCTTAGCCAACCGTTTTGAGAAGGACGGTCCTTCCACGATAACATGAGCGGCATTTGTGCTCTCGGCACTCATTCTTTATTTATCAGTATACTCGGAACTCCGTGGTACATCGATTCCGAAAATAGGACTCGAGTCTTTGACCGATTGCTGGAAGTTGCACCCGAGTCACACGATCTTTTTGATGTCAATCCGCATGCTGGCCGACGAGAAGAGGATCCCCGGGATCTGCAATGGACACAGTGAATGCCACAGTACATCCACTTTGCACTATTGAGATAAACGGCAAGGGCCATTGGGACAAAACAAAAGTGAGTTCGCCAATCTCACAAGAAGCAGAGAGCAGAAGCATCAAGGTCTGTAATAGGTTGACCTTGTGGTGGAGGCTTTGCGTCGAGAAATTTAGTCCAAGGAAAACGAGAAGCCACACTGTCTTGGAGAGAGAGCCGCAACCCCGGAATCCCAGTTTCAGGTACCGCTGAAGAGCGGGATGGCGCACTGACCAGCGCTCTAATTTCAGACGAACCCGGGAGAGAGCGGGGGGGAAATTCCTCACCCACACAAAAACCTGGGATTTCCAAATCGGGGCCTCGAACGGAGTCGACTCTCCACCATTGAAGTGGATCTCGCGATGTCTCGTTCGGCTCTTCTTTCTCACCTCCTCACGAAGGATTTCCCCTCACGGAGCAATGCTACATTGCTACGCTTGTCCAATATCAGCCCGATCTCCGCTCCACCTAAACACGACCAGTTCGAGGAAATAGCAACATGGCGCGAACAAGTCACCCTTGCATCAGAAAGCAGGACTGGAAGCAACGTCGGTCAGACAATTACATACGCAGGTGCACTCAAAGCCTTCATGTGGCTGAGTGGTCCGATGGTCATGTCGAGACCATGTCAAGACCGTGTCAGGTGCCCCTCAGCAACCCCTCACTGCCCCTCCATGCGCCTTGTTGCTCCCCAATGCCCAAAACAGCCAGTCGCAGCAAATCTGAGCTGCGACGTAGGGACATTGGAGGCCGCCGTTCTCGCTGGATATTGTTTGACCCCTTCGTTGGCAAAGAGCCCTTCGACGACTCATTCGCGCCAATTGGCCCCTCCACTAGGTACCGCCAATGCTGGCCAGTCAAGCACCTGCGGCCCCTCACGCTACTGCCGTCCTTTCCGCACCTCCTCAACTACCGCCCTTCCCGTCATCTTGTCGTCAATAGGAGGGTAGGGTGGGAGGGGCTGGTGTTGTCGTTGTTGTGGGCCAGACCTGAAGATGCTGTCACTACCTCACGGGCCACTTGTTCGATTCTCGAGCATCGACCGGCCTTCATTCACGAATTGACAATTGCAACGCAGTCCTGCTGACGATCCTCGTTTTCTGTTCCTGGCGAACCAAACCCGTCAGCAGACCAGTATATCGGTTGCCCCCTGCCAAACAGTACTACCGGACGTTGGCCGAATCAGGTGTTCCGGTCTGCACTAGCCGATGGGCTGGCAACGGCACACCAACCGAGGCTCTCGACACGGCCTTATATCCGGTCCCAAGAACGGTGGACCCATGGCAGCGGCTCCTGGAATACCGGGGAAGGAATCGGGCACTGACGCCAGGCGACAGTTCAGCCGCGTCGGATCGACACCTTTGTTCTATGGATGTTAGGCGGGCGAGGCGGTGATGCAAGGGGACTGATGCCGGGATCAAACCAACGCCGGTCACTCGTCGACCAGGCGGCGTTCCTTTGATTTTGGCACGCCCAGTTCTCGGCGAAGCCGGGCAACCTGACAGAGATATCAAGCAGCCCGCTGTGTGCTGAGGTCGCACACATTCACACGAGGCTGCAACAGCAGCACATCGGTTAACAAACGGGGCCTTCCAGAGAATCACCACGACAACGCTCTGCAAACCGCGCTCCGCGTTTTTGAGTGTGACAGGACATGGAGATGCCAGCCGTCCTTCTACCTCAAGCCGTCTCGCGATGGCCTCAGGCCGTCCCGACTCCCGGCGACATACGTGGAGTTCAAAGAACCTGCCACATGTATATCAGAATTAAAACTGACCGATGCGCCGAGGGCAGCTGATCATGCAATGGCCATTAGCTCCTTGGTGTAAGCGCAAACAACAATCAGTACTGCCAATCATAACTCGAGGGGTCCGCCTAGAAGAATTCTGGGGCTCCCAAGTTATTCGAGGCGGGTTCGGGGCTGGGTATCTTCCCGGGGCGTAAAACACAATGCCCTACGTGAATAGGGTCGAATAACACCATCCTGTTTCCAAACGACGTCCCCAGCACCAAGCAGGTTTCCAGTTTCCCCTGCTTCCCATCTCGGTTTAGCTTGCACCACGCCTTGGCTCGGGTCGTCTTTCGATCTCCCAGCTCAACCCCCACACTCGGCATCCGCTGATCCAGCACCAATCCCTGCTCCCCGCTGGGCCCAGGCAAGGGGGCACCCCCGGATTTGAGAGCCTGGCCCGTTCTGGAGCCCGCACTGTGCGCAGGTACTCGGCGCGCCAAGGACAGTGACGGCTCCAGCACCCTTGTCGACGACAGAAGGTGGGCGCGGCGACTTCGCCTTCCGCCCAAACTGTGGGTGTTGATGTTCTTTGAGAACTCCTCGGGTCGACCGTGACAAGTACCAGAGTACTTTGGAAAACAAGCCGTGAGTCGTCGCCGCGCGCCCGGCGCCATCCTCGGCCCAAGTTTCCAGCGAGCTTCCCTTCGCGTAAAACGCCACCGCTCTTCCATCCAAGGGGTCCAACGCAACAGGAAAAAGAAAAATACACCGGTACTTCGCAGCTTTGGGTGTGTCGAACCATGTCTTGGTCCTTGCCATCCATGACTGCCATTCCCTGCCTTAAACTTTCTGACCCCTGTCTCTGGGACTGCCCTTCAGCATGTCCGTCATTCCACCTCCGAGGCGTCGTGTATACAAATACGCTCTCCTCCTCCCCCCCCAAATTCCCGACATCGTCTCCCTCATCTTCTATACACATATCACAAGTTCTTCCAAGCACCGTCGGCTCTTCTCTTTCCCACATCCCAACAAACCGCCGCCAACCATCCTTATCTGACACTTGTCATTCACCATGTCTCCCCACAACGACGCACCTTCTCCCAGCGGCAGCTACACGGCGGGCTTCAACAGAATGCAATACCCTTCCACGGTCACATCCAGCCTCATGACAGGGCACCTCAACGCCATGGAACCTCACTCCCCTCTCAGCAGCTCGTACAGCACCACCTCAGAAAGCTCAGACTTCCACATGGACCGACCTCTCGTGCCCGGCGTCTACGTGCCGACCATGTGCTTCTTCGACGAAGACACCGAAGATGTTGACACCGACGCCATCGCGAGCCACGCGGTCCGCCTTGCCCGCGCTGGCGTCACCGGCCTAGCCACCCAGGGCTCCAACGGCGAAGCCGTCCATCTCACCCACTCTGAGCGCCAGCTCGTGACCGCCACCACTCGCAAGGCCCTCAACGAGTCCGGCTACGCACACATGCCCATCATCGTTGGCTGCGGTTCGCAGAGCACACGCGAGACCATCCAGCTCTGCCGCGAAGCCTGGGAAGCAGGCGGCGACTACGCCCTCGTGCTCCCACCCTCCTACTACGCCCCGCTCTTCGCGCCCGCCTCGGAGACCATCACCTCTTTTTTCACCGCCGTGGCCGATGCCTCTCCCATCCCGATTGTCATTTACAACTTCCCGGGCGCCGTCGGCGGCCTCGACCTCTCCTCCGACACCATCCTCCGCCTCGCGGAACACCCCAACATCGTCGGCGTCAAGCTCACCTGCGGCAACACGGGCAAGCTGAACCGCGTGGCCGCCGCCACGCGCAAGCTCGCGGGACCGGCCTTCAACCCGGCCAAGCCAGACTTCCTCGTGCTGGCGGGCTCGGCCGACTTCACGGTGCAGTCTCTCGTCGCTGGCGGGCACGGCATCCTCGCCGGGCTGGCCAACATCGCGCCCAAGGCGTGCATCCGCACCATGGAGCTGTACGGCCAGGGCAAGCTGGCCGAGGCCCAGGCCATGCAGGAAGTCGTCGCGCAGGGCGACTGGACGGCGATCCAGGGCGGCGTCGTGGGCGTCAAGTCTGGCCTGCAGGGGTGGATGGGCTACGGCGGCCACGCGCGCAGCCCGCTGCCGCGGCCGAGCGCAGAGCAGGCCCGCCAATGGAAGGAGGGGTTCAGGGACCTGGTCCTCCTGGAGAAGAGCCTCTGAGTAATTGAACGCTGTAATGACTTTGGACGCTTTTACTAGTGTTTTGGGTTCATCGCATGGGAAGGCCGCCCGTGGATCATTGGGGGCCCGGGGACGGGGACGGGGATGGGGGAGGGGCATGGACAACGGACACGGACACGGACACACATACTGCGGCGTTTCGTGATGGAAATCATGGAATGGGGGAAACAAAAGAGATAGAAAGTCCTATCTCTCGGCGTTGCGGGACCAAAAACCAAAGGAAACATGGGTTTCAAGGCATAACTAGTATTTTATTCTAATGCACACCTCTCTTCATCACATTTGCTACTCCTTTGGGTTGGGCAGCTTCCGATCCACAAACGAGAAGGATCATGCTTCATACCTACGTCTTACCCTCTATCCCAAGAAGCCGGGAACTCCATCTGCCCTTTCCCGTACCTGAGACGCGTGTCCCCGTTGCGTTGATGCCCGTGAGGCAACTTGTGTTGGTCTCGGCCCATGAACATTGATTGTCTTACTTACACAGCGCACAACGTATGACAGCTTGCGAGGCCATTTTCAGTGTAAAAAGCGCGGCCGGCGCCGAGCCGGCGGGAGCACACGAGGCTCGACCGTTGCGAATCCGGCGACAGGTGTTCGAGCGAGCATGTGCGCAATATTCTTCCTCTCCCCCTCGTGTAGCGAGCCCAAATCACACCCCTGCAGCCTTTGGGTAGCATCACAGCACGATCGTCGGTCTCCTCATCTGCCATGGCGCAGCCTTTCTTCCTTATGGGATAGTTAGAAGGCCTCGTTTGCTCTACATAGCTACCTTCGGGGCTTTGAGAGCGTGCAAGTGCTGACAGGGTGCCGCAAATACTTGGCTCCCTCCCCGGTCTCGCTCCGGCTTGACTCTCCCTGGCGTAAGCCACTTCGCTCTGATACGGTGAACCAAGCTGCCACGTCTCGCGGGTGTCTCTCTTGTGGAAGCCGGGTCGCCCGATGTGGGCCGTTTTCGGTTCCCGGAACCTGGGCCGGGGTGCGCCACGGCGCCGTATGTACGTGCATCTGTATTAGGCATGTACATGTACATCCGAATCGAGTCCGCTGCTTGCTCACACAGTGGTCGAGGTACCTTACTCGCGTGATTTTGGGAGGGTGAGCAGGGAAGGGCGGCAAGGGGGTGAAGAACCGCAGAGCCGGGTTAGGCGCGATTGGAGGCGGGACTTCCCCTCTGGCGGACACTTCCGGTCTTGTGAACCCCTTGTTTTCTGTTGGCTGCGGCGGCAAGCTCCCATCAAAACAAGCCCCTGTCGTCAACATCATCGCCGATGGGCGGAGCTGAATACAGGACTGGGCCTGACAGGTGGGGGTTCATCAGCAAAGAGGTTCCCAGCGAGTGCTCCAAGACGAGTGCTCCAAGACGAGTGCTCCAAGTCGCTGGCGAGGACAGACCGCGCTCTCTCAAGCCCAGATGAGGATACGAAGTGCGACCACTAAACACCGTTGTTGCACGCCGATGATTACGAACAGATGGGATGTGTAACGGCACCAGAGTTCCAGAGCTCCAGAGTTCCAGACCCCCGATCAGAAATTGGAAAACTGAGGATCTACCGTTCATTGCTGGGCCCGGGAGAAGGTGCAGTTCAGGCCTCGTGGAGCAAGCTTTAGTGCAGATCGTGGCTCGTGGTTCTTCGTTCCTTCCTCTAATTCTCATCCAGTTCGGTCCGAGTACAGTTCCTTCAACCCAGAGAATTAGCCGAGGGAAGGCACGATGTTTCCCGACTTATGGGTCGAGGCCCGGACTAAACTGAGCAGCAGGACAATGCAGGAAGGTGCAAACACGAACCCCCACGTCAGGCACATGGATGGAGCGCGAACTCGATGAAAAAAAAAAAAAAAAAAATCGAATGGAGCTTGGCAAATGCAGTACCCGACTGCTTTTGGGTCCATGTCAATCCCGACAGGAATCGAGACTCCTTGGGCCAAACATGGAAGACACTGTTACTCTTACCGCCTGTTTCCTCCACCAGCTCCAGGGCCAACCCAACCCCGTCGGATGTCGACCAAGATACCTTACGTACCAAGTTGTGTGTACATGCCCATTATTGCGCGCAGCTCACGAGGCCCTGGAACAAGCCTGGAAGCTTTTCTAACCCCCACCAATTCTGCAGCTCATGCTGCAGGCCGTGGAACTACTGACTTTTCGGAGTCTCGATAACCGTATTGTTCGAAACGGAGAGTCGCAATTTCTTCAACACCGGGCGGGCGGATCAGGAGGGAAAACGTTCGAGGTAGTCGGGTATGTTACGTCGCCAGTTTCCGTCGAGGTCCCAGCCGCTCACTGCCAGAAGGCCCTGTGTTCAAGGGTCACAGAGTTCGTCATATTGTTACAGATGGCCCTTCGGAAATGGGCTTCGGTGAATGCGAAATCCAGGGCCTGTCCGACAACTTTTTGTCGTCATAAAATGGCCAGACCGTCTATCGCCGGTCCGTCACGTTGGCATAGTGCTTTCTGACCCCCGCTCTCCTCATCGACCCCCAATTCATGCCTGACAAGGCCTATAGCGCCGGCGGATATCACGGTGCAATATGTGGAGAGCTGCAATTTGCGTCACCGCAGCTCTCTCATGGGCGGGGGTTCAGTCAGCGCCTGCCCCTACTGCTACCCCTTTTCCTGTGGTCGGGGCCAAAACCGGCATCAACAAAAACACGGGGCAAACGCCGGCGAGACTCAACATCAACACGCTATGGGCACGGGGAGGGCCGCAGTGGTAACACCCACCCGCACCAGACTGACGAACGTCCCAATCTGATTTGCTCACAGGGATCTCTACGTACTCGCCTTGTCAGAGCTCCAGGCCATGAACGAAACCGATGAGCTTTCCTACTTCGGAATCACAGGTATTGATGCATACCCCTTGCGTTGGCACTTCCCCAACCGGTTAATCGTCTACTGATAATCGACCAGGAATTCATGGATTTCCTCACAGTGCGTGGAACGGCGTCAGCCATGTAGATGGTGCCCCTAACACGGGATTCTGTCCTCATGGTGTATGTGTGCCTGATGCCTGATATGCCACCCCCTTAACGTCCCTCCAGCTGACCATTGGCGTCAAGGACCTTCTGTTCGTTACCTGGCACCGGCCATACGTGGCACTTTTCGAGGTTTGGGCATAGCCCTTGCAAACCGGTGTGATCGACGACTAATATTCTCGCAGCAAGTTCTGGTCTCTCACGCCGTGAGACTGGCCGGAGAGTACCCTCCGAACCTTCAGCCCGAGTATGTAGGAGCGGCTCAGACTTTACGACAGCCTTACTGGGACTGGGCGGCAGATTCTACTCTGCCTCCTGCCACCTATGCAATCAATGTCACCGTCAGAGCCCCGTGTGGCGTGATAGAAATTGCTAATCCTTTACGCGGCTATCGTTTCCAGCAGTTGCCCCTCGAGTCGAGTTTCGGCGGCTTCCTCGCGACATACCCCCAAACCATCAGATGTCTCGGCAAAGGTGATCTTCTCAGCAACATTACGGCATCCAATGAAGCAATGGTCTTGGCAGCAAAGGACCTGACCACCGATGTTGTAAGTCAGCCAACAAAAAGCCTCATCTTGCGAGACCCGTCAGACCCACGGTTGCCCTGTAAATATTTTGGCCGCGGCTAACGAGGGATAGTATGATATCTTTGCCAGAGAGAGGACCTTTGACAGCTCCGGCTGGCGCGTTTCAAGCCTCGAGTTCCCCCACAACCTGGTTCATGCACTGTCGGTCTGCAATGGGACCTTTTCGGACATCAACTGGGCGGCATTCGACCCCTTGTTGTAGGTTGTTCAACCCCAAACCTGGGGACATCCAAGCTGATGCGAGCAGCATGTTGCACCACTGCAACGTTGACAGACTCGTTGCGATGTGGCAGGTGATTCACTACGAAGAGGACATGTTCACCAACAAAGGAACTTCTACCGGCCAGTACGGGACCATCGAAAGCAGCATTGTCACGGCAGACAGCCCCCTGAAGCCCTTCTTCGACGAAAACATGAACTTCCTTACAAGTAAATCCGTCAGGAATATCACCACCTTTGGGTACACGTACCCCGAAATGCCCAATTGGAAGATGTCGCCTGAAGCGCGTGCCAGTTACGGCAGAGCACAAATAAACTCACTGTACGGAGAAAAGGACGACGATCTTAGGTCGGCACGCGCTTTGAAGGGGGCAGGATATCCCGTGAGTAGGGGTTACTACACCGCAGAAATCACGGTCGACCGAAGCGAGATACCCCTTCCAGCAATAATATGTCTTGTAGCTGCCCAGTCGGTTATTGGGCGGATGTCCCTGCTTGCTGTCCCCCGTACCGGGGTGGCCTCAGCCAGCCTGCCACTCCGAGAAGTGCTCGTTGGGAATCACAGTATGAGGGATTTGCCCCCGGAAAAGGTGGTTTTGTTTCTTCAGGAGGAGATGACCACTGAGATACGAGGAGTAAGTCTTTCCTACACAACCCCACCCCCTTTCCCCAAAAAGGACGCGTGAGGCGGAATCGGGCACGACGATTCTTGGTTCATGCTGGATCCTTGCTGATGTTACTTCCAGAGTGATGGCCGCCAGGTACCAGTCACCAGGGTGCCCAGCCTGCATATTCAGATCACGAGCATGGAGTACATACCACGGGCTAATGACTCAAGTTTCCCCGTCTTTGGGAATGCCCAGAGATGGCCGGCCGAGGTGCGCTAGCATCGGCATTGATGGTGTTGTCAGGCGTCAATTTCTTGCTGTTGTGCTACCGCATGGCGGGCTTCTGTGTTCTCGATGCGCTCGTTTAGAAAGGGTTGTCTTCTTCCGGGTTGGTCCATGCCTGGTGTTCTGTGTAACGGCGGGCAGCTCGCACTACCAAGAAATAGGTTGAGGGGTTCGGTCACGGTGTAAGAGTGGCGCGATGGCGAGTGACGTTTCTTGTCTGCGGTTGTTGCTTATGGTGTTGCTGATATAATTTGTCATGGAATGGGTGATTTAGATGGGGGGAGCAATTAATATGGGATGGAGTTTGTCATGATGCAGACCCCCACAGGCCATCCTAGGGTATCATATCAGAACTAAGATCAAATATTTCCTGACGTCTCGAGCTCAGTAGCCACCAATATCGCTCTTGGCGTAGGGCTGCAACGCAACGCCATTGCCAAAGTGTTGCTGCCTTCCTCTACGGCGTTGCCTTGAATGGAGGACAAGTTGGGTTTGAGGATAGTTGGAGAATTGTCTGGCGCTCGGCGCCCAGATGTTGATTGTCTTGCGAGGCGAGTGGACGTGTCATGGAACGGGAAAAGAGTACTAACAGCAAAGTTGAGCAACGTACAGACCATTTATCAACTACACCAAAACCATCATCGCCCATTTCCCGGCAATTTCTGCTGAACATGGCCCGAGATTTATCACCACTATTCTTTGAAATAGCTACCTCAGGAGTCCTTGTGCTAGGCCCTGCCACTTCCACACAGGCCCCGATCCACGAATGGCCCCTCGCAGTCATCACACCTCTTGGACCACCAACCCTTCCGGAATCCGGCGGCGCCAACAGACAGACCGGCCAGCACACCTGACTCGAGCGGTGAGTGTTGTCTCTAGGTCTAAAAAAGAAAAAAGAAAAAGAAAAGAAAGAAAAGAAACCAACCAACACTTTAAGTTAAAAGTCAAGCCTGGATCGGACACAGCTCGGCGAACGGCGGTGTGAAGCATCCAACATCACCGGCATAAGGTCTCAATCAAGCAAGTCCTTTTCACCTCTCGGACCCGAAAAGTCTTTCTAACAGCCAGTTAGTCTTTGACAGACCAGCGATGTCCCTGTTCAGAACGCCGGAGTTTGGCGGAGCTCGAACGAGTCCGACAAACGGCTGCGGGGCTGGTTTAGGAAGCTGGTGCCGGAGCACCGGGCCGTGCCAAGCCGGAGTGCCAGGTGTTGGGCCGGATGAACTTCCGGACTTGGTTTCGGATGTTGGTCGGGCAGATAAAAGCTTGTATGTTGCATGTGGCGCCGCTGCAAGGGTTTGGAGATCGGGATGCCCCGGTTCTTCGGGTCCTGTTGGTAGTTAGCTTGTGTCTGTTGGGTTGCCACACTTGAGACAGGGACAATGGGCTGGCGGCCATGCGGGATCGGTGTCTTAGGTTTAGAAGCTTTCACCTCCTGGCTGTTTGGCTGCCGTCAACAACGGCGGCAACCGCCCCGCTTGGATTCTAGGAGCACACATCAGTTGAGTTTGAGGCAATGACTGGCGAAGTCATTTTGGTGTTGTGGTGTAGTTAATAGACGAGCGTTTAGCTTTATATGCTGTGGGGTTGAGTGTGCTGCCAACCAACCAGCTACGGTGGATGATCACATCCACAAGTCTTCCGTAGTATAGTGGTCAGTATGTGAGCTTGTCAATGTTGGCATCCTCCTTCATAGCAACGCTCGAGACCCGGGTTCAATTCCCGGCGGGAGAGACCTTACTTTTTCCATTTCGTCATCTAGACGGAAACTTTGAATCCTTCTTCATTTTTTTTGCCAAGTCCGGGTCCCAAGTCACGCACCAGCTGCCAAAACGCGACGAGACCAGCCGAAACTGAGCCATCGTTCTGCCAAGCTGCAAGGTCCTTGTGATTCTGACGCATCCCCACGAGGTCCAAAATCAAATGTCTCAGTGCGACGGGCAACGGCGGTCAATCGCCGTCGTGAACTCGCCGACGCTGTTTGCTGGTGATCGTCATTTTGCCGTCCAGAGATGCATCCCGGTCGTCGCATGGCCGAACCCGGAAGAGTCAGCGTAGGTCGTCATCGGCGGGCCCGAGTGGCGGCAAACATCCGTTGGGGACCGAGATATTCATAGCATCATCAATCAATGGTGGAGGAGAGTCACGCCAATCCTTACAAGTGCCGAACCCGAGGTCACCTCTCGGCGGATTCCGCTCGTCTTTTGCCTCCACCGCCCGGCGCCGCGATGGATCGATACGAATGCCCGCGTGGTGTCGAGTTAGTGCCCCACCGCTACCCACCCACCGTTGCTGACAACGCAGTCCGTGTTTGGGAGCCCTCTGGCGACGCCGAGGGGGTTGGGAGGGGGCTTGGACTGATGAGACAATCATGCCTGGTGGCTCGGAGTTTGGGATGGAACGTTGCGAGCGAGTTATCTGGTGGTGCTGATGGTGAGTGAGGTTCGGCGCCTGCACGCTCCGTTGATCCATTCATCTATTCGCGCGATTGAGTTGAGGGAAGAGACGTGAAACCGGAAACTGAACGGAGATCTTGAAACTTCGCTACCCGATATTGCTCTGCTTGCTTGAAGACGCTCAGATGGGCGAACTTGCCCTGTTGAGAAAGTGACCGAGAGGGAGGATTTAACTTCTTGGCTGGTGCGGTCTCCTGTTTCAGGGGCTCGAGGAGAAACATCAGTGGCCAGCGCGCATTCGCCCAGCGATTTTTGTGTGCCCAAACTGGTGGGCTGTTTCGGCGGCTGGCAAATGGTCGTGGGGGTGAGGTGCTGCAGCTGGCGGCCGGCCAACCTCCTTTCCCCGCGGGCCGATTTGCATGATCCTCATGCTTTCCGGGTCACATTCAACGGGGCAACCGGGCAACAGGCCTCACTGGGCAGGCGCTTGACCGGATCAGCGGCAGGCTCAGGGGGTTTCTCTCCCTCTAGATTGGTCCGAATTTGGAGGACCCCTTTTTTGTGGTTGGAGATTCTGCGGCCGACTGTATGTAATCTGTACAGATGTGCAGTCGTGCGCAAGCGCGATATGATAGCGTGGAACCCCAGTTTGAAATGAGACATCCAACTGTTTTTTAGCTTCCGATTCTGACCTCGCCCGAAACATTTTGTGGTTTTATGGGGTGATAGATTTTGCTGGTAAGCGGAGCTCCACGAAGCCATGCATTCGGCGTTGGGACACAATCCGAGAGCAGAAGACCGAAAAAGGGAAATGAGGGCCAAGCCCAACTGCCCCCCAACATGGAAAATACCAGCGCTTGGCTCGATGTGGCTGCCAATAGCCCCAACTGCCGTAACGATGGCATATGCCATCCGCACACGTGTAATCCGTAGCGCTGGGCGAGCAAAGAGGTAAAAATAGTTACACGAGCTTGAGGCTGAGTTCTTGCAGCAACGCGCGGGCACTGCAGACGAAGCACAGCATCAGGCCTCGGGATCTGGCCACTGGAGATCTCGCCGTGTTCCGGGGACTCGGTGCAAGATCCAAAGTTCAAACACCACCACGGTTATCGGCAAAACCTTCGTATTTTTTCGGCATTATTGAATGTGCCCATGCATTACGCCTAGATTGCCAAGCGAAAATTTCACAGTGGCCCTCAACCGCGACACTGCGGCGAAGGTTCCAACGTTATTTTCGCATGCGCCGCATGGTGGGCAGACAGGCTTGGCAAGATATCCCTGCATTGCCAAGGTCCACAAATGCAGAAGTGCGTGATCTGATTTGCTAGCCTGACACGGTCGCCTGTTCAGCTTGGCGGCTCTGGCAGGTGACATGACTGTGAATTTCGTGTATTTCCGATGAGGAAGGCTCAAGGCTGCAGGGTCTGGGCATCCCTGGGCAGCCCCAGACCCCAGGGGGCTGGTCCACTTTGGCAGGGAAGACAGGGAAGTCAACACGAGAGGACCCCTGGCGAGACGGGGCCGAAGGAGCCACTGTCTTTGATTGAAAGCGCGATGGGGCCCGGATCGCTGAACACCTGTTGATCTCGCTCCTCTTTTCCCTGTCCATCTCACACCACCGCAACTTCCTGCCCAGCCAGATCAGCCCCGAATTCGTGGCGTTCAATCGCTTCTTCTGTCTCTCGTTCACTGCCTCGCTGGCACTATTTTTCAGATTTAATAATACACCTACACTCGCTTCGGTGCGCCGTTGACACTGCCTCCTTAATAACCCGCAGATCCCACTTCGTAGATCAATCAACTCCAAAATACACACAACACTCACCGCATCCTGACTTGCACAACTCAACACACAAAAAAAAGAAAAGATGCTCTCCAAGATCTTCACCACGGTGGCCCTTGCGGCCTCGTTGGTCTCTGCGCAGACCTTCACCGAGTGCGACCCCACCAAGCGTGGTGAGTACCCTATCACCGCTACTTGTCGCTCTGAGACTTTGGCGTCTTGCTTGCATTAGCAAGTTGTAACTAGTTCGCGCTAACATGAATGTTTCATAGATGGCTGCCCCAACCCCAAGGCCGTCGGTTCCAAGGTTGTCGACATCGACTTCCGCAAGGGCGCCAACAGCTTCTTCAAGCCTGCCGATGGCACCACCCTGAAGTACGATGACAACCTCGGCGCCATTTTCTCCATCTCCAACGAGAAGAACGCGCCCACCATCGGCTCCAAGAAGTACATCTTCTTCGGCCAGGTCGATGTGACCGTGCGCGCTGCTCGTGGCGTCGGTGTCGTTACCAGCTTCGTGCTGCAGTCGGACGACCTCGACGAGATCGACTGGGAGTGGCTCGGCGGCGACGCCACCCAGGTCCAGACCAATTTCTTCAGCAAGGGTTGCACTGACACCTACGATCGTGGCGGTTTCTCGCCTGTCGCCGACCCGGTCAACCAGTTCCACACTTACACTATTAAGTGGACCCCCGAGCAGCTCGACTGGATTATCGACGGCGCCGTTGTGCGTACTCTGAAGAACACGGGCATTGAGGGCTGCGCCGGCTACCCGCAGTCTCCCATGCAGATCAAGCTCGGAACTTGGGTCGCTGGTCGCAAGGGACGCCCCGCAGGGCACCATCGACTGGGCTGGTGGCATCACCGACTTCACCGACGCTCCCTTCGACGGCTACTACCAGAGCCTGCGCATCCAGGACTACATGGGCGGCAAGGGTGCCAAGGAGGCCACCGAGTACCACTACACCGACCGCAGCGGCACGTGGCAGAGCATCAAGGTCGTCAACAACGGCGAGGAGGCCGAGGACAACATCAGCACTAGCAGCACGTCCAAGGCTACCTCCACCACCAAGAAGCCCACCTCGTCCGCCACCACCCTCGCGACCGTAAGCTCGTCGGCTTCGCTCACCTCGGCCAACGGCACCGTCACCCAGACCACCGCCAGTCCCACCCAGACCACTGGCGACGACGAGCAGAGCGCTACTACCGCTGCCTCCGAGACCATGTCGACTGGTGCCGCCCCCTCGATGGCCGGCAACATGGCCGCCGTCGGTGCTGCCGCCCTCTTTGGCTACCTCGTCCTCTAGGCGTAGCGACCTGGTAGTTGGAAGAGGAGAGCCGACGGTCGTTGCGTTTTGATGTTTTGCCTGTCTCTGCTTCTTGGACCGATGCTATTTTGCAGCTTCGCCACGCTCCTTTTTTGATTCGCTTTTCGTTGAGATTGAGAAGCGATTCGACCCATTTTATACCATGTTTACCATTCTTTTAATGCCGGTCGCCAAGGAAGGGGAACGATAGACACTCACGCTACCGGCTATTTTTGTGTGGCTTTTCTTTTCCACGCACAAACGGGACGGGTTTATTGAAAAGACAAAAGACAAGAACGAGGACGACAGGTATCTGATGGGGAAACGGAGGGCAGGGCACGCATGAGCTTCGGTACATAATGGTACGCCAGGAACGTTTTGTACATGGGGGATGGTGATGAATGAGGCTATGAGGTTGGGCGGGTTGGCGGGGAGGGGATGGTTGCTTGTGTAGCGGTGGTTTGCTCGTGTTATTTTTGGAATGAAGCGTTGAGTTCTCGGGGAAGGAGGATGGCATCTTTGATTGATACCTGACTGATTGATACCTTGGAAATGGTTTGTTGACTTTTGGCTTGCTGGCTCTCAGCGGTGCGTTTTTCATACTGGGCTAGACTAGACAGCGTCGAAGGCTAGACGATATGATATCATTGCGTGGACTTTTGCACCTTTGCACGATGTGATGTGATCACTGTCCTTTGCTCTGTCACCGTGAGATTGATAGCTCTTGGTGTTTTGGCTTGGGACCCCATACCCCTTACGCTCCCCAACCCACCAACCACAACCCACTACAACACCACATTCCAATTTTATGTCCTCATCTTGGTACGGTAACATTTTGGCCCCTAACCACGTGATGCTTGTGTGTTGCCGGCGGGTTTGGTTGCGGCGTATTGCGCCGGTTGGCGTCTTGGCCTCCCCGTTTAGGTCTAAGCTCGCCGTCCTTCTGCGCTAATGCGTGAAGTTATCCGGGAAGCGGGATGGGGAAGGGGCAAGAAGAGTTTATTAAGGGGTCAAAGTGAGTTGGGTAGGGGGAAGAGTGGATGAGTGCGGGCGGGTTGGAGCGGGGGTGAGAGAGCTGGTGCGAGCCTGGATAATGGAAGTGAGGGTAGGTTTGTTGGTGAGCCTTTCCTATGTTGCGGGTGGGGAGTAGGGGAAAGGTCGAGTGCCTTGGATTGCTTGTGACCTGGCCTGGCGATTGTGAGTTGGGTCGGTCGGATGGGCCGCGTTGGGTGGGATGAAGGGGATACCGTTGCTGGACATATACAGATGAAAGGTAAAGCTGAGGGAGTAGCTTGATATGGCTACCGTACCAGAGGATGTGATGGGGTTGAACTCCATGAGACAGCGGCGACTGGTGGGTTTACAGTGTGGAAGAAAAGGATATATACAATTACCGCCATAGTTAACTATACTTTCTAATAAAACAGATAAATATACCCACTAAAGCGCCTCTCCAACGAAATATAACCAAGGCGACGAGTTACCACCGAACCTCGGAATTGCTGTGAACCACATTACAAAAATACAAATCATCACCCCTTGAAACGCACCCCCAACGCATCCTCACCTCGACATATAATGGTGATCTTGCGTCGGCCCCGGCAACTCCACCGCTTGCAACGAGCCGGGCATCTCATGCACTGGTTGTTGCGGATACCCGCTGTAATAGTAGTGTTCCGCAGGCTGCTTCGCCATGCCGACATGTTCCCCGGTATACTGCGTTGCCGTGGGCGACGTGTAATCATAATCCGGCACCTCGGACGGGGCTGATGGGGCCGATGGCGGTGGCTGCTGCCGCTTCCTCCTTCGCCACCAGATAGCTAGCCCAATAACCACCGCGGCTATCACCACCACGGGCACGACCACGCCTATGGCTATCGTGGCGCCCGTTGAGAGCCCCGATCCCGAGTCTGCGGTGGTGGCGGCGGCGGCGTCATCCGACGCGACGGGGGAGGAAGTCCCCGTCTGGTCCGATGTCGAAGTGGTTTGCTCAGCGGCGCTGGACCCGTCCGAGGTGGTAGAGGCGGTGGCGGCCTCCATATCACTGGATTCGTAGACCATCCTGACGCCGTAGGCGTTCACGCCGCCGGGGAAGGTGACGGCCTGGTTGACGGTGGAGGTGCGGTCGTTGTCGGCCGACATGGTCACGGCGACGACGGTGCCCGGCGACTGGGGCGCCTGCCAGGTGCAGAAGAGCGTCTCCCACACGGAGCTGAGCGACGTCGGCCGCGGTACGCACGACAGCGAGATGTCGCCGTAGGTCGGGCAGCAGGTCACGGTCGTGATGGACGACACTCCCGTCGTGTCGTGGCATGCTGTCCAGTAGCCCGACGGGCAGGCGATCCCCGGGGAGTAGAAGAAGGATGAGTCTGAGGTGGAGAAGCTGGGCGGTAGGCAGGAGGGGCTGTGGTCGATGATCAAGACGTTCGGCTGGGGTGGGGAGTAGATGCCGCCGCAGCCGGCGCTGGGGGGAGTGAAGGTTGTGGTGAGCGGGATGGAGGGGAAAGAGGTGATGACCAGCGGGGTGCGCGTGGTTGTCGCCGCCGGGGCTGTTGATTCAGACATTATTATGATTCAGGCGGGGTTTTTTGACCAGCTTCACGTCGTCGGGGATTCAGACACCTGCCAGCAGGACGCGGTCGCTGAAGTGGGTTGCAGGAAGGTCGATCCGCCGGAGTGGACGGTCTCCGGCGGAGGTGAGGGTCAAATGGATCGCTGCAAGGGGGGAGAGTCTAAGGGGAAATTTAGGTCCACTTTCAGAGCATGAGTGTAACGCTGCCACGGTTGCGGGCGAGCCCGAGCCAAGCGAGCTTTGATGGTCTGGACGGCGTCGTGCTCCGCCGCTGCGAGGAACCAACGCGACTTGTCGGTTCGGACTCATGTATGTTCATACACGGCTAGTGCGGGCTGGGTGCGAGGCTCAACCAAACCACTGGGAAACCGTTGCTTGTTCATTGGTTCAGCATCAAGTCTAGATCGAAGAGGGCTGATGACACACCACAACAAATGTTCAATTATTATGTGGCACTGCTTGGAGCGGTAAATGCTTAACTATGTATGTACGGATTACCGTCCACGCATATCCATACACACAGCCAGCCGCCTTTGTCATCATTTGCGACCACCGGAATCACCCATTCCGTGCCGCTCCCTCTCCAACATGGCATCGAATTCCTTTTGGGCCTGTTCTTTCGCATACGCCTTCTCCTGCTCGGCTGGGGTATATGTGTACTCGCTTGTGGTTTGGCGGTTTCCGGGCGCACCGTTCTGCTGCTGCCGCGGATTCCACCTTGCACCCTCCTCCGACTTTGCCTGCTGTCTGATTCTGTCCCAAGCAGAGCCCCCTCCAGATGACTGGGGAGAGCCGGCGGAAGGGCGTTCTCTCTGCGATGGCGCCACGGGCGAGGCATCGTCGAAGAGGTACGAGTCATCATCATCTTGTGGCGCGCTTTGCGGCGGTTGCGGAGCCTGTGGTGTCCATCCTGATTGCGCTGGCGTTTGTGGTGCAGGCGAATCCCAACCATTTGACGCGGCGCTTGGCGAAGATGACACGGCTGCTGTGTCAGCGGGGCCACCGGCGGAGGGTAGCCTTGAGCGTTCCGACCGCGCTTTTCTGGGTGGTTTCATTTCCTCGCGCACCGCCTTGAGCCTAGCATCCCCCGAAATGCTCGCCAGATAGCCCGCCTGGGCGAACGAGAAGACGACGATCTTAACGATGTACTGGGATAGAAAGCCGTAGGCACCAAAACGTAGCACGTGCCATAGCCGCACGGCCGACTGGCCCTTGAGAATGGCCATAGATGCGCTCGGGAAAGACGACGGGTTGAAGGAGGCGGGCTTCGGTGTGTAGAAGGGGAAGCGGAAGGTCGAGCGACCTTGGTTGGTATAGTAGGCGGCAGTGAGAAGTACGGCGGGCGGCGCCCAGGTCGCTCTTGAGCAGAGTTTAGAGCGGTGGTAGGCAAAGGCGTCGGCTTCGGCCGGACTCAGCAGGCGGCCAACTAGATGGCAGTTTTCGATGATGGGCGCTGGCGACCTGGGCTTTCTGCCACCTGGGCGTGTAGGCGAACAAGGGCGCGAAGAACGGCAGCTGTGGGAGGCTCTCAAATGGGCCACTCATCAACTTCAAAGCCCGGGTCGGCTTGCTCCTCGTTAAATCCCACCAAGCGGCCGTTCTTGACGATTCCGATGGACGCTAAGTCTGTAGGGCGATCGTGCTGGTACCCCTCCCCAGAGTCACCGGACGACTCGTCTGCGCCCGGCCACGACATGTTGTGATGTTGTAAGATGACCCTCGATTCAATTGCTGGTTCTGCAACTAACAGTAAGCAAAGGTGAGAAATGCCGGATGCTGTGTGCTGTTTGGTTGTTTGGTTGAGGAAGTGGGATGAAAGTGGGATGGACGATGATGCAAGGGACCACCAATGCCAGCCAAGCAGAGCTTGGAGCTCAGAGCCTGGAAACCTTGGCCCACTATGGCCTCGCGGGTCTTGCGCCTCTGTTTCCCGCTTTTTTGACAGTGACCCGCCCGCCGTTCTATACTCGGTTCCTGAGCGCGAAACGAGTCGCAACCACCAGAAACCACCCACTTCCATTGATTACCTCCACAGACATCGCGCTGCCAATAAACCGCATGCTAACGTAGGAGTACACGACACCGAAGATGTCGACACAACAGCAAGCCATGATTATGGATACGCTCCTCACACTGAGGCGGACGCGGAAGCGCAAAGCCCACGGTTAGCCACACACGCAGCCTCCGCATTCTCTGATGCTCGCCTTCTGACTGCTGCATCTGTTGCAGACTCCGACTCCGACTCTTCAATCGACGAAACCACGAACCGCGGGAACAAGCTGAAGAAGAGAGCGAGATTTGTCCACGAAGGCCGGCTGGCGTCGTCTATGGGACCCGCGGCGTACAAGGAGGTGGGTGTTGGCGCCACAAGGATCGTGATGATGGGTTGCGGACTGGGACTGACGAGATTGCAGATCGCAGAACATGCCGGGTACCAACGCGCAATCATCAACCTCAACCCGCCCTTGATTGACGAGGACGGCTACGACATCGACAGCGACGATGACGAGGAGCAGGTTCAGGAGGCCATTGCCTCAGCCTTGGAGGAAAACCCTTACTCGTCAGTCCGGCTCGAGCGTATGTTCATGACATTGCCAGGCTCCTTATCTATGCCGGAATCCCGGTGCTGACTTGCCCGTAGAAATCCTCGCTCCCCTTACCGCCGTCACCGACCTGCCATCGCATCCGACCTTCTCGCGACCGTTTACTTCGAAATCGCTGGACGAGCTAATAGAGCAAGGGCGCAACCTGATGCAGAAGGAGAATAAGGGCCCTGTGGAAAGCCAAGCCCGTTACTTACCAAGCTAGTTGGCGACAACACCTGGGCGCCCTGCGGGCTCATGACGGCCCCCGACAACCGCGATGCAGTGCTATTTAGCGACACAGCGAGTTTTTTTAACCGCCCAGTCGGCCGCGCCCCCACAAGGTCCCAACATCCGGCGCAAACGGCGTCTTTTAAGAGCATATTTACAGAGTCGGCGGTACGAGGAACAGCGCAAGGTGCGACCCAGTCACGAACCCACGCCGGGCAAGACAGGGAACCAGGCGAGAAGGCAAACGGAAGGGAATCACCCGCAGACGCACAATCAGACAATTACGGTAAAGACGGATCCGGCAAGGGACCAGCCACGACTAAGAGCCTGGAAAAGGGCGGCCAAGCTGGTGGGATCGCGGATCACGAAGGGCAGAACGACGGTGTCCTTGTTAACGGGGACACTTCCTCAGCCAAACCCGGTGCGACTGAGGGTCGGGACGTGGAAATGGTCGAGCCATCTGCCGCAGACCAAGAGCGACCAAACAGAAACGGGGTTCCCCCACCGCCAGATATGCTCGCCGCGTTTCCGCTCCCCGAGATCACCGGTGAGCTCTTCATACACCCGCTCTTCCAGCTCCCACCAGCCGCGCGGCCGGACCGGAACCTGGGCCTCCCCGACCAGGAAGCGGAGGAGGTGCGGCGCCTACTGCTGTTATACGTGCAGAAGCAGGAGGAGATCTGCCGGGGCACCAAGCGGCTGTACGAGGGGCTGCTCAAGGCAGACCGGCTCCGCCAGACGGTGTGGCACTGGTCCAAGGCCGAGGCGCACTCCGGGCCCAACCGCGACATGTCGGACGGCGAGGACTGGTACGACAAGGAGGCGTGGGGCCTGACGGAGGACCTGAAGAAGGGGGAGGACGAGGTCGAGGAGGATACGGCGCAGACGCAGAAGAAGACGCGGAACCGCAAGTGAGGAAACGCGTCATCATGTGTGATGCTAATGCGCTTTGTTGTTGTTGTTGTCGAGGTGGGGTTGGTTTTGTTGTGGGCTAGCGAGAGATACCAATGATGGATGCATATGAATATTGTTATTTTCTCTGGGTAGCCTCCGATGCCAAATCGTCCTTGCAGTTGTCAGATATGGGGGCTGTCTTGGCAAACCCCTCGGCAGGATTATGATGCCGAGCCCCGACCTGACCCGCGATTCCGTTTCCCTTTTCGGCCTTTTTCAGTTCCTTTCAAGCTTTTCAGCCAAGCATCTTCCCCAATGCCGGGTAAGCCCGCCCCCTGCAAAAGTGCGGGACCGAGACAAGGGCGCGCCAGATCGCTTCCTCTCTTTGTCCAAGTTGGAGCATTCGGACATACTCGGTCGAGTCGGTATGGACTCATGGTCCTTGTTGCTGCAGGTGCGCGGAATAAAAAAAGAGGGAGATAACGAGAAACTTGCCGGGGGAACTCGTTGTGCGAGGATGTCCGAGGTCCGGGGAAGGCCATCTCGCCTTACAACCTTACAACCTTGCAGCCGAACACTGCATCAAAGCGAGGCCTGTCCCCTTCTTATTGGGGGAAGAGGAAAAGTCACGATAACTGGATACTAACTTCAAACGGCAGAGGCAACGCAAGCCTTCGCAGCCCTTTGGGGGCCGGCTAGAAATAATCTACGTGGTTAAGATGCTCTCGTCCCATCTATCATGTCGTCATCCCATCTGATGCCGTGTCCCATCACGATTCATTGCCTTTAGTCTCGACAGCATTGTCCTGTGTTTGCCCCGGCTCAAGACACAGGGCACACTCTTTGGATACCTACCCGATTCGGACGACGGCAGCCGCCGCGCGCCTATCGACGCGCAAAACGCCACAGCCTTGACATCTTTTTATTCCTTTAACATCCCATCTCCTGCCTCTCTCTTCAAGTATCATCCCATCTCCAACCTATTCCAACGTGGTCACAAACCACCCGCCACCACACCCCTTCCCCACGCCTAGGTGTGCTCCACAACGACATCCCTCACCACCATCATGATGACCGACACGGAGCCCGAAAAGGCGACCCCTCCCCGGGCGCCCTCCCCCTCCGCGCCAGCACCCACCACCAACCCCCCCAACACCAACACCAATACCACCAACCTCCACAAGCCCACCACCAACGACCCCTTCACCTCCACCACCGCCGGCCTCGACTCCACCACCGTCACCTACCCCACAGGCCCCAAACTAATCCTGATCATCGCCTCGCTCTGCCTCGCCGTCTTCCTCGTCGCGCTGGACCAAACCATCATCGCGCCGGCGCTCGGCGCCATCACCAGCGAGTTCGGCTCCGTGGCCGACATCGGCTGGTACGGCGCCGCCTACCTGCTGACCACCACGGCGCTGCAGCCTGCGTACGGGTCCCTCTACCGCATGTTCAGCGTGAAGTGGACGTATCTGGCGGCCGTGGCCGTGTTTGAGGTGGGCAGTCTGGTGTGTGCGGTCGCGCCGTCGAGTAATGCGTTTATTGTGGGGAGGGCGATCGCGGGCATGGGCACGGCGGGGTTGTTTTCTGGGGGGGTGGTGATACTGTCGTATACGTTGCCGTTGAGGCAGCGGCCGATGGCGTTTGGGTTGATTGGGGCGATGTGGGGGATTGCGAGCGTGGCTGGGCCGTTGTTGGGGGGCGCGTTTACGGACCATGTTACGTGGCGGTGGTGTTTTTATATTAACCTGCCGATTGGGGGGGCGGCGATGTTGGCGATCTTTTTGTTTTTGAGTATTGATCAGAAGCGGAACGAGGGGGGGTTGACGGTGGTGCAGAGGATTTTGAGCTTGGATTTGCTGGGCACGGCGATGCTGGTGCCGTCGATTGTGTGTCTGCTGCTGGCGTTGCAGTGGGGGGGAACGGAGTATGCGTGGAACAGCTCTGTGATAATCGGCTTGTTTGTCGGCTTCGCGCTGATGGCCATCATCTTCGTTGGAATTCAGATTTGGAAGGGGGACAAGGGCACGCTGCCGCCGCGCCTGTTTAAGAGCCGGGACGTGGTTTGCGCCATGCTCTTTGCCTTCTTCTTTGGCGCCGCCTTCTTCCCCCTAGTCTACTACCTGTGTAAGTCGTTTACTGTTCTACCCCCTGGTACGACAGACAACATGAGCTAACAATACACGTCCCCCCTCACCACAGCCCTCTATTTCCAAGCCATCCAAGGTGACACTGCCGTTGAGGCCGGTATCAAGCTCCTCCCTATGCTGATCGCCGTCGTCATCACCTCGGTTGCTGCAGGCGGTCTAATCACCGCCGTGGGGTATTACAACCCCTTCGTGCTGCCGTCCATGGTCCTCCTGACCGTCGGCGCCGGCATGATCACAACCTTCTCCCTGGACAGCCCACTACGCATCTGGTTCGGCTACCAAGTCATCGCCGGTAAAGTCGACGCCCTTTCTCCCCCCTTCACCACCCACCTCACTAACCCCCCCACCCTTCCAGGCCTCGGCATCGGCGTGGGTTTCCAAACCGGCGTGCTCGTCGTGCAAAACAGCGTGCCCCACGAATGGATCCCGCAAGCGACCGCCTGCGTACAATTCTTCCAATCCATGGGCGGGGCGATCTTCATCGCCGTGGCGCAGGCCGTGTTCCAGAACGGCCTGACCACCGGCATCGAGCGGGACGCACCTAACCTACCAGCACAGGCGTTCATCCACAGCGGGGCGTCCGAGATCCCGCAGGTGCTGGCGGCGATGGGGGCCGCGGACAGCCTGCCGGCGGTGCTGGCGGCGTATCTGCAGGGCCTGCGCAACTCGTATTTCATCACGGTCGGGTGTGCGGCGGCCGCCTTTGTGGCGGCGTGTGGGCTGAGCTGGAAGAAGATCCAGAAGCGGAAGGCAGCGGGGCCGGGGGAGGGGGAGGCGGAGAAGGGGGGGGCGGATGGGGAGGGGGAGGGGGGTGAAGAAGGGGAGGGGGAAGGGGTTGTTGTTGGCGAAAGCTCAAAGTAGAGGCCGGTGCGTCGAGGTTTTGTGTGGCCTGTGCCATGGTAGTAAAAAAGGTGAGGAGTGTCGTTGTAAGGAATCTCGTGGTTGTTTGGAAAATAGATGCCCTACTCCGTTAACTAGCTATACATATATATATAAAATAAAAATGTAATATAATCGTAGCTGGGTATCCTTTGTCAGGCCATGATTTTGTCTTCTGTTGGTTGGTAAGGTCTGTTGATGCTGCATGCACCCACCAGGCATAGCTACAATAGCACAGCACCAGACCTGCTCAATGCAAAAATGTAAATGGTATATGATCTATCATCTTCATCCATGCTACCTAAACAATCTGTACCCTTAGTTCCGTCTAGTAACTCCAACGCACTGATAAATGACAAGCTAGCCGCCCACCTCTTGAAGGAACCGGCACCCAGAAGCCGTCTATAAGCTGGCGGGTATCAGGTCCCAGGCACCCGTCCCAAAAACCGCCATTAAAAAAAGGGCATATCACATCAATCATTTGTCCATCCGTTCCCATCCTTCGCATGCCCAAAGCAGTCGATAAACCCCTTGTTTCTTACCCCTTCTTCCACTTGATTAGCAGCCCAACCCGCCGACACATCGATCTCGACTTGAGCCGATTGACGTCGTATGTCCTCCTTTCCCGCCCCTTGACTGAGACATGAAGGCAAAGGTCGGGTAGGCCAACCAGGATGACGCCATCCCGTGCTGGTAACACCCAGCCCCAGCGCGGCAGCGCACTACTGGTTCTGGCGCATATCGCGTGCTCGGCACGCCATGCAGCGCAAACATTCCCCTCCCCCCCATATACCACAGCGGCCACAGCGCTTCCGCGCTAGCCTGAAGGCATGGGTCGGGTAGTCTGGAGATCTTTGGTTATGAACCAAGATCCAACCTCTTTGGTCTGCCAGCTCACCTAACCCAACCTTTGAAACTTCAATTGCAAACCGCCGCCCTTAATCCGCCAACCCCGCCATACCTGCCGTCGCAGAAAAGTTCCCATACACCTCTTCGACTTCACTCTCACTCTCTTCACTGAGCGGACTCTGCACACCGCTCGCCTCGGCACTATGCATTCCGCCATAGCTCTCCAGCCCGCTCATACTCCCACTCCTGGCTCCATAGCTACCACCCGTTCCCATGCTTAGCCCGCTGCTCCCCGCGCTAGCACTTCCCCTGGCACCCGCCGTACCCGTACCACCTAGCGCCAGCATGCTCTGCCTCCTAGCGGCATCAAAATCCACAGCGCTCCCACTCCGGCTCAGCAACGGTTTCTCAGGCAGCTTCTTGAGTAACCCGGTCGAGATATCCAACATGCCCATCGCAAACTCGGTCAAACCCTTGCCCTCCCCAGGCTTCGAGCTGACCGACAGCGTCCAGCGATACTCGCCCAGCCTTCGGCGGTACCACTCACCCTCTTCCCTCCCGGGGGATGTCGCCCAGAGCAAGGAGCCAAAGGTGCCAATGAGGGCGAAGTTCGTCTTGGAGGCAAAATACCAAAAGGAGCGCAGGTGGGAGGGGTTGAGCCGGTTGACAAAGTCCATGGCCGAGATGAGACGGGCTTTGGCGGCGCTACGGCATATGTGTTGGATGTAGGGGTCGACCCCCCCCGCTGCCCCGGGAAGGCTAATACCGGCCGGAGACGGGGCGGAAGAGGATGGCGTCGAGGCCGACGCTGCGGAGCCACAGTCCATCGAGCGGATGATGCGACGATGGAGCGTGATTTCGGTGGCGAAGTAGGCGAGGTGCAGGTAACCTATGCTGGAGAGGCGGTTGGGTTGGTTGTGGCTGCTTTGGAAGTTTGCATCCATGCGGACGGCGCTCGGAAGGCCAGAGTACCACTCCTTGAGCTTGAGCTGGATAGGTTTGGCGAGGGACAAAATGAGCTGTGTTGCTTGCGCGCCCGCGTTGGCGGTGGCGTGCAAAGCTTGCAGCGTATAGAAGGTCTCGAGGATCTCGGCGAGGATTTGTGAAAGTTGCACCATCTGCCCAAACAGCACCCGCCCGCGCTCGATTTCTATCCTCTCCTCGACATCGTTCTCGTCCCACTCGACGTCGGGGAAATCGTTCGGGTTGAGGGGCTGCACTGCCCAGTTAGGGGCAAAGATGTGCGATGGCCGGCCGTGGACGAGGGCTCCCCATTTATCCTGAATGGTGATTAGACACACAAAAGTCACATATAAGACTGCTTAGAAGGAAGGCAACTCACCTGCATATATAACGCCCAAGCCAGGCGTTTCCGCAGGCCGCGCTCCCATGGCGGGATTTTCCAGTGGCTGCAGTCGAGATGCAAGCCCAGCTCCTGTCCGATAGCAACGAGCTGTGCCGTCGGGGCCCACTGGTCGCCCTCGGGCCGCTGCGATAAGATGAGACCAGCCTGTATTGTCGACAACTTCGGTCGGTACATGGCGTCGGCTAGGGTGGTCCTCACTAGCCTCTCGAGCTCGCGGACATTGGGACGAGGGAGACTTGCCAGCTCCTCCGAGTGGTCCCACCAGTTGATGGCCAGGATATAAACGGCGGCAAGAACCGGGGGCGAGAATTCGCGGGGTGACCGCTCATACTTCTCGAGAAATACATTTTTCTGGATGACAGGGAAGGCCGGGTGCACGACCCGAAAGTACAGATCTATCAGCTTGCGGCTATGAGGCGCCACGACGCCCTCGATCTCATCGACGTCATGGGTTATTTGGTCGTACCCCGGTGTGTTGTTGTCCGGCAACAACAAGAAGGTGTCATTATCGCTGACCCTCCTGAGGGTCCCCCGGGCGAGCAGGCTTTCATCGTGCGGGTCAAAGGGGGACAGGTTGATAAGGGAGGGCTCAAAGTCGGTGGTCGGCCCGATGTACTGGCTATACCGGTCTGCCTGGAGACCGAGGGTGCGCTTGAGCAACGTCGGACCGCCAAAGTTGGCCATGTCCTCGATCAGGGAACTGCTAGTGGTGGTGCAAGAGAAACTGTGCTGCTGATGCCGCCGTCTCCTGATATCAGACCGTCCAGGTGAACTACATGGACCAATCAGGTGTTAGATAACTCGTGTCGTGTGCCGAGCCCAGAGCCTGCATGAACAAGACATGGGGGTAAACAAAGCAATGGGGGGAGACCCAGGGCAGCAAGGAGATAAGCGTGGGGTGTAGTTAAAGAAGGTGAGACGCACCTTCTCTTGCTACTGCTGGTTTCTAGGTCCCCGTTCAGCTTGCGCTTCCGGGGGGCGGGGCTGTCGATCAAAGAGCACTCGGTCCCCGCCACCAGACACGCAACACAGCTTTCCTCATCTTCGCCCATGGCACAATCTGTCCTTCTGTTCAGGCAGGCTTCACAGGGGACAGCCGAAAACCCGCTTACCGAGTCCGAGTCGGGCGAGTCGAAGCCGCTCCGGAAGGAGTCAAGGTGTATGCTGCTCTGGCGGCTTGGGGGGAAGCGCGGCGGTTTTGGCGCAATGGCTATGGGAGCCGTACGGGGGACGGCGCAAGGGGCAGACATGGTGTAGGTAAAGGCTGAGCGAGGGCTCACAGCCGGGGTTACCCAAGTTTGCGGCGATAAAACAGCTGCAGTTCAGTAGGATGTCCGAGGATGTAACCTGACGGACACGCAGCTCAGCAGGCCGCGGAGTCTCGCAACTGGCTTGTATGGAGGTGCACGGAAATGCTGCTACCCCGGCTGGCTGGCTCTCTCTTGAAATTCAGGGTTTCCGGCCACGGCAACCTGCGAGACTGGTGCGCCGAGATACCCTTGGTGGAAAGACCAGCAAATGAGCCGCTGATCGTTGAGAAGGTGAGACGGTATGCACACAGATACCACGGCCCGAGATCTTGTTGTGGGTGCTATGGTAGTGTTAGTACGCCTGCGGGTTCTTGACCGGCAGTCGCAGGTGAACTGATCGGCGGGCTAGGCTGGGCCTGATAGGGACCGAGTTCTTGGTTCGTTTTGTAGATAAGCCTAGACTGATCCCCCCCTCGGCGCAATGCAGGACGTTACCCCAGAGGAGTCCTCAGGAGCCCGCGCGTCTACCCACGCCCCGTTTTCCCACCTGGCTGGCCCCAAGGTAGCAAGGGACGTGTGCTGTGCCTGAGTTCGGTATCGGTACCCTTGCCCAGTCGGCAACCGGAGAGTCCTTATCGTGGGTATCTCGTGTGGCCTGCTGGTGGCCCCGGTCGTACCGCGGGAGGGGTTGGTTTGTTGGCCGTGGGCCTAGGATCGTGGGTTCGGGAGATAAAGGGGGGACACGACGGTCTGGCAGCGGCGCGAAGATGGGAGGAGGAGCGATAGGCAAACAGGAGCGGCGGTATGCAGGGACGTAGATTAGAAATGCGGACCGAGACCACGGCGCCCGCGAATTGGGGGCCCGGATCTATGTGATGATGGAGACCAGCACAAGATAAGCCAGACTTAGTCGCGTCATTTGCATTGGTAGCAAAGGCACACGATGGCTGGTGATTCGACCGGTATCTGTTTCCGGGGATAACGGGAGTTTGTTCCCAGGAAAGTTGTTCAGAGCATTTTCGACTTCCAAAGAAGTTCAGGCAGGTTTCAAGGTTGGTCTTGCCGTTGAGAAAGTGGAGAGCTCGGCGGGGAGGGTGTTAACGACCGAGTCGGGAAGGAGCCCGGGGTCGATAAGAGACGGAGATCAAAAAAGGACCCAGATCAGAGGAAAGTGGTCATGGCTCGCCAAAAAAAAAAAAAAAAACCAACCGGCAAGTACGGGAACGAAGGAGCGTATAACTCCGAGATGGGAAAGATAGGACGGAAGAGCAAGCCAGTGATGCCAATCTTCCCCGCGGTCAGACGAAACAACAAGCGCGCGTTGTCACCACAAAGAGAGCTAAAGAACCAAGATACCCAAGATCGCTGCCAGCTTTTTTGCCTGCTTCGCCTCCGTGTAGATCAATTCCTTCGTCCAACGGGCTCAGCGCACCCGTCCCGCCGAAGCATTGGAGAGATGGTGAGTGGATAGTGAGTGATGACTCGTCCCGTCGTAGGTACTTGGTAGAGAACACACGGCAGTACGAATAGGCCGTCTCTTCTCGCTGTCCTCGCTTCGTCATGGATGCAGATGAGGCCGAAAGAGGCATGCAGAAAACATATGCAGTCCGATAACACCCCAGGCTTTTTTGGCACCTTATCATGTCGTCGATTTATTTCACGTTGAAATTCCTAATGGCAAAGGCCCGAGATAACGTTGCAGCGTGCATGCTACCTGCAGGGACTTGCAGCCTGCCTTCCAGGGGCTCGTTGCCTTACCGACCCGACGACCTTTCCACATACAAAACGACGGCTGTGGACGACAAAACCCGGTTGCCAAGTGCTTGTTCCCCAGCGCCCTTCGGTCCACCGCCAAAGTCACCTTCGAGTCACTCGCACCATCACCGCAGCACTCCGCATTAGCCCCCGCCATCGTTGAACCGTCGCTGCGGATGGGGCGCTGATTACCAAATAGAATCGCACAGACGAGCCCTTGCCAGCCGGATTCCCGCCTGTTTGGGAATACCCGTCACGTAATGGCTCCCCTTTGCCGAGTCAACGTCGGATTCATCAGAGGAAGAAAGAAGACGATTGCAACCCAAAGTCTGTGTTGCAGAGGCCTGGTTGTCTCATTCCCTTTCTCACATGCTCGTCCAGTCCCCAGTCAGCTAGATTCCCATTCCCCATCACCCATCCATCACTATGTAGATCTCGACAAAACCCCCCGGAGACCCTTTCTCAGAGCTAAATCCGAGGACGGCTTGTTAGTGCGTTAGTGGGCCCTGAGATTCCCGGGGTACCATGCACGACACCGGAAAACACGGCGTTGAAACGACGAAACGACGAAACGATGAAACGGCCCGGGGCCAAAAAGATGGCAGCAAGCCAATGACTCGCCCGAGCCCAGTCCCTCCCGCTCCGAATCTTTATCGTCGTGCTTCACTGTCTAATAAACCAAGGGTCGGGCAGACGGGAAGAATGCACAGCACACAGCAACAGTGGGGTTGCCTGGCAAATTGCATGCTGCGGGCTCAGCTGTCTTGTTGCTGGGTGTGGCTTGTCTGACCGCTGCTTTTGTGTCGGTGCCTGCCGGCTAGAGAGGTGAAGGTAACACAGCCGGGAGCCGCTGATGGTGGTGTGTTTCTGAATATGTGTTTGTGTGCGTGTGGTGTGGTGTAACTACCTAACTATGTGTGGAAGGGAAGACCGGCCTCCAAGAACGGGCTGGACCCAAAGTGGCTGCAGAAAACACATGACAATTTACCACAAGTGATCGCAGCAAGCGCGTGATGGGTAAATGGTCGTGTGTATCGTGGTGCTTGTCTCGCCGCCCAGCAGATCCCGTCCCCTCAGATCACAGATCGCCTGTCGTCCCCGTCTTGGGTGCAAGTCGGCAAAGAGCCAGGAGGGGAGAAAACAAGGACAAGGACCAGCAGGCGCAACGCAACCCCTCACCTCGCCCCTCCCCACCATCAAGCACACCACACACACACACCACAGGTCCCCTGGTCAAAGTTAAGCTCAAACCGCCCCCGCCACCGCCGAGCCCAAGTTCCGGGGTGGCACCCTGCACCACCACCCACACCACCAACAACCCAACACAGCGTCGAGCGTTTCGCGTTACACGGCAATCAGCAGCACCCATTGCCCAGTAACAGAGATTGGGCCGGGGCCGCGGGGGCTGCGCCGGCAGAGAGGCCTGCGCATCAGGGCCTTGTCCGACTTCGCCAATCTACATCGGCCAGAGGGTCAGCAAGAAAAAGAAGCCAGAACAGAAACAGGCCGGCCCGTGTGGATGGATGCAGGAAAGGCGGGGGGTTAGCCAACAAGGGGAGGAAACCCCAGCGTCGGTCCGTCGGTGTTCGAGCCGCTCGGCTGAAATCGCCCACCCCCAAGTCCGCCCTGCCTGCCTCCTACCTATGCGGCAGGTATACCCGGGGTGCTACAGCACGACGGCAGGATGCGTGCGATAAGGATCGCGGAGAGAGAGAGGGTTGATGTCGATCCCGACATTGACATCCCTCTCCGCTGCAGAAAATAGCGGACGTGCTATTGGGGTTTTGGCTTCCCCGTCAACACGTGCCTTCGGTGGACTGTCTCCGCAAATAAATGGGTTTCATTGGGCTCGAGCGAGCCTCGAGGCATGTCATTACATACTGATCCATCGACTCTGAAAGTCCAGGGCCGAAGTCGGGTCGGGAACGGTCCTCACTGGCCAACGCACGGCAGCGATAACGGTCCAAAAAAGCCGAATTCTGATGAGATTTGCCGGGCGCTCTGCCTCCCGGGGCGGGGCGGACGGTCTCGGCACTCTAAACGATCGACCATCCGCTGCTTTCTCTACTCGGACCTGCCGTCTTGCGCCGACGGAGGATACCATACCATGCACTCCTCCCTATATATCTCGCTCAGCGCGGCAAGCCCAGGCCGCGGTATCCTCATCTCGAACCCGTCAATAGTCGTGAACCCAAGCCTTTGATACATAGACACCGCAACGCCAGTACTCTCGATGTACACCGGCAGCCCGTCTGCCGTAGCCATGGCGAGAATCTTCCGGGTGAGGAGCGAGCCGGCACCCCGGCCTTGGTAGGCGGGGTCGATGCATACAAAACTCAAGCCTAGTCGTTTGATGTTAGGCCTCAGGATTCGTCGAGGCCGGAGAGCCGGGCCGGACGGGGTAAAGATCGGAGCGGCGCTTGCAGCGGGCCGGGCCGAAACCGAGACCCTTGATGCGGAGCAGGACGACTGCCGGGTGTGGTTCTTGGCTCCGCCATGGTGGGAAAAACGGGGGAAGAAAGTTGATAGCACATACAATAACAAGCCTGCTCGCCGAAGCATCTCTTCTTGGCCTCCTCCGCCAACGACGCATAGCCGTCGAGGAACTCAGGCCGGCACCCTTCCAAATACCGCAGATCGCCGCTCTCCAGCTTGACGTCCGCCGGGTGTGACGGTGAGTCCCACTTCGCAAACCCCGCGACCACGTCCGTGTCAGGATCCCGCGCGACCAGGAACCCGGTAGCAGGATTGCGCAGCTGCTCGAGGGCGTAATCTTCCATGAAGCGCAAGAGAGACTTGAGGCTCTCGGGGGCGGGGAACTGGGCATGCAGCAAGGGGTTGGCGTCCATGGCGGCAAGGTGGATCTCGGCGATGCGGGGCGCGTCAGCCTCTTGGGGCCGGGTGACCACAAAGTCCCGAGCCATTGGGACGGGAACGATGTACCGTCGCTTTTTGATGTCGCGATGGGAAGGCGGGAGCTAGCTAAGCGTCGAGCTGTGCTTCCCGGGTCCACGTTGCCACGAGGGACTAAAAAGGCGGCTAGCGGTGTAAGGTGATCATGTGACGGGTGCCACGCGTCAACACCCCGTCTCCGAGTGGTCGGCGGGACCGAGATGGAAAGATAAACCCTCGGCGTCCGGCTGAGTTTGACACTCGAGTGCGTCCTTCTCTAGAGCGCCCTGTAGCATCTGGTATGGGGTTTCTACCCATGCGTACCACTCTCCGCCGTGGAAATGCTCGGTGAGCAAGGTCAGAAAATGCTGGCCCGCGCCACCCATCAGCCAAACCCCACGGCAATGGTACATGGCTAGGAAGAAGTATGCAAGAACGGCCAAGGCCTCGGGTCGGCGAGTCTCCAGCATTCGAACAAATGGCCTGCCGAGCATTGCTACCCAAGAGCAAAGGACATAACTTCGGCTTTCCGGTTTGGGCTTCGCATCAAACACCCACTGCACGAGGTCAACGGCGCGAAGCGCGTCTTCTCGTTCCTCCGCATCTAGACTCATGGACGATGAGAGCCTCTCCCGAATATCGTCGCATTCCCGTCCCTCGCTCGTTAGCTGGAACCACTGGGGCACCACCTCATCAAAGATGACTTTGAGTTCGGTCTTTCGGAGCTCCTCCCAGTAGCCGTACATGACAGTATGCATCCCGCGGTGGAGGGTTACATATGCCACAAACCGGGATATGGCGGAATCGGCGTCTAAATCTCGGTAGGACAGCATATCGCAGAGCGCATGGATCCCAAGGACGCTCGAGAAGATGAAGACAGGTATGCGCTTCTCGACCGAATCGCCGTAGAGGCCGACATCGATGCTGTTGAAGATTGAAAGGGCCTGTGTTTGGAGCTGGATGGCTAGGTTGTGATAGAAGGACTGCTGCTCGGGCCGCACCACGCTTAAATGGTGAGCTGAGAGGGCGAGCACAGAATGCATGATGTATGGTTCCTGGAGGGCCAAGCTCATGATGATGTCCTTCATGCAAGTATCCATGAGTGGGTGTAGGTCTTTGCTAACCGTATAATGGTGCAGGAGCTGCATGTGGACCATATCGACCCGCGAATGCGAGTCCTCGGCCGGAGCAGACGGCTGCAGCCATGGGAACGATGCAGAGGGTGGCGCCGAAGTTGAAGCAGGTCCTGTAGATGGGGGCTGTGGACTAGCAGATAAGTCGGATGGCGACCTTTCGGCAGCCCGCCAAGGAGTAGAGTACTGGCATTTCCGGTCGACTGTTGTGCAGTTCATGCAATTTGGGCGAGTTTCGTCGCACTACAAGGTCAGCGAACTGCGAAGGCAAGATGATGCCGAGATAAGACGTACTTTAACTGCAGAGACATCTCAGTCAGATATAGGCCAAGAGGTTTCAAAATAAAGGGATATACTGACTGTGCCTTTTCTTGCATTCAAGACACCCGTTCCTGGATTTTCTGTGAGTGCGCCTCATCCTTGGAAACTTTCTCCGGGGCGTCCGGGCCGTGCCGAGTATCTTGCCTCCGCCGCTCCTTCGAAGCCGCTACCCACTGAAATGTCGGGGAAAAGTGGAAAGCACTTATATGTAGTCCGCGGATTCCGGCGAAGCTTCTCTCCCCTGGGTGCCGCGTAGTCGCAATTTCTGCCATGACGCGTTTGCGTGGCCACAGCCACATCCGCGTCGCCAAGCATATATGGATCCGGGCAATGAAGCCGAGCGGCGGAGCCCCTCCGGGATTTGTGGGGTGTGTTTGACAACTTCTCGCACCCGGACCTCAAAACGATGGCCGGCTGAAGCCAGAAAAGGTTTTTTTGCCCGCTCATCATGCCAATTGCGTGTCATCGTCCGGCGGTTTGTCCCAGCGTGGTCTGGGGTCCGGTTTGGCCCTGTTGTGGCTTCCCCGTCCAACAAAGTTGAGCACCCAATCTCGGACTCGCCGTGTCTTTGCGAGCTGCGGGTGGGCGCCACCTGCGGACGACAAGTCGGACGTCGTGTAATATCCCCCAGTGTCTTGAGGGTCCAGTTTCACTCGATAGAGCAAGTGCACCCGGGTCAAATCTTTTCGCAGGCTAGATCCGTAGACCTTTTTCATGAACACGTTGAATGCCACATTCTGAATGAGGACAACGTCCCGGGGCCGCATTCCCCCAAGAGGGCTGTCTTCGACGCTGTCGTACGGAAGCCAGTACGTTATAGCAAACCCGGCCTTCGTCTCGTCTCCAACGAGCACTTCAACAAGGTATTTGGTGGCACCCCAGCGGGTCTTGACGGCCCGTGGCTGTGAGATGGAGATGATGCCTACGATTAGGTTATAGGTCATGGTTTGCGGATGAATCTTAAGAAGATAGGCCGCTGATGGAATACTCCTGAGGTCACCGATGAGGTCGCTCCCCCGGAACAATACTGGCCCTTTGGTGGATCCTGGCTGGCTACCATTGCCGCTCAGAAAGGAGGTGCTGTCGCTGAGCAACGATGTCGATTGTCCAGTTGATTGCGAGATCAGTTGAGAAGAAGACAACTCTTCGTGAATGACAACTGAATGCTCGTAAAATTGTGAGAGGATGGAATTTTGCTCGCCATCGTCGGCATCCGAGTCGAAAGACAAAGAGACAGTGGCGAGGAACTCGGGACTGGACCCAAAAGCAGATTCCTCGGGTCCGTAGTAAACACCTCTGTCATACTGCTGGGAGAACCCCGTTGGGATAGTTGCTTTGTCCAGTGACAATGACCTCCAGGCTGCATGGTCTGGCGCTGGCGAGGTTGTGGGATGTAGTCCGGTCTCTGTGGTTAGCCCGGTAAACTGCGCGATGGTGTCTTGGAATCCCGATAACAGCCCGCCCGTGTGCCAATCGAGAGAGTTGCTATCTGGGGCCCCGGAAAATATTAGAATTTTGTTGGCCATGATGCGCAGCATGATGGATATTTTGCTGTTGAATGCAACCTGGAAGTGAGCAACCACCAAGCCAGGCAAGACCCTAGCTGTGTTTTTTGAGATCTGACAGGGGCAGTTGGAAGTGGGGCCCTACCTTAATTTGTTGGTACGTACCTTGGAGTCTGATCTTTCAATTCTTCTCTCCTGTGCAAGTGTCAAAATTCTGTGAGATTTAAGTAACAAAAATGCATTCTGTCATATTCTGTCTCCTTTACTGGCTCAAAGTACTCTCAGGGAGGGATATACGAAGTAGAAACGTTTGCGGACTCTTCCATGTTTTCCAGCCAACGCCATACCCCTGCCTTAAGAGTTATTGTCCACGCATGTACCATGGAAGCATGGCCCCTGTTGACGCCAATCGCGAATATGGAAATTTCCCCTTCGCGGCCCAGAGCTCTGGTCACCTTGAGACCCGACGCTTCCACACTATCGACTAGATCATCCCCCCGACTTCAGCAATTGCTCTCTAGTGGGCGCAGATAGGGGTGAACGTTTTATTTTACAACCAGAAACCGACTTACTACCGAAACAACCACGACCATGGCACCAGCCCCTTGGGATGCAGTTCCAGCCGAAAACACCTTGTTCGTCTTGGTGACGGGCGGGAATAGGTACGTCTCATTCTGACGGAGAAACTCAATTGCTCCATTCTAATGTTTTGTTATGCAGCGGCATTGGTTTTGGCATCGGCGAACGCCTTATCGACGAGTACCTCACCACCCGCTCTCTCTCCTCGCATCTCGTTGTGATCCCCACTACGCGAAGCATCAAGAAGTCACAAGAAACGATCGACGGCCTCCGGAAACATGCTAGAGAATTTGCGGAAACATCAACAGCTCTCCGTGCTCGCGCGGGGCCGAACTACGACCCGAAGCAGACCACGCGGCGAGTCCACATCCTCAGCGTTCAACTCGACTTATGCAACCTACCCTCCGTCCGCCGATGCGCGAACCAGCTCGTTTCCGGAACTGTCAGTAGTCCCAGCGACGACAATGATTTCGTGTCTATCTCGGACGCCAAGATTCCGCGCCTAGATTCCATCATCTTCAATGCCGGAATGGGAGGCTGGTATGGACTCAACTGGCCCAAGGTCTTCCACAACATCCTCACCAAGGGTCTCGTCAACGCCACGACATGGCCAACCTTCAAGGGCGGCCTAAGTGGGCACAAGATCGACCCAATCAAGGGGACAAAGGGGGAGAAAGGCACGGAGCAGATGGGCGAGGTCTTTTGCGCCAACGTGTTCGGGCACTACGTCTTCGCACAGCGGCTCGTGCCGCTCCTGACGCGCGCTACCGACAGCACCCTGCCACCGGGCCGCATCATCTGGGAATCCAGCGTGGAGGGCGACTGGGAGAGCCTATCACAAGACGATTTCGAAGCGGTCAAGACCGAAGCCGCGTACGAATCCACCAAGCGCCTAACCGACCTCATGGCGCTGACAGCCACGCTCCCGACCTCCCAGCCCTCCGTCGCCAAATACCTCAACACGACCAGCACCACCCCAAAAACCCGCCCCCCCAAAATCTACCTCGTCCACCCGGGCGTCGTCCAAACCACGCTCTTCCCGCTCAACGCCTTCATGTTCTTCTGGTACAACATCGTGCTCTACGTCGCGCGGTGGCTGGGCTCGCCGTGGCACCCGATCACGGCGTACAACGGGGCGTGCGCGCCCGTGTGGGTGGCGCTGCAGGAGCAGGGGTGGCTGGACGGGGCGCGGGCGGAGCGCGTCAAGTGGGGGACCAGCACGGACCGGGCGGGCGAGTGCCGCGTCAAGAAGACCGAGGTGGACGGCTGGGGGTGGGAAGGCCGCGTCGAGGAGGTGCGCGCGCTGAAGCAGGAGCACAAGCTCACGGGGCGGCGGCCCGGCGCGGTGGATGCGACGGCGGAGACGCTGGCGGGGTTTGAGGAGCTGGGGGCTGAGTGTTGGAGGAAAATGGAGGAGTTGAGGGAGCGGTGGGAGAAGAGGGCGGATGCGGCTGAGGCCGGGCGGTCGTGATGGTCTCAGTGGGGAGGGGGTGGAGCAGAGGTTCGTGGTATATAAGTATATATTATTGTAATGGTAATGTCGAGGGACCGTAACCACCAATCTCTCGCACTATTTCGGTTGATATCATCCATCCTAAATCCAGAGCAAACACTTCCCAATATTCCTAGTGAACCGTGGCCAGCCACATGTCACGAAATCACAATCCCTCACGGCCATGTCCCGTACTGGTGCTGTCCCTCGCCTCCTGATCCGACTTTACCCTCCTCAACAGCAACTTCTCATTCCGCCCAAACAGCCCCAGACACAAGGGCAATGGGACCACCACCAAGCCGAGCACCGCATGCAAGATCAATGCATCCCTCATATCCCCCGGCGGATCCCCGTCCGCCCCATCTCTCAGCGCCCCGGAAACGATGATAATTATCCCACCCAGCAGCTGCCCGCCACTCCACGCCAGCGTCGACGTGATCTCCGGGCTGATGGGGTGCGTCAGCTCGACGAGGTATTCGACGACGATCGGTAACATCGAAAACGAGGAAGCCCCCAAAATGGCCATAACCACGTATGGGCCGGCAACGCCACCGCCATCGCGCGTATTGGGCATCCAGATGAATATGAGATAGCAGAGACCGATAAGTGGGACGGCTAGTCTGATCGCAAGCAGGTATGATTTCGTCCGGTCGATGATAGGTGACGAGATAGCCGAGGCAACCAACCCCACGACGATGAGAACCGCGCCCGCGATGCCCGCTTCCTCTTCGTTGTAGCCGTGCGGGAGAAGTATCTGGTTGAGGAGGGAGGATATCGAGTTGAAAAGCCCGACATACATGGCGAAAGGGATGAAGAGCAGCCAAAACTCTAGCTGGTTGGAGAGGATTCTGGCGGACGCGCCGATAGAAAGTTTGGGAGTCTCGGCGGAGGGTGCTACTGGGGTAGGGGGTTGAGAGGGGATGAAGAAGGCAGGGACTGCGCCGATTGTAGACTACGGGATGTTAATGGCGGGTTCAGTAGGGTGGTATAACTATGGAAGAGGTAGGGGAGCTTACGATTATGGAGACATAGAGGACCATGTGGGAGACGTCGCCGGGCTGGGTAACCCAAAACGGGACGACCAATTGGCCAAGGGCGGCGCCGAAGGGGTTTGCGAGACTCGACAGGGCCGTTGCGGCGACCCGCCCCCTGTTGGTGAACCAGAGGTCAGAATACCGCGTCGGGGCGGCAAGCACGAACGGTTGCGCAAGGCCGCAGAGGATCTGGCCGAACATAACCACCCCAAAGAGCCCTCCTGAGCTGGAATGCGAACCAGCATAGCGGATCCAGTTCCCGACGAGCAGGAAGGCCGCAGCCGTGACGATGGATTTCTTTGGGCCCAGATGTAGCACGTAGATGACCACGGGGGTGATGAAAACGAAGGAGAAGAGGAAGGCCGTGCTCAACCAGTTGATAACAGTCTCGGTAGTGTTGAAGTACCGCGCTGCATGGCTAGCAACGGGAGAGAAGGTGAGCCACTAGTGAGAAGGACGGTCAGTACGAGATCATGGGATCATATTCTCCAACTCCAAAACCCTAAGAGTAATCAAGAGAATCAGACATAGAAACGGCGGCCGGGCCAAGCTGAGTTGTTCATCTCCGGCCAATAATTGGTTTGATTCATGCCGGCACAAACACACCCGCGCTCGGCTTGATAATGACCACCCAGTCAAAAGTGAGTAGAGAAAACGCCACTTACATCCCAGCTGACGATGATATTTAGCAACGTCAGCTGTAGCAATCCAAACCATCGCCGTTTATACACCTTGTACTCGACTCCCGCCACCCCCGTCTCTGTCCCAGCCCCGGCCCCGGTGCGACCAGCTTCCGCCTTCGGCGACCCGGAGCCAGAGGGCGCGTGTGTCGTGTGCGCCACTCCCGTACTCATCTCAATGGCGGCCTCGTTCGACGCGCCTATGCTTCCGACTCCATCATCACTGCCGCTCGTGCTCCTGGCCGTCTTCCTTTCCGTTTCTTCGGACTCCCCCTTCAGCACCTGCCACGTGCGCGAATGTCCGCCCATTGCGTCGCCACCAATGTCCTCAATTTCGCTGGCGCTAGGGCGCGCGGAGTCGGAGTCGCCAGGCTTCAGGTCCTGTGTCGTCGGCTTAGGCTCCCCCCTATTAGAGTCGTGGGCCATACCGAGCCTTTAAAGCCCGGTACCAAAGGCGATCAATCGCACTGTCGCACGACATGGAACCGAGGGCTCGGATCCTCAAGCGCGGGTTGACGGCGCGGTGCTTGAACCCTGGTGCGATCCCTGCTTTGTGTTCAATTCTGGTGTTGAGGCTTACAAAATAATACTTTGAAATTTGCCAATAATACTGTGCAAGGTCGTCAGATGGCGGAGCGACCGAGCTTCAGACGAGACGGCTCCCTGAACCACCAGCTTGTGTTGTGTCGCCCAGATCCTCGGCTTCTTCTTCCCTGTTACCCCAGTTCCACTCCTTCCCTCCCGTTCTTGGCAGGTTAGATGCATCCAAACAAGGAAAGGGGAATGGGACCCCGCACTTTGAAGAGCCGTGGAAGGTGGCACACATGACTGGCTTCCAGAATGGGCGATAGTGAATCAAGTGATTTCGAACAATGAAATCTCAGCTCATGTGCTTGTCATCCGAAGCCGAAGTTGTGTGCCACAGGAGGGAACTTGTCATTGAGTTTCTTCCAGCTATTATCTCGATGGTGGTAAATTCTTAACAATCGGCATCTTAACAACCCAGGATGACCTAGTTAATCCAGCTGACATGAAAATAAAGCCTTTGGCAGATCAGATGTCAGACGAAAAGATTACCGAAACCAGCCGGACCCCAAATATCGAAAGAAGCATCAGACGGTGATCCCTGCATCTGCACACCATCGTTCTCCATTCCCATCGACGACATTGCATGAAGTCAACCCTTGTTCGTCAGCCCTGAGGTCTTCGCCTGCTAAACCCAACAAGATAGAGCAAAAGCAAAGAAGGCTTAGTAGGATCAAAGATCATCCAAGATCATCTCCTCTCTCTGACCTAGCTGCGCCGCGATAGGCCGAATGGTTAAAGGAAAATATCGGCCGTAACCACCTCCATCAAGGTATCTTGGCCGGCAAAGGCGGAACCCAAATCAACGCCAACCACCATCACCACCACCACCACCACTCGCAAACGCCAAACATCACACACCCAAGATATCCAGCCCACACTAGCGTCCCCCGCCTCAACAACCCCCCTTCCCCTTCCGGTGCCCAGCCCCAAAAACTGCAAGTCATCCGCCCATACTTCTCACACAGTCCAACCTCCCTGTGCTCGCCGTGTAACCCAAGGCGCGCGGCGCGGGGGTCTTGCATAATTCTTTGGACGTCTCCCCCTCCCAGACGCCCACCAATGACAGCGCAACATCACGCAAAAAAACACACCTCCCACACATCCCTCAACCCCCTCCAGAACCAAAACCGACGACCCCATCTCCAACAGACCCCAAAACCCAACGTTACGTGTGTTACCCGCCCACCGAAGTGGAGAGGGGAGGCTGGCCGTGAGCTGTCGCACTGTCGCGCCTGTTTTCTATCTTTTTCTTTCCCTTTTTTTTTTTTTTTTTTTTTTTTTTTTTTTTTTTTTTTATTTCCCCTTTCGCAACTGAGCTCCGAGACAACACACACCGATGCAGAGCAGCCCGCATATTTAGGACGTGATACGTGATACTAAGCCATGTCGGCGGCCCGATCGAGAAGCGCGGCAAGGATCAGGCGGCGGCGGGCGTAGGTGACTTCCTCTTACCCGTGGTAACAGGAACGGTTTTATGAAGAAGGGGGCCTTGGGTGGGGAGGGGGGTGTGTAAGGGGGGGCCTGCTTTTTTGGGCGTCGATGGGTGAAAGGGGCGTGAGACATGCCGTTACTCTGGTTGGGCTTTGGGGAGGCAGGTAGATCGAGCTCCATCGAGGCGTTATTGGCGCCATGCAGCCCTACTAGATAGGAAATCGCGTGCGTTGCGCTGTCAAGACATTTCCGAAACCTAACTAGCCACACAGGCGTGGCGGGTGAATGGCGGGAGGAATGGACGGAGGCTATTGTGTGTGGTAATCGATATTTGTTTTCCGGGGGCGTAAATGAGACGATGATGGGAGGGTAATGGTACAACAAGTCTAGGCCGGTGAAACCCCCGACAGACCTAGACCCGATCAACTATACAGGTTGCGGGCTCCCACCGTCCTGTAGAATACCCTATCTCACGACGTGGGGGTCGACCCTATCCCACCCCAGACAACCAAGCCAGCCAGCCAACGCCCTCAACTTCGTCTATAGGAACATCCTCTCTTCTATAGAAGCCATGCGGGCAATGAGAAAACGTTTCAACTGTATCCTGAGGAGCCGTTGGATCTGGCCGTTGTCGAATTCGCGAGACGGCCCCATCGTAGAAACGTGGTTGATTTATTTGAGGACGGACCAGAGCTTGGGAGCGGCGCACTGGGTGGCACAGTGGGCGAGGTGGAAGACTGTGCTTTCGAGTCAGCAACCAATCAAGCGGCGCAGGGAGTGGCAGATCAAAGGGGGAACGTACACTCCTCAACGCAGTCCTCCTTCGCACCACCCTCAGACTCGGCGCTGGTGACGCGCTCGACGCACTCGTCAAAGTGGTGCTTGGCGGGGGAGCATTGCTTGGAATTCCGGCACTCTATGCGTGGTTCCATCGTCAGCATCGGTCAGTATGTCGGGCAGGGGTAAGGCCATGGACTGATTGTCGGTCGTGGCAGGCTAGCCCGGCGGAGGGGCCGTGGGGTAGAGCGATAACACGATTCCCACAAGTCCAGCCTCCCTCCTTGGAGAAAATGGCATCTCGACCACTCAGGCGACGGGCAGCGGTGACGTTGGTGATGGCATCGGTTGGGACCCACCTTCTTCGAGCTCCTCCTTGGGGTCGACGGGCTCCTCCTCCTCCTCCTCCTCCTCCTCTTCCTCGGCCTCCTCCTCGGCCTCCTCCTCAGCAGCGGGCTCTTCCTCAGCAGCGGGCTCCTCTGCGGCAGCAGTTTCGGTCTCGGCCTTGGTGCTCTCTTCCTCCTTGGTTGTCTCGGCAGTGGTCTCCTCGGGCTGTAAAGGTATCATTCTACCGTCAGCAACGGTGCCACAAACAGGTAATGCCCCCCCTTGGGCTCTGCTGTAGCCGGGAGGCTCATCACAAGTTGAAGTGGGATGCTCCGGACAGGGGAGACAAGCAAGCGAGCCCAACCGGGGAGCAAGCGGAGAAAGTGACGCATCAAATCATACCAGGTCCTTCGCGGGGGCCTCGGCGTGGGCCGTCGCCCACGGGGTGGCCGCCTCGACGAGGTCGGTTATGGTGTCCCAGAAACCCATTGTTTTGATCTGGCCGGAAGGGGGCGGCAAGCGGTATCAATGGCAGAAGGTGGGTGGGCAGGGTGCGCCTGGACGGGGTTTGCTCAAGTCGACAATCACAATCGCTCGACGTTGGAGCTCTCGCAAAAATCGGGTAAGCGAAAACCGTCCGGGCTTTCAATTGGCAGTGCCTGATTGGTTGTGTTACTGGTCGACCGAGCTCCGGGTAATCCCGTCCATCACGTGGCCCAGGCCAAGGCTGCTGGTCTGAGGCGGCTCGAGCTTCTTTTTCTTTTCTAGGAGCCTTCTTCAATGAGCTCCGAACCAGGTTGCATCATGACGCAAAGTCCATGTGCCTATCCTGCGGAATGATGATAAGCTGCAGAAGCTGACAGCCAGCTCACGGTCTTGGGGGCCGCAAGGCTCCCTAGCGTCGAGTAGATCATCAAACCTTTTAACACTGCCCTCATCATCAAGTTTCCCATGGACGAAGACGGTTTAAAGGTTCCTTTAGGTATCCGAGAGAGACTCGGAGAGCAATTATAAAACCGGGTCTATGTTGGTGAACGCCCGCCAAAGCTGATGCAGCACCCCTTCCCTCTTCATTACGCACCGTGGACAGGATGAAACGAAATACGATACAGAAACATTCGGAAGCTCATGGTATCAACAGTCGGATGCCGTGCAACTAGCAACAATAGGCAAACCAAGAAAACAATGCCGAAAAAAATAACACAATGCGTAAAATTCCGAGACAATCCACTGCAAAATCACCTGGGCCTTCACTGTCGTTCGGCTTCCTCCCGCATACGCTCCTCGTATTGTATGCTGATGGCCTGGGTCTGCGCCTCCACGTAGTCCGGAGGCGGCTCGTCGGGAGCAGGCTGGGGCGGTTGCTGCGGTTGTTGCCGTTGCTGTTGTTGCTGTGGCGGTGGTTGGTGTTGCTGTTGCTGCTGCGTGCCGGCCTGGGTGTTACCGGAGGCGCCAGACGAGGACGGTTCCGCAGTGTTGAGCTCGTACGGCGGCGGAGGCTCGAGGTTCTGCGCAGGTATCAAACCCAATTCTCGCGCATGATTCAATCGCTCTTTCAGCCACTCAAACTTGGTTTGGAAGTCGCTGTGGCCGCCGTCCCTGAATACAAACTTGACGTCCACCCGGGGAACATGCATGGGGATGCCTCCGCCGGGAACCGGCCTCACGGTACCACCCCAGCTCCAGGGGCCGATCCACGATGATTGGACATGTGTGTCGGAGAAGTTCAGTACAGGTGTGAAGAAGGATTTGAAATCCTCACTCGGCCTCGCCGGTAGGAAGATCACCTGCGGCCGGTCAGCTTAGCTCTCACCCAACTCCCAAAAGGCCAAGAGACCGCGGTCCCTGGACCACCAGCCCAAGAAAGCTAGTGGGTGACGGGGCGGTGTACTTACCCGCTCATTTGTGATGTAGGCGATGCCGTTGTCGCATTTTAGAGAAAACGGGTCGGTGATTTGAAGCTCCCGTGGTGTTGTTACCTCGAGGCTGACGCGTGGGCGTGAGGTATGCAGTATCTTCTCGCCGGTGATGGGAACAATCTCGCCATCCCGGGTCAGCATGACCCAACTGTCCTCTTCGTCAGATTGGGAATTTCGAAAGAGCGTCCATGTGTGCTGCTCGGCCAAGAATTGGTCGGCCATGATCCGGCGGCAGCAGACGGCGGGATCGAAGAGATGGGGGCCAAGGGGGGGTTGTTTGGGGGGGGGAGGCGGCGAGCAGGGCAGGGCAGGACAGGGCAAGGGGTGCGATTTGCGACTGGGAACAAGCGCGCGCCAGGGCAGGTGAGGACGGGATCTCGGGGTTTGGAAAAGGCAAAAGAGACATACGAGAGGGTGTGACTGGGGATGGGGATATTAAAACCATCACTTACTTTATTGACATGTTGAGGAGGCGGGTAGGTAGCTTGGAGCTAGGTGGCCGCAGAATGGCCCGCTGTGCCCGCAGAGGTGTGTCGTCTGGGTGTCCCACAGAGGCCGTTCGATGGGGTCTCGATTCGTCAGATTTGGAGCCCGCTAGTCCATCCACAACCCATCCACTGCGCAGGGTTCAAACAGTAGCGGCACAAAAAGGGGAGCGACCAGTTCGTCCCGCACCAGTGCCGCCTGCAGCAGAACAGGGCCGAGATCTGAGAAGTTTGGGTGCTCCGCGGCGGTTGTAGTATCTGGTGTGGGCCAGATTTGTTGGAGGTGCTCGCAGCCTATACTTGCCTGCCCCTCTTGGAGTGCCTCTTCGCCGGGATGCGTGGAATACCTGGGTCGATGGAGATGCGGGACTTGATGCGCCTCGGCAACCTGGAACCCAACCTCTTCGAGAGCCCGTCCTGCCGGGCCTGGGTAACCTGAGCACCTGGGCTAAGGACGACGCCCCTCGGGGTGCCCGGATGAATCAGAAAACGGGCGCTGGGCCGATCCGTGGCGGGCGCGCGATTGACGGCACACAGTACGTGCTCGAATATTGTGTAGGCCGTTGCGCGTGTGTTGATCTTCTGCAGTGGTGTGTTCTGCGGGGTGGTCCCAGAGCTAGGTTGATGGTCGGGAACTTGGAGAGGGATGTTTCCAGGGCCAGGGTAGAACATTGGGGCATGGGTAAGAGCGGGCCAGGAGCCCTGGCGTGGCGTGCTATCCTGGCCTTTGGAACCCCGCGCTAACAGCCCGTGGGCCCGCAGCGGTTGAATTGTGGATCCAATTCCACTGTGGGACTTGTCGGCCATACCCGTTCGCCGTCGTTCAGGGCGTGGAGATCTCAAGTCAACCACCATGGCGGCGTTGGATTTGGAATTCCCGGTAAATTGGATGGGAAAGGCCAAGAACATGCTAACTAACAATGAGACAAAATCCTAAACGAAAATCCCAATCCAAAAGACTCGGAAACGCCACTCCCGTCGATTCGGCACTCACCTAAACAATTCGAAAACTGGTAATGGTACGAAGTAGTAAGCATAGAGCTGCCAAAGGTAAGGAAGAAAATTTGTAGTCAACATGAGCAAACCCGACTCGACTGAAGCGGTTAGACACGGTCGGCCTACGGAATTGGAAACTGCTCCGATTGCTCTGATTCTCCTGAGGCTCCTGCCAAACGGATGTTTCGAAAACAGCAAAAATAATAACAGGCAGGACGACTCGGAGAACTTCCGTCCAGACTGGGGGTCATCCAATGATAAACCTAAAAGGGAAAGAAGGGATGAGCGGTTCTTTTTGCTTTCTGCAGCTCACGTCGAATTCCGTGCTTTTTCCACATTCGCACGGGACCGCTGGCACTTTTGCTGAAGTTGTGCTGTCCCACGATTCCGACCTCCCACAGCTTTCGGCTCGCATTACAAAGTATTTACCTACACGTCCGGAGATCGTGATTCCTATCGTCAACACCGCCGTGCCCTGGGGCGGGATGATGTTTTCTACCCATCAGCGAAACGGAACTGCCGCGCTCCAAGCCTGCACGGGAAGGTGGCGTGTAGAAGCAGCGCTGGTCGCCCGTCTTTCGTCTCGACTTCAACTGCCGATGGGGGGACAGCTGTCAATGAAGTAGTCGAGCCATGATAACTCTGCTTTTTCATCCCGCGCCGGTACTGTGCGATACTCGCAAGCTCTTCCTCGGGCTGACACCGACCCGACACCTGCCACCCAGCCTCCGATTCTGCAGCCCGAGCTGGTCTCGACAAGGTGACGAGCAAGCGCGCGACAGTCCAGGCAGTACGCCACATTGTTTGTTTCGGTTGATCTTTGCATCGAGGCGGACAGCACAGTGTTTGTGAACAAGTGGGACGTCAAGTTCTTCCTTCCGCCCTCCTCCCCCCTCCCCCCTGTCGTTCAGTACCCATGCCTCCTCGAGACGTCATTAAACTCCTTCGTATGATGAGAGCCATCGAGGCTGATTATGTGGCTCCAGCGCCCCGGACACCTTCATCGAAGCAATCAGCACGGCTCAGCACGGTTTGGTAACCAGCTGATGCCGCCGGTGACCTCATGGCTGGATCCCCGAGTTCAGCGCACCCTGGTCGTGGCCAATGCCAAAGCCACAGCAAAGCACAAGGCGGCGTTGCCGACTGCGGGCCAGGGACATCCACAGCACTTTCGGGACGAGTCAACCGATGTTAGGGCACTAACCCGCATCATTATGGGTATTGATTCCTTGCCGAGTACGGCCATTCCAAGGAACCGCCGGCTCCCCTGCGTCGGCGTCGACTCGCCGCCTATCAATGGGCGCAATCTGCACACTGAGCACAGGGGCCGCAAGCACTTTCCCGAACTGTCCGGGTTTCTCACCGCCCGGTAGCATAAGGCAAGCAAGGGGAACCGTCTTGCCCCACCTGCCGGAGCTCGGCCGGTCCCTCTTCAACCGCAGCATACGCTCGCTCGATAGGACGGGGCCGGGGAAAGCTTCCCCGTCCATCGAAAGGCGGCGTCCTCGGGCTCCAACTACGGTACAGTGTACTTGTGCGCTCCTTCGTCTGGAACCCAAGAACAGGTCACAGACATCGGCGATCCGCGCTGCGCAGTTGAAGTTCTGTCAGCTACGAGACATGTCCAACCAGTTGTGTTCCAGTTCACACTCACCGTTCCGCACGCTTGGTTTACATCCATACATGCCACGGCCATCGTGGGATTGGGGGTTCTTTCCGTGTTTTGCGGTGCCGACCGGCGGCTTTCGATTGAGCAATCGAATCGGGGGAGTCCAACTCTCATGTTCCACAACAGGCAGCCCGTCTTGACGGCTCGCCGGTTTCGTCATGGTCAGTTCCACTTCTGGACTCCATCCCCGACTACGGCTAGACTTTGCCGTGAGCTTTCCACTCCCACCGCATACTTGTGCAGTCCTGGTACAGGGCCCAACGCCCGCGCTGTCGGTTTCTTCGTCTCGCCTTGACTCCTGGGTAAATTCTGCTTGCCAATGGCGCCGAACAAGGCGAGACTGTGCTTGGCATGCTTGCAGACATCCGCCAGCCAATTGCTCCCCAAAGCCAGCTGCAGCGTCTTGGGCCGAGATGGCACGTGGATGGCTCGAATGTGCTAGCCGGCTGCCCGAGGAACATCATCCAACTATCTGGAAAGGTCTGGGTTCCACACAGAATACGAAGCTTTTGCAGCTTGGAGAGCCGGCTCCAGATCGCCCGACTACTTTCTAGCCCACCAAACTTGAGGTCAGACAGCACCACCAAAGACGGCTATCATCTGCTCCAGTGTGGTTCAAGGCCGGAAAGGATATGCACCTGCATTGTGGCTTGGCCATGACTGCCCTCGGCAACCGCCGCCCAGAATTGGTTTGGGGCGGTCACTCCGGTTTGAAACGGGGCCCCTGCATCCGATCCCTCGGGATCACTCTTACGAGGTGAGGTGTCTTGAAGTCGATCGCTCACCAATGGTTCTCTCAACGAGACAACGAAAAACAAAGCCAAACCGTCCTTTGTGCAAAAAAGGACTTCGGCGAGTCCCGCTGTTTGGTGAGCATCTGATGAGGAACCCCCCATCATTCCTGTTGCTACACTGGACCGCAAGCATATATTGGGGGGATAGGCCGCTTCCACGACTTTGTACCCGGCCTAGAATGCCCAGGGTGAAAGGTGATGATGAGTTGAGGCTTTTCTTTGACAAACCAGGCCAGTCAGGAGGGCGTTTCCGCGCGGCCATCGAGAACATATGGACCAACCATCGGTCCATTCCAACGGGGGATCGGTCGGCGACAACAGATCATCGATTCTCTTCTGAGCTCGGGCGGGGGTATTCCGCCGACCGCTCTGGTCCCTTACCTGGTCTATTCTCCCGGTCTCCTTCCCCGCGGCTGTGCCGAACGTCTCATGACATGAGGTAATCATTAGCCCATTGGCCGCCTCTCTCTCTGTCGAGGCAAAGAACGTCCTTGTCTGTTCTGCTTCCTTTTCGAGAAGCCATCCCAGACATCCCCTCGTGACTTGCTCATCGCCGGCTGGCTAGGAGCTCCGATTGGACACTCTCCGAGCACACGAGAGGGACACAGCAGTCGGAGACGAGACAAGGGGGACACCGCGGTGCCAGCGAGTAAAAAATCAGCTAGGGGCTTATGCAGGGCTTACGGTTGTCGAGTCGAGCCCGATGACTCTCTGTCGGCAGCCCAAGGTCAGCACATGCTTATTGCTCCTTACGTTCAACAACACGAGCCGTCGTGGTCTCAGGCCATCATCTGAGTCAGAGCGGTATCATGTGTTGCGTTACTCGCGTAACACGGCAGAGGCACCTCTCGCCGTTCACCTGGATCTCAAGGATGAAATCGAGATTCTTGTCTCTCATTATGCATACAGTCATAAGCTTCATTATCTCAACACCCTTGGCGTTGTCCCGAGCCGAAGCCCCCTGGAATGAGCGCCACCATGACAAATAGAAACACACACACACACTCCCTCTCTCCCCTTTCCCCCGCTTTCTTCTTCTCTGAGATTGAGGAACAACATGAGACTTGACCCGAAAAAAAAGGGGCTGGAAGGGGGGACGACATAAGGAAACCCAACCAAAATCCGCCCATAACATCCCGATTGCCAATGTAAATGCATGCCCCTTGCCGGTACGGTACCCTTTCAACCAACATCGACCCAAGAATTCCATCGCAGATTGTCGGCGAGAGAAATGGCAGCAGGCGATGGCGCGGGCTCATCTCGCCACCACCAACCGTTGGGCTTCGCTTGAATGGCGGTAAAGCTTGGTGGTGGCTAATAACCACGACAATTCCGCGGGCCCTGGAATGCGCAAAAGAAAGAACACGGACGAGATCCCCCTTTTTCCTGATAGCTGCGGAAACTGCGGCAAACAGAAACAGGAACCAGCCAACCGCCATGTGGAAGCATTGACCATTTAGGCTTCACCATTGCTGGTCGGGCAACAGGTCCCAAGGTTATCACGCCACCCACCAGATTGTTATGACAGGAGTAGCAACCCAACAAGAGGCCAAGGTAGCCACTCATCAAGTGTTGGGGAAGGGGAGGGGGGGAGCACAAGAAACAGCGTGCCCCCCCCTCCTCCTCTTTCCCCCCCTGTCCCCAACCCAGAAGCTCTGCCCACCCTTACATGATATGATTCCTTACCCCGTGTGTCCCATCAACTCAGCCATGGCTCATTAGACCGCGCGGCACCCGAGCCACCAAAGTCCAGCCGGGGCATCTCGATCCTAGGCGGGGCCTCGGCCGCGACAGGGGTAGCTGTCGGGGGGGCCAGTTTCTTGGGGGGACTGGCGGGGCGGGCGCGCTTGGCCCTGGACTCGGGCGGGGGCCCGTAGCGGACGTCGCGGACGTCCCAGGCGTCGTCGTGCGCGGCGGCGACCCAGCGGCGCAGGCCGTCGTGGACGGCGCCGTAGAACTTCTCCTTGCACAGGCGCAGGCTGCCGCCGAGGCAGCGCTCCCAGCCCGAGATGCGCAGCTGGGCGCGCAGCTCGTTGCGCTCGTGCCGCGTTGGCCCCGCGCACGCCAGGATTGCGTTGAGCAGGTCCAGGTGCGACGCCAGGTAGTTGGTCGCGTCCCACTCCACGCCGCCGACGTAAGGGGCCGCTGGCACGGGGGGACGTTCCTGCGGGAAGTGCCGGGCCTGGTAGGCGAGCTGGTCGAGCGGGGGTTGGTCGCGCGCCGAGGAAGAGGTGGTCGAGGAGGAGGAGGTCTTCCTGTCGGCGGACGGCAGGGCGACGATGTTGAGGTTGTGCAAGAAGATCCAGAACACCTCCTTGGTCACGTTGACAACCTCCTTGCACCAGACGCGGTAGGGCCGCTCGCGGCGCATCTCGAGCACAAAGTCCACGGGCCGGTCCTCCTCCTTGGGCTCCGGGTCGCGGAGGAAGCCGAGCACGGTCTGGGCGCGGGTGGCGCGCTCCTGGGGTGTGGCACACTCGATGTAGGTCAGCAACAGTGAGGTGATGATGTTGCGGGTGGTGAACTCGCTGGGGCCCTTCTTCTCCGGGTCGAAAATCATGTGCAGCAGGGCCGGGAAGAGGGTGGCGTGAATAGAGTGGAGGTACTGCAGGGCCATGTCGGTGGTACAGAGCGCTTTGAGACACAGCAGGTTCTCGTGCAGTAGCGCGTCCTCATGCTCCTCTCTGCGGGGCGGGCGGACGTTAGCCACGTTGCTGAGGGGGAATGGGGAGAAAAGGTAAAGTGGTGCGCATGGGTCCGGGACCCCTGGCTGCTCCGAAGGCTGTATCCGAGACAACACGGCGACAGACAGGCCGCCGTGCCGTCGCCGCAGCAGCAGCAACAACACCATGCAGGGTCGCATGACCAAGCCCAAAACAGACAAGACGGGTAAAAAAAAAAAAAAAAAAAAAAAAAAAGAGGGACGTACCTCCACTCAACAGCCAGAATACGGTGTAGCAGCTCGACGATTTCCTTCATGCCGCCCTGGCGAATAAAGTCCTCGGTCCAGGCGACGGTCTCGTTGCGGAGCAGGAGGCGCAGCTTGTGCAGCTTGCCGACTCTCGACGAGCTCCGGCTGGTGCACCTTTTGCAGGTATGCCACGAAGTCGCCGGGAAGCTGCTGGCCCTTCACCTTGCCCAGGAAGCTGCTGCCGTAGCTGGACGAGAAGGGCGAGGGCGGCTCGCTGACGAGGCTCTCGGTTGACTTGGTGCGAAAGTGCCGGCCGAGGGTACTGTCGCCCTTCTTCTTGGCGGGCGAGCCCGGATTGGATTTGTTACCGGTTCCCCGGACGATGGTTAGGCTCAGACCCCTGCCATGCTTCTTTTTTTCCTTCTTGGCGGGGCTTCCGCCGTTATTTTCGTCCAGCTGTGGCTGCTGCTCTGGGAGACTTGTGGCCGGCGGACCAGTCCCGCTCCCCGCTCGCGGTTTGCCGTCGTGCGAGGGCGGGCGGTCCAGTTTGGCCTGCATTTCTGCCCAATCCTGCCGGATAAACTCCATCTTGATGGTCTCGCTCAGATTTCGCATCTTGTACCGCTGGTTTTCGGGGATGTTTCGGCGGTCCAGCATGGCCTCGAGATGCTTGGCGATGTCTTTGGGGTCGATGGCGGGCATTTCGGGTGCTGGCGCAACAGCTTCCGGCGCCGACGAGTTGCTCCTAGATCCAATCATGGGCCGGGGCGCGGCTGCTGACGACGTGCTGCCTTTCCCCCACGTCAGCCGCTTTGAGCGGCTGTCACTCCCGCCCGACCCGGTCGACCCCTTGGTCGTGTCGTCTTCTTTGCGGCTAATGTAGGTCTGGAATGATTTTGGACGTGGCTTCTTTTGTAGGGATGGTGCTGGCGCACCGGCACGGGCCGCGGGAGGGTAGCCGCTCTTGATGGGCATGTCAACAGGGGATTCAAGGCGTGGCGAGGGCGGCCCGAAGTGCGGTGATGCAAATTGCGCGAATATAGGGGTAGGCGGAGCCAGGCTGGTGTAGTGGTCGCTCCCCATCGAATTGGGCGGCGACCTGTTCTCCTTGTCCTTCTCTTTGGCCGGAGCGTCGCCTTCGTCCGTTAGCAACTGTTTCAAGTTCTTCATGGACTTGGGGCGAATCAGCGCCGCCAGGCTGGTCGCCGACTTGGCCTTCTTGGGCTTCGTTGGCGAGTTGTCCCTGGTCTTGGGCGGTTTGCTCGAGTCTCTATCCCTTCCAAAGGCCCTCAACGAGATGGTAGAAAACCCAGTCTTTGTTGGCGACGCCGGTGGCGGTTGGTCACTCCGGCCGCCCCGGTCGCGCCCTCGCCTCTCGGGAGATCGCTCTTGTCTGTTCTGCTGCAGCTCGCCGAGGGCGTGAGCGTATCGTTGCGGTTCCATGGCCGCTGCGGCTGCCGCGTCAAAGCCGACGTGGAACACGCCGCTGTGCCTGCTTGGGGAGAGGCTCTGTTGTGACATGTGGAAGGCTGGTGTTGTGGCTATCGGCGCGACAAGAGGAGCGGAGGGTAGGCCCGAGCCGTCCGAATTGTTTCGCTTGTGGCCGCCGCCCATGAGCGAGCGCAGCACCGATGACTTGGACCGTTGATGGTGGCGCGGTACGGCGTCGGTGTCGGTATCGGTGGGTGGATGTGAGGTTGAGGATGCCGGGAGACCGTGCATCGTGTTTAGGCCGGTCACGGAGGACATGGCTGCTGTTGTTTAGATGAGGGATGCGTGTTGCCGTGGGATGCGAGACAACAGATGGGCACCCGAGGTTGCGGTGTCGGTGTCTCGGAGACGCGCCGTTCTGGAACGCCCAGGGAAATGCCAATCAATGCCAATACGAACCGAACTCGAATGCCAATGCAAAATGTAAATGCTAGAAGAAAAAAAAAAAGGAAAGGATTGTGAAAGTAACGCCAGAAGGAGGATGGCACAGTAACAAACACAACAGCATGCACACTTCTTGTCGGATTGCCGCGATACGGTGTTAGGCCATTGCTGTCAGAACCATGGAGAAGTCCACTGGCTGACCAAGGACCAGAGGTCGTCCCGTTGGAATGGAATGCGTGACTTTCTTGACAGGTACTGGAACGAACGGTGGCAAGTAGGGATGTTCCAAGTTGGTCGTGTTGGCCTGGATTAGACCCTGCGGGTTGTTTACAAGGGGCCGTTGCTGAGCAACCTGCACACACTTCGCCCGCACCCACCGGCTTCCCTGGCAATCGCGCGGGCCGCTAGGGTCGGACGTGCCCCGCAGCAACCCCCACTTCCCCGCATCGTGTTGACAGCCCGCCGTTAAGCGGTCAAGAATTGGAGAAGCTTGGCCGTTTTTGTACACACATCACATCACACAAACAGAAACAGAAACATTTTGAGGTTGCGCACTTTTTTTGGGGGGCAATTCTGCTTCCTGTGTATGCATGTACTGTTGATCCTCAACTGGGTAGCCGCTGACTCCTGCAGCGTCGCCTGTCACCAACTCATCAACCCCTTGCCCCGGTCAAACCCACCCCGTAGCTGGCTCTCGGGCTTGACCACTTTCCCCTGCAGCACCGTAAACTTGACGATGCCCTCACAATCTTCCGGCCTTACCCTTGCAAGCCAGATGCACTGCGCCGCTCCGACATCCCCTTCCGCCAGCACATTCTCCTCCTCCCCCTCCCCCTCCCCCTTTTCCTCCGTATCCTTTTCGGCTGTTTGTTCCGCCCCCTCTCCCTCTTTTCCACCACTCTCCTTCCCCCCATCTTCCTTCTGCCCCTCTTCCTTCACCCCTCTCTCTCTCGACTCTCTCTTTGTACCGGCTCCTCTCTCCGATAGACTCATAACATTCGCACTATACTTATGCCCACCCACATGGCTAATAAAATAAATCCCCCACCCCCCCGAGCCGCTCATCATCCCAGATCTCTTACAACCCCAACGGCTGCAAATGGCGCTGAAACTCGCGCGCAGCAGCGGGGCGGACTGCCCGCAGCGCACATCGCGCGTCTTTGGCTGCACAGCAGGATCAGGGCACGGTGCGGGCACGGGCGCGTCGTCAGGTCCTTGATGGCCGCGGGCGTGCCTTCGGGGAGCGGGGCCGGCAGGGAGCGCGGGAGGGCAAAGGGGGCGAGCGGGCTGCTGGTTGTGGGCGCGTGCGAGATGATGGAGGTGAGCAGGGTGGGCACGGTGGCGGGCGTCACGTTCTCGATGATGGTGAAGGCCGGGAGGAGGAGCACGCTCGTCGGCTCGGAGTAGGAGGTCGTTTGGTGCGGGGTGGGCATGTTGGAGGCCGAGAGCATGAGGCGCTGTTGGAGGGCGCATGTTAGTAACTGGCCATGGTAGCTAGGTAGGTAGGTGGGAAGTTGGGGGAATAAGGGGAGGGGACGGGGAGGAAGGTAAGGCCGTGACAACCACCGCAAACATACCCCGTTCGTGGGCCCCTTTGCGGCGTCAATCGCCTGCATGATGCTGCCCTTCTCGTCGGCGACATCGCGCACCCAGTCTGTCTTGCCCGTCGCCACCAGGAGGTGTGTGCTCCACCCCTTGATGAACCCGTACAGATCATCGTTTTCCTCAACCTTAAACCCCTTCGGGTACTGTATCGAACAGCTGGAGCAGTCGTGGTCGCAGTCCTCGCCGTCGATGGCCTTGTCGACCTTGGGGAACAGGTCGTGTATCGAGGCCTTGCTGCCCGAGTCGCCGATCGCGAACGCCTTGGCGCTGTTGATGAGCGATTTCAATGCGCCGGCCATTTTGTTGGATTTCGGTCGTTGAGTGGACTGCCGAGCTAGGTACAACTTTAGGATTTTACTAGTCAGGTACAAAAAACCGAGCTTCCTGAAGCTCCAGCACCAGTACCCGATCCCGCTGACGGGGATGGGACGATGGGCCTACAACTAATAAACGAAGAAATGACCGAAGCCTTGTCCTATTCGGTCTTTTTTGTCGGAGGTAACGGACTAATGTGGAGAACGGCAGGATGATTGCATCCGAGCGATCTTCTCTCACGTTCGCCCCCGCCAAATCATTGTTTGATCTCCAGAAAACACAATCAGACGCCTCGTAACGCCGAGCCAGAATCCCACATCGCTTTGTCTCACCGCATCTACCCATTCGGCTGACGGCAGCGGAAATGACAGTGGCTTGCGCGGGCATTGCGTAATGATCCGCAAACTTGATGTGGGAAACCCGATGGGGGTTGGCCTCCACTCATGATCTTAGATAACTTGGCGAATCGCTTATCAGATCATCAGACAAGCAAGGGCTCGCAACCCTTTCCAAGACACGGCATGGAGCGGATTCGTGTATCCATACAGTAATTAATCGTGGGAGCAATTCCCAGTTTCTTTACTACGTAATCTGTAAACACTGCATGTCTCTCGCACCTGGGCCAATTCTATCTAAGACGTCTCAAAGCCCAGACCCAACAGGCCCCATATAACCCATCAGTCACCCCGCTCGTCTGAGCCCCGTTTTGTGTATGAAGAAAGGAGAAAAAGAACCAGCCGCCCTTGACGATAATACGAAATGATATCAACGCTCCCCATATTTTAGCCCAGAAAACAACAACGAAAACTCGATTATTACACGATCCCCATCATCCCATCAAGGAGTCCGGAAAGAAAACCACCCAGCCTGTGGTTCAATACCCCAGGAGCAAGCGAGCGGGCAAATTCTATTTTACCTTCCTCGCCTCCTCGTACTCGAGCAGCACCGACCCCGACACACTTTCTACGCTTTCCCCTTCGTCGCTGCTGAATCCATCCCCGTCGGCGAGCGACATCCGCCTCTTCTCGCTCTGCCGTCGCCTCAGCTCGCCACGTTTCCGCATCGCCTGCCGAATCTTGCGGTTCGCCTGGTCGAAGCCCTCCTTGCTGTCCAGCGTGGTGAACCCGCTGACGGGGAAACCGGCCGACCCCAGCCCACCACCGGCGCTGCTGCTCCGGCTCCGGTTGCGGCTGGGTGGGCGCGTGGCGAAGATGGGCGCTTGGCCGATGTTGCTGAACGACTCGTTGCGCGGGATCGCCCGGCTCGACTGCGTCGTGCTGCGCCGCGAAATGGCCGGGCTGCCGGGGCCCGGTGACGACGCGCCGCTCTGGCTGCGGGAGTGGGCCGGGGAGCTCGGCGCCGAACCCGTATTGTTGATGAACGCGTTGCTCACGTCGGCCGAGGCGCCGCGCTTATAGGCATCAAAGACCAACCGCGTGTGCTCAAAGTCCGGGAACATCTCCGGGCCGATCTGGTTGATGATGTCTGTGACCTGTGCGCTGAGCTCGGCTCGGCGCTCGCGGAGTTGGTTGATGCTGTAGTTGGACGACGGGTTTATGCAGAGGGCCAGCGGCCTGAGCGACTTGAGAATGTCCATACCGACCTCACCGAAGCGCAGCGCCGCAAAAGTGATGGAAGGGAAGATGATCCACCCTGCGAAGAACACGGTCCAGAGCGATACCCAGTCGGGGACATACCCGCTAAGCCGATCCACGTGGACCAGGTACATGGTCGTGAAGATGTAAAAAGCGTAGAGGATCGGCGCGAGAGCCAACGACACCAGGAGTTTCCATGTCGCGATAACGTCCTTGCCTTGAATCTTGACCGAAGAACCGGCAAGTGCGGTTTTAGCCTTTTGGTGGCTAATGTACTTTGTCGCTATGAATATGGGCGCGAATAGGAGGAGGCCCGGAAGCACCCCCGCCGAGAGAATGATGAGCTTGATCAGCCGGTAGAAGAAGGTAAAAACGACGATGGGCCACGACATTTTCCCGTATTCGACTTGGTGGTCGCGGATGTTCAGGTACCGAAGCTGCCTGTTGTACTCGGCAACCGACTCTTTGAGCTTGATGACGCGCGGGTCGTCCTTGTACCTTTCATAGCCCAGGGCCAGCCGGCGGTTCAGCTCCACAACCACGGGGAGCGGTAGTTTCTTGCCGGTAGGGTTATACAGCCTCCGCGCCGCTTGGATCACCATCAAGGTATCGTAATCAGGCGTTGAGACGGTAACGGCACCCAAGCCAGAGTGAACCATGTCCAAAAGCTGCCCAATCGCGTCTCGCCTCCTGTTATTCCTGTACATGTCTACAAGCTTGGCAGGGACTTCGAAAGGAGGACCGAATTCGACGACGGCCCTCGAACGGAACTTGTGGGCGTGGAAGTAGTTCATGCCAACGGGCACGATCCTGAGGCCGCAGTCGGGGGATTCAGCAAGGGTCCCCAAGGCCATAATGGCCACGCCCGCCTTGAGTGGGAGCAGCTCGGTGCGGTCGTGGCTGCCACCCTCGGGGAAGATACCAACGCACCCGCCCGACTTGAGACGGTCAAACACGGCCTGGTAGACCTTGGACTGATCGATGTGCGGGGCGAGCTTGTACTTCGTTCCTTGGTAGCCCGGCTTTGGACCGTCAATATCGACGCTCGTAAGGTTGCCGTTGTCATCAATGTCGTCTCGCGCGGTAAGCTGGGTCAGGGCAAGCTTGCCCTTGAAGGCACGCTTGATGCGTATCTCCTCGGGGCCGAGAATGGCCGCAACGTCAACGCTCGCCCCGCTCTGGCCCTTCGCGGACGGGAGGAAGAGCATGCCGCCAACCTCGGCCTCCTTTTCGAAGTTTGTGCCAATGCCGCGAACAAGGGTGGGGTCATTGGTAGGATCAGGAAGGTAAATGGTTCCCTGCCCAGGTTTCGCCGAGTCTTGTGCCCGACCGACAGGAACGGAGCCAACTTGGCGAGATGCCCATCCGATAAAACCGTGCACCGACTTCTGTGCGATGAGTAGGGAGACGCGGCGTTTCGCTTCGATCTTCAACGTTCTTTGGAGAATAAGGGCATCGACGAACTGCAGTACAAAGACATTGTTAGCCTATAGCTATGGGTGGCAAGAGGAAGAGCTGCCTACCTGGTTGGCGTGGGGCGCCGCAACGAAGAGCACTGGGCCGTGTCGAGGAACCTTCCAAGCACCGCGGGGGTGTACCTCGCGGAAGAACAAGTCTGCCAGCACAGACATGATCCACAAGAACCCATCGTATTTCCAGTTGCTCATGGGGTAGAGTTCCTTTTGGGGTGCAGCTTCCTTTGTAGCGCCCTGCTGGGCCCCTCTCGGCGCCTCGGAAGACATGGCGACGGTGTGGGAAGTGGGTGTAGAGCTCAATGGCAGAGTGGCGTGTCGGGTTCTGCCTGTGTCACGTTCTTTATGTTAATGGAGCGGAAAGGCGTAGAGCGTCAATCGTAAATCGTAATCAGGAACTCGTGGCTTAAAGCGGTCCGGTTTTCGTGTGCTACCGTGATACTCGATATCGTGTCATCCAAGTGAGAACGTAGACGTAGCGTGATTGAGGTTATGTCGCGATTAGGTTGACCGTCGAAGCTGGCACGGGTTGAAGCTGAGGCAACGACGCCAAGACAAGACTTGTCACGCGCAAAAGCAGCTTTAGATATTCGCAACCAGTGGGGCACGTCCCTCGCAACGGTCTGCAAACATCGAGGTGAAAGATAAGATCAGGATATTGATAATAACACGTTTGAATTGGCGTATTGGGAGTGTCAAGCGAAGGAAAGGCCAAAGCAATAGCGACACGGGTTGGATGAAGTGAGGGAAACCTGGAATGCTCGAGCAGGAGGCGACAGGAATCTGAATGCGACAGAACAAATTCGGCCCAGGTGCCGGCCAAGAACCAAAAATATGTGGGTCCCAACGATGTCATCCCCACTCTGCACCCAAGCTCCCTCCTGAGCCGTTGGCCCGGGCGTCTCGGTGGGCGTTCTGGCACAGAAACGGTGCCACCCCCAGAAAGCGCCTCCAGGGTCCGTCCATTGGCTGGACAGTGGCCAAAAACAGCTGAAGGCCCCCTCTCAAGCGGTTGACACCCGCATTTGCGCATTCCAGCAACAAGGCAGGATGCGGCAAATGCAGCTGCGTGTAACTAACGCCAACCAGAATCGGAAAGGCGTGATGCAGAATTCTCAACAATTCGCCATCCAGATGATATTGATGGGGGAAAGGCACGTCGAGAAGAAGAAATTCTTTGACGGACATACGATACCGTAACATCAGTTGCTGACGGCACCGTGTTTCTCGACCCCTCCACTCGCTTCTCTCGGCCCTCCACTGGAGATAGATACCAATTAGCGAGATAGCGATTTATTGATCCGATAGCGTTCCCCCTCCGGCAACTCCATATCGATGGGTCTGGGCCGACGACACAGAGAATTGACACAGGAAGCCCGCAGAAGGTATTCCTGGGTAACTCGAAACGCTGCGCTCCTCGCCACATTACTTCGTACATCGCAGTTTTTCCTCTCCGCCCCGGGAAACCCGTTCCTTCAAAAATTCAAAAGTGCCCCATTCCTTGGCCCCGGCGCTCGGTGTCACTGTGGCCGGCCCGGTCTTGCCAAGCCTTGACAGGGCAGATGTTCCCCACCAGCATCCAACCTCACAACCATGCGCTTTTGCATGTGACTGCTGATCGGCAGGCTCGCGAGCTGAAGGCTTGGGGGGCTGTTGCGCGGGGGACAGCGGTGTATGTTCATATTCATCGACAAAAAAAAAGATAGAAAAAAATAGGTGAAAGGAGGTAGACACGAAGAAGCCAAGTTTTGTTACATTGATGTGAGCGCTCTTGATAAAATGTTTGGTTGAAACATGGTCTCCAGATGTATTGTAACCCCCTGGTCTACAACAGGCTTCTCAGCTGCTCTCCACATTGTACTCGTACGATACTTGACACATAACCCATCGCACAGCAAGCAGGCAACCTCACTTCTTCCTCCCCTTCCCCTTCCTCTTCCCACCACTCCCCTCCGCCACACCCACCGTGCCATCCTCCAACTCGCCCTGCCCAACCCTCCCCTCCCTCTCCATCTCGCGCAGCTTCTCCTGCCCGCTAATAAACATGGTCAAATCGCGATTCATCTCCTTGAGCTCCTCATTCTCAGCCCGCAGCTGCTCGACCAGCCTTCCCGTGCCCTCGGCCTCCCCCTTGACATGCTCGATGCGCGTCATCAGCCCCGCGCTGACCTCCTTCTCCTCCTGCAGCGCCTTGCTTAAGCTCCGCGCCAGCTCGGCCGACTTAGTCGCGCGCGCCTTTTCCTTGGCCAGCTCCTTCTCCAGCGCAGGCACCGTCTCGTTTTTGAGTACTCGGTGCTCGTCGCGCAGCACAGAGAGTTGCTTCAGGGCCTCGGCGGCCTGGCTTGACGCTGATTCCGCCGCGGCGGATGCCTTGGCGGCCTTGTCCGCCGCCTTGTTGACCATCTCCTCGAAGTAGACGCGCTGGCTCTCGAGCTGGCTGGTGAGGAGGTGGGTGTACTCCATGCCGATGCTGTCGAGCTTGGCGCGCGGGACGACGTCCTCCTGGGCTGCTGGGCCGCCTCCGCCGGGGGTTGCCGCGGCCGCCCGGGACTGCCGATCGTTGGTGGTGTTGCGCGGTAGCTCGACCACCTTCCCGTCGCCCTTGTCGCGGATCAGCCGGTGCACCCACATGTCGCCGGCGTAGTCCCAGACGTGCTGGGTCTGGAGCTCGAGGCTGAAGCTGTGCGCCGTCATCTTCCAGTGCTCTTTGGCGTGGCCGCCGTTGTAGCGCCCGCAGCCGACGTTTCCGCAGATTAAACAGATCCAGAGGTCGTCGGTGCAGTTGCAGTTGTTGCAGATGTTGGAGACGCCCGAACCAAACGGCTGCGAGTACGGGTTGTCGGAATCGTACTCCTCTGTGGGTTTGGGGTTCGTCGCCCGGCAGACAGGGCACCCCGAGCCTTTCCAGGTTTGCAAGCATGTGCAGTGGAATACGTGCTGGCAGAGTGTGGTCATAAGGCCGGAAGTGTCGTCCATGCGCTCGAGGCACACTGTGCAGGTCGGGAGCTCGATGAGGTTTGGAGTCGGCGGTGGGAATGGTTTGAGGGAATTGGCCAGTGGAGAGGTAGGTGAGAAGCGATCGTTGTTCCCCTCGGAATGTTTTCTTTGGGTGTTGGCCTCGTTCGGTGTCTCAACTATGATCGACTTGATGAAAGTGACATGGCAGATCTCGGTCTACTCCGTAGTCAGTAAATCTGCCCCTCGGGGCTAGAGAAGTTGGGAGGTAGCTCACTTCCACGCTATCAAACGGCTTCCCGTCAAACTCCTTCCGCCACTCCTGGGCTTTCCAGCTATCCCGAAACTTCATCAAAACCATATACCGGTTCACTCTACCGGTCATGATCATCCGGTAATGGCTGACACATCCCCTCCACTTCTCCCCGATGAACCCCAAAAAGTCACTGGGAGACATGTAGCTGGGAACAGCCGGTATACACAGAATCGTGCCTTCTTCATCTCCTCCGGCACTATCTTGCCCCCTGCTGTTCCCGTCTTCCGGCCCATGATGTGTCTCCTGAGCTACCCCCATCACACCCGGCTCATCGCCCTCCCGGTAGAGGTGGACAACCCCCCACCCCGCCTCGGTATTCTTGGTCTCCAGCGGGGCGTACCTCGCCTTAGTCGACAACCCCATCCCGCCCAGATTTGGTCCCAAGCTCGCAGCCGGCGTGGCCGTGGCCGCCGTGGCGGCCTCACCCCGCTCTTGTTTGTTCCCCGCCATCCCGATCTCCCCGTTGTCTGTAGTAGCAGCAAGATCGAAGCTCTCGACGCGGACCCGTCCAAACCGCCAGTCGCGAACAGCCGTGCGCGGGCCGATCCCGTCCTCGGCCCTGGGCGTGTGCTCGTCGTATCGGTGGCGGAACGGTTGTGCGCTCTCGAGGGGAGCCGTGCCGTGAGGTCCGGCGGCACCACCGCGGCGCGCGCCGCAGTCGATGACCCTCGAGTTCACCGGCACAGCGACTGTGCTTGGATACGTCGCCGTTCGGTGTCTGCTACTTGTGTGCTCGCTGTCGCTGTAGGGACTGTCGAGGCTGAGGTCCCACTGCCGCCAGCGCGGGGGGATCGGTTGCGCGAGTTTCTCTCGTTGGAGTTGAGGTCGCGGGTGGGAGGGGAGCTCGTCAAAAATGTTTGCACCGGGAGCGGGGATCCAGATATCGTGGTCGGGTGTGGCAGCCTTGCTGTTGCTGCTGCTGCGGCCGACTTGCTTTCCTGGTGCCGGCGCGGTCGGATCGGGCGTCGCGTACAGCTCGAGCTTGAGATGGTAATCGTACGGTGGCATAGCAGCTGGACTGCAGCAGCGCTGTCAAGTCGGGCCGAAAGGGTGCGCGGCTCGGGTCGCAAGTTGTTGTCGAGAAGTGAAGTGCTGGAAGTACGAGGAAGAGTGACTGTGTGGCAAAGATTTTGGAGGAGGGGTCATGGAGGTAATAAAGGCTCTGCTTCTCGAAGCTTGCCGTTTCTTGCAGCAAGCTGCATCATGAGTTAGGCGTGTTTGCCGTCACTGTTGGCATCACTAGAAAATTCACAGCTCAGGTCAAGATAATTTGCTTCCCCTGCTGGTGAGGTTGGGTCGCTTGCCACCAAGAATAACCTAGCCTTCCATGCATGAGTGCCACGCATTCCGCTTTCGGAATGCCCCGCAACGCATTACCAACAAACGCATCATTTCATCATCGTCACATTGAAAGTGCAAACTCCAGTGAGACTCAAATTGAGTATATTCGTGAATGGTATCTCAATGGTACCGTGTCATCATGCTATTAGGGCGAGGTTTCTCTGGTCGCTGATTGCTGACCGTCCCAAAACCGCTAAAACACCGTCATATCCCCCACATCCTCATTCCCAGTATTCAGACCGCTTACTGGCCACCACGGAGACGCAACACCAAGTGGAGAGTGCTCTCCTTCTGGATGTTGTAATCGGACAGAGTCCGACCATCCTCCAACTGCTTGCCGGCGAAAATGAGACGTTGCTGGTCTGGGGGAATGCCCTCCTTGTCCTGAATCTTGGACTTTACGTTGTCGATCGTATCCGAAGATTCCACCTCCAGAGTAATCGTCTTCCCCGTGAGGGTCTTGACGAAGATCTGCATACCACCACGGAGCCGCAGCACCAAGTGGAGGGTGCTCTCCTTCTGGATGTTATAATCGGACAAAGTCCGACCATCCTCCAACTGCTTGCCGGCGAAAATGAGACGCTGCTGGTCAGGCGGGATACCCTCCTTGTCCTGGATCTTCGACTTCACATTGTCGATCGTGTCCGACGACTCAACCTCCAATGTGATCGTCTTTCCCGTGAGGGTCTTGACGAAGATCTGCATACCACCGCGCAGGCGCAGGACAAGATGCAGGGTGCTCTCCTTCTGGATATTATAATCCGAAAGAGTGCGACCATCCTCGAGTTGCTTGCCAGCAAAAATCAGGCGCTGCTGGTCAGGAGGGATACCCTCCTTATCCTGGATCTTCGACTTAACATTGTCGATAGTATCCGATGATTCCACCTCCAGGGTGATGGTCTTGCCGGTCAGAGTCTTGACGAAGATTTGCATACCGCCACGAAGACGGAGGACGAGGTGAAGCGTCGATTCCTTTTGGATGTTGTAATCCGAGAGGGTGCGGCCGTCCTCGAGTTGTTTGCCCGCGAAAATCAGGCGCTGCTGGTCGGGCGGGATACCCTCCTTGTCTTGAATTTTCGACTTAACATTGTCGATGGTATCGGAGGACTCCACCTCAAGGGTGATGGTCTTGCCAGTCACTAAATTTGGAGTCAGTAACGAGTCGAGTGCGGGGCAGAGGGGGCCGACGGTGCCTCGCGATGACAGCCGACCACGCCCGGTGACGAGGAGCGTAACTTACAAGTCTTGACAAAGATCTGCATGTTTGCAGGTATTCTTGTTGGTCTCGAGTAGTGTTTGTGTGTGGAGATGGATGTCCTTGGTAGCAGAGCAAAGGAAGTCGATGATGTTTTGGGGAAGAGAAGGATCTGGGTGGCAGAAGGGAGCTGGGATGGGTTAAATACTATCGGGCAAGCAAGTCGACTGTGGCAGGCTGCCGCCGGGAAGCGGGGCTGTGAATGCGTCAGGAAGGCGCAACAGCCACAAAACGGTCAATGCGGAGGCAGAGAAGTGGAGCGAAGTCACCAGAACAGGCCAGCCAGGCGGGTGCACAATGAGGCGAATGGGACAGCCTTGCCCCTTCGGTCTTTGTTGCCACAGCGCACAACTGCACATGTGCTGAATCAGCAGGCAGATGTTTGCTCCGATAGTCAAAGAATTCGTCAGCCTTCTATTTCTCAAAAAAAAAAAAAATCGTTATGTTAATTGTGCAGCCGTTGGGCGCTGCTGCCGGAACGCATTCCTGAGTTCCAGAGGAACAGGACAACCTCTCACCCAACAATACAACCAACCACCCCGGTCCTGGCACCAACGGCCTCAGCTCCGCCCCCCGCATTTCCTGATGGGCCCGGCGAGGCCGGTGACGTGGTCGGCAAGCGAACGTTGCGCGCGCAAACACCGGCCAGCCCGTTGAGATGTGGCACCTTCGAGTTGTGGCCAAAAGACGTTGTGCTTTTTATCTTTTATCAGAATAGCAGGATGCATTAACGATCTCCAACCGACCGCTTGCAGTCTGTTGGGCCCCGAGGGGGCCACCTAACACAGAGACCAGGCCAAGCAATGTACTTCTTTGCCCCGTCAATTCCCGTTGCGATAGGGCAAGCAGGTCTCAGACCGCGATTCCCGCTCCCAGCCTTCCGTACCACACGAGCTGCTGCACTATCGTGCTACCACGGTACACTATCTATCCTTTCAGCCAACACCGCATGCGTTCTTCCATCTTATCGGACATTGCTCCGAGTAGATACGAATAACTCCACCTCGCATCGTCCTCACCTCCTGGGCCCTCCCCACTCTCCCCAGCTGACACCTCTCGCTCGAAACCGCCGAGGCAAAGTGGCATAAAGACATTCTCGCCCAGAGCATTCCGAGACGCGAAGCCAAGGAACGAAAGTGTGAAGTTGCGGTGTAACTGAGCCTATCGAGGTATTTCATGCATCAGACCCGAAACGGACCAAATCGCGCCATTCTGGAGGAAAGGACCCCAACAGGGACTTGTCATCTGATCGACGTCATCACGCGTTCGCCAAGGTGCTCCATAGCTAACCCCCTCGGCGTTTGTTCCTGTCAATCAATCCACAACCCCGCAACGCTCCGACGAGGTGCTTTTTAGAAAGGCAATAAACAATAAGAAGAGGACGAGGTCAACATTATACCAACATGTGGATTTCTCCCCTCAAATAACTGCAAGAGGGCCTACCTGTCTTCATGATGCCTAGGTAGTTAACTGACCCCACCCCGAACCCAATTCGCACTTCTCACCCCTCTCCGGACTGCGAGTGTGCGGCGAGGATGGAGTGAGTATTGTGTATAATTGCGTTGATATTTCTTCATTATTAGAGGGCGCTTAATAATCCCAAATTTCGTCACCTCACATCAGCCCAAAAAAAGGGGGAGCGTATCGCAACCCCCCCAAAAAAGTCTATGATGGAGGGGCGGGAAGCGGTATCGTGGCCCGGGAATGCCCGGACGAATGCAGGTAGCCGAGAGAGAGATTATACCCACGGCTTCTGCGCCAACTTGGGATACACTATGTATGCAAGGTGTTGGGAGAAATGATAAGATGCAGTCATCTTACAGAAAAAGTGAAACAGCCGAGACGAAAGTGGACGGGCCACAGCGCCCTTCGAATTGCGCACGGTGAGGTACTTGAAGGACATCGACAACCAACCTCGTTATATGTTACATCCACGCAGCAGAACCACCACCCCATTCAGAACCCTCACGCAGAAACGGTGCAGGTATCAATCGTCAAGACAGTCTGTCAAATCAGAGCAATTCGCCCGGCCTCAAATTCCTTCGCTCCTTAGCCCACCGCTCAATATCACACAGCTCGCAACCCGTCAACTCAACAACCGACCTCCCATGTTGGCAACGCTCAAACAAGCAAGCAATACTACACCACAGTCCATAGTCATACGTCTCGCGGGGCGACAACTATTATCTCTCAGGCCAACACTGAAAACCATGTAAACCAAAAACCGCAAAAAGATGTCTTTTTCTATATGCTCTGCGCATTTCATCTTCGTGATCGCCAAACATCGCGAACTGAATAGAATCGCCCAAGCCTTGCCTATCCATCCTCAATATTGCTCCCTGCCCTCTGTGTCCTATTGTCCCCCTTCCGTCGATCACCATCCCGCCGAGGGATGGAATTCAAGATCGTCGGTGCTCTGTTGTGGTTACCGGGTGTAGGTGCAAGGCTGCGTAAAATGCAATGTGTATGTGCTTGCGCTCTCTAACAAATCATCAAGGTGGTAAAAATATTTGTGTGCTTTTAGTCATAACTCAATGCCTTTCCCGTCATCATGGACGTCAGTCATTTCCGTGGTAGCGTGGGTCCCGTCGTGTGGGTTAGCCAGCCCAAAGTGAGAGTGCTGAAGATGAAAAAACAGATAGTAACGAGAGTCGTGGCAAGTGAAGATAGAACAAGTAGTAAGAGAAAAGAAATAATACGAGACGAAAGACAAGAACGCCGTCGCTCAGCAGCACCAGACAAAATCAAGCAAAAACACAAGAAACGGAGATTAAATAGAAATCATGGCCCTCGCTGGTTGAAACATAAAGTTTAGACCGTCAACGACAACGGGTACTGTGGCGGAACAGCACATCGCAGAAGCAGAGGGGCGCGCTTAGTTGGACCGGATGACAAGCTTCGAGAGCAGCTTGTTTGATAACGAGTCGAAGTCGTAGCGGTCAAACTTGGATTCGGAACGCGTCCTCAGGTATGCCTCTTCACGGGGGGTCAGCTCTGAACTCAAGAAACGAGAGGCGTTGCAACTTACCATGCTTAATAACGTGCTGCCGTACTTCGGTCATGGCCTCGCAGACGGCGGGGTTGTTGTTAAGCAGTTGGCCGTGCCTCCGGGTATCCCACTCGGTGAAGGCGGGCAGTTTCTGGGAGATGGCGTGGAACAGGCCAACGATGACGCCCACCGGAACGGTCTCCATGTCGCTGCAGAACTTGTCGACGGCGACCGGGTCGGGCACACGGTAGTGGCAGTCGAACTGGATCTCTTCCCAGACCGCCAGCAGAATGGAAGCCAGCATGAAGATGGTGGGCCAGTTCTTCAGCCGCTCTCCGCTGTAGACACTCGAGTAGAGAGCCGAAAGCTCCTCGAGGATATCCTTTTGCAGCTCACGCCACATGTCGGCCATGGCGCACTTGATCTGGAAGTTGATCATGACAGGAGCAACGACCTTGCCGTAATACTTGGAGTCTTCGTCGTCGATCTGGCCCTCCATCGGCTCTTCTGTCTGCGGTTGCTCAACCATGGTGATGTGTAGGGTGAGATTGTAGGCGACCACGAGCTTGAGAGCCTTGCGGATAACGGGAAGCCTCTCCTTCGTGTAAAACCGATAGGCGGTCTTGAAAATCTCGGTGATGAAAGGAGTACCCTCGAAATGGTCGTCGATGAAGTTCTCAAAGCCCTCGTCGATGTGCTTGTCGAGATACTCGTGGAGGGCCTCCATCGAGATGCCTTCCTGGCCAACATCGAGGCGCTCGGTGCGGATCTCGTAATCGATGGGATCTTGGTCTTGCAGAGTCGACTCAACCCAGTCGACCTGGAAGCAGCTCTCGTCCGCCACGTACACCTCGCGGACCAGGACCGGGAGACAGAAACCATAGCCGTGCGTGATCCACATCAGCGTCTCCTTCTGCGCAAAACCCTTCACGTTGAACACAGACATGCCGAGGCCGAGATGGCGCTCGTAATCGGCCTTCCAATCCTTCATGAAATAGCCGATGTCCTTGATATCGATACGAGTGCAAGGGACCTGCCACAAACGAGCGTGCGAAGGCTGGCAACCAGCACAAGGCTCGCCCTTGTCGCACGTCTTCTTGAGGAATTTGCATCGGAGACACGCCCTGAGTTTCCGGATCTCGCTAGCCTGCTTGCGCTGCTCGGGGAGCAACGGCCCGCGCCTCCGGCCCACCTTCTTCTCGCCAGTGCCATCCTTCTTCCCCGTCGATGTCCTCCGAATGACCGACTTTGTGGCCTTGGCGATCGGGCTCTTTCTCGTCCCCGAATTCCGCCTTGTCGGGGGTGATGTGGACCCAGAACCGCTGGAACCGTTGGCAACCACGGGCCGAGTGGGCGTCACAGCCTTGATGGGCAAGGGCGCGACAGCCGTAGTGGGGCTGATGAGTTCCGGAGATGTCGACGCATGAGGGTGGTGCTCTCCATGCAAGCAGTTACGGTGGCTATTCGAGAGGTCCACGAACCCGTCGGAGGATGGTGAGGTGGGAAAGTAGGGGAAAGTAACCTCTTCGTAGCCGAACTCGAGCGAGTTAGCGTCGGACGTCGAGGAATCCGAATTCGTCCTCAAATGCAGTGTTTGGCTCGGGTTGAAAATCGCCTGGCTCTGGGAATGTTGGGGTTGAGTAAATGTGTCACAGTTGGGATACATTTCCACTGGCGTCCAGCCATTGTCGCTACTCGAGCCCAACGACAGGACCTCGAAAGTGCCTGTCGGGGAATGGCTCCCAAGACTCCTCACGCGGGGAAGGCCGTCATGCTGGAAGTTGAGTGACTGATCGAAATCCTGCCAGTTCGGCCCCCATTGCATCACCCGAGATGAGGGATCGATTGGCGGCATAAATGCTGGTTCTAGTTGGAGACCGGCTTCGAGAGTAGCTTGTGTGGTCGCCGGAAGATACTCGATCGGGGACGGCTGGAAGTTGGACGCATAGGGGTTGAAGTTCATCAGACTAGGGTCCTGGATGAAATGAGAGAGATCAGCAGCCCGCTGCTGCTGGGCCTGCAAAGGAATGGACCAGTCCGGCATGAGGCCCGTGGGATGAGGGTGAGCGGTCGTCTGATAAGGGGACGGCTGTTGTTGGAGCGGGCTCGACATAGTGCTGCTCTGGTGCCCTGGTGAACGGGCGCTCAGGTCTTCTGGGGATGAGGGCGTCCCGCTGCCCGAGTTAGGGGAGTGGATCGACATGGGCGCGCTCACGGTGCCAGCCAGCTCGAGGGGCAGCCAGTTCGTCACCGGGCTCAGGCTCTGACGGCTCGCTTGCGGCATGGTGGTCAGGGCGGTCGAGGAGAGATCTTGAGATGGGGCGGCCGAGGACACAACGGGATATGAATAACGGTCGCTGTTATCAAACACAAGCTGTTCCAACAGTACGGCTTCTCCCCCAGCGGTGGTGAAGTCGTAGGTCATGTTGGGCAGATCCAGGAAGGGAACGCAACAGGACGAGTCGGTCAAAAGGGGATTGGAGAGTATTCGGGAGTATTGTCGCGCCGGGCTTGGACGACGAGGGGGGACGAGGGGGACGACGAGGGGGATGGACACCGCTCTTTTTCTCTTGGGATGCCGAGTCGGTCAAGAGGGGTTCGTTGTGCCGGGCCTTCTTCCCAGCGTTGCGTCGTCGACAAAAAGAGAAACTCGACTCCGCCGAGGACGGGTCCTGGCGCCTTCGTCTGCGTTGCTCGTGGGAAAGGGAAAGGAGGCGGCGCGATAGTCTGGGGAAAGCGTGCGGGAGGAACCCTTTCGGGCGTTGGCGAGGGCGTAAGAAAACGCCTTGCTTGGCCCGGAGCGGAAGATCGCTGGACTGGAGTGCTGGACGGGGCGCTGGTGGAGCGCAACGCTGTCCCCCGCCCCAGTCGCCCGCTGTCTTCCCACGAAGCTCACTCGCTCCTGCTGGTTGAGAAGAGGCGGTGAGAGTGCAGCCAAACCCTGGTCCTAACCCCCTCGTTGATTGGACCCTGCCGCCCCAGATCACGCCTGCCGTGGGTGGGTGCAGGGTCCTTTTATCCAATCATTGCCGGCCAGCCAGGCCGCGAGTGGTCAAGCTCGCAGCGCGGGATCGTCGTGGTCTCGCCGCGCCGCACTGTGCTGAGACCTCTCCATCCTGCCAGTCCTGCCAGGTTTCCCAGCCCCGCCCGCCGCAGCGCCGACTCCCAGATCGCGAAGCCGGGTCGGATCCAGAAGGCGAGCGTGTCAAAATAATTGTGCGAACAGCCACCTGTTGGCGTTTCCGGGTTGAGAGAAACGGAACTAATTCGATCGCCGTTAGGTCACAAACCCTCCGAGAAATGGGTTTGTTGTTCGATAACTCAACGACACAACATCTGCCAGATCTTCATTCTCTGTGGCGCCTTTGGCGTCTTAGTGTAGCTTGTTTTTTTAAACGCTCTGGCGCCTCGTTCCTATCAAAAGGATGCCCCCAGGCACATCTTGCATTGATGAACCTCGAACCGTCGAACTTCCAACTCCACAAATATGAACCACCAGCCGGGTTTTTTTGTCGGTGGGGCAGCTGAGCCCACAGATGTCGCGCAGATCGACTTTCAAGAGCACGGCCCGACACGTTGCTCCCCAAAGCAACAGAAGCAAGCGGATAGTTAAGCCATGTGCAATTTCGAGATAACATGTCCTGGTGTGACATCTGCGCGTCAGATTTCATCCGGACTCGACACGCATTGTGGTGGTGCCTGCGTGGGGAGATGCAACGGCTTCCGTTCCATAGCATCCATGGAAGCATTGCAGTCTTGTTTGACAGTGACAGTGTCAGTGTCTTCCTGCTGTGTGATGGCACCTCGGCTTCTACCGAATCAATTCTTCGGGCGACGAACCCCCATTGGCGGCTGAATGCGTTGTCACCGTTGGCCTGGGTTGCACTCGGCTCGTTGAGCTGGTTTCGGAGTATTAATCAGGTGTCCAGATCGTCTTTCCCACTGTGCATCTGCTTGGTGTGCTTCTTGTGTCTCCACGGTTCCCCACACATATCAGATCCCTCCCGAAGTGGGACTTTCGATCACTGCTTCTGACGAACCTCAAAAAACCGACTCATCAACGGCCAGTTCCCCTGAAGTCGGAAATGCTGGACATTGGAGCACGTGGATTGGTCAATTGGTTTTGGCTCATCATCATCCTCATCGCCATGGTTTCTGAAGCATTAGAGATGAACGAAGAACTCCCGACTCTTTAGGAGATCGATCGTCAGACCCATCTTCGGGTTCGTTGATGCAATTGATGCAAGCTAACAGTAGACTGGCTAGTGCCTAGGACGGGCTCGCTGGACATGGTCCACGTCAATCAGTCCACTGGGGCAAAAACAACAGCCTACAAGTACACTAGTGCCGTAGGGGCTTATCCGCATGTACCAGGGGCCTCGAACAACATGCCTCCATGCCTCTCTTGAGGACCCCACCGACTATCAATGCCGCCATCCTCCCATATCAGGGGACCCCTCAGGGCCGTATCCACGTCTCCAGCCGTTGAGATCAGTTAGGACACAGTAAACAACAACCGGGGTCAGCGGTGGACGCTGTGAAGATTGGTAGAACAGGGTCCAAAAAGACGAGCAAAAGAAACAAGATTTCTCCGCAGACACGTCGAGGGAAAAAGCAACGAGCAAGGGGCACTTCATCAAAACACATCGGCATGAAGAGGCGCTGTTTCTGCTGCCGCGCAACAGCGCGTTCCTGCTCAAGGCAGCGGAATATCCGTGGCCCGGGTTGGCTAGAGATGCACGTGTCGGGTTGTTTACATGGGGCGAGGCGCGGGGGTGAAAGGGGCTTGTTACCCAGAACAGATTCGGCCAGACCCCCGTGTTTGCTCGGCCGGGGAAGCTCCCGAACGAATCCGGCACCCGCGGTTGCCGCCTCGGAGCCTCCTCGCCCCAACCAGCCCCGGTCCAGGTCCAGGTTTTTGTTGACCAGCCCGGTCACAGCGGCTTGCTGCAACCCAGCCCGGCCCGGTGCCGCCGGCTAGCCCCGACCAAAGAACCTGAGGCCGAGTTCAGCTTGAGCAAGTCTTTCGGAGCACCCCGAAAAGTTGAGTTTTCAATCGGCTTTTCAGTGGCGAATTGTTTTCGTGGACTGGCTACCCAAATCTGGGCAAAGGTACTTGCAGAGCGCCATAGTTAGTCTGTCTTAGAACCCCGCCAGCTAGCCGCCGAGGAGGCATAGTACGATCCAGACTCGTAGATCTGTCTGATCTGCCGGGAGGGTCGGCGGACGGGAGAGGATCACCTTGGACAAAGCTTGGAAATGTCCCAAGCCATTTGGAGGGTGTTTGATAGCTGGCTCACGTAAAGGCAATGGTGTCCGGCAAGGTGCACACTGGCGTCCCGAGTCCGGGTCCCTTTGTTGCGAGGCCGGACCGAGGACTGAGCGGGTGCCGAGTCCGCAACTCGAAACCTCGACGTGGCTCGATGCTCGAGCAGCTGGACGAGGATTGGCCACGGTGGCTGGGTGGCTGATCCAACAGGCGCATGGACATCGGCATGCCGAATCCAGAAGCCCGGGCCCGGTGCCGCCATCAAATGGAAGCGGTACTTTAATGGATGATTTGTTGGTTCCGAACGCTGTGCCCCGGCGCCGAACCCGGGATTAACGCAGTTCTGTGATGCAAGTTCCCAGGCTCCCGGGGTAGGAGTTCCGATTGCGAAAAGCCTCTCGGGAACCTGGGATATTCACTCTTGACCCTAACCATTAAATTTAACGTGCGAGGGATGACGCAATTACCTGGGTACCTTTACACATTGTATGATGAACGAGGAAGGTACCTTTCTGTCCACGAATCTCGGGTTATGATTAGAAAAAAGCTGGCCCGCTTTGGGGGGGGAATTTTTTATCCATCAACAACTCCAATTCCCAAAGCTCCCCTCACTTGGTCGAGGTCTTGGCGCTCGGGCCCAATCACAGCGTCTCCATTGCCGCAAACATGCCCGGTTTCCATTTGCGGTATCAGAATAATGTTAACGAGTAAGGTCATCACAACTATTGTTTCCCGATTTGGCGTATCCCCTTCGAAAGAATTGGCTACTCGACAGCCCGGTTGGGAACAAAGGGTCAAATGCGTCAAAAAGGCGTTGCCTTCCCATGGAAAAAGATGGCAGCCCAACAACGGCGACCACCACCATCGGATTCATCACCGTCTCCGGCAACCCGCAGTGGTGATATCGAACAAGTAGACGAAGAAATAACATTCGACAAAATACACCCGGGCTTTATGATTCCCGATCTTTTCACACAACTCCCGCCCGTACGGGACACCCTCGTCACGGGCACCTCTACGGTCCAGGATGAGACCGTCGAGGTCTGTCTTCCGTTCCTGGCCGGGGAGGATGGGGATTTCAAGTACAACGGACACGGCGTGCCCGGTATTTACAGGGCGAAGCACGTCCGGTTCTTGCATCAGTGCTTGGGAAAACTTCCCGCCCGCTTCGTGGCTGCCGACGCTAGCAGGCCGTGGTTTCTGTACTGGTGTTTGTCGGCGCTCACCATGCTTGGAGAAGATGTGACATCTTACCGGGACTCGATCATTCAGACTGCGCGCTCGATGCAGAACGACACGGGTGGGTTTGGCGGTGGTGGCAGGCAGCTCTCCCACATAGCGACGACTTATGCTGTGGTCCTGTCACTTGCGTTGGTTGGGGGTGAGGAGGCATATCAAGTGGTTGATCGGAAGGCGATGTGGAAGTGGCTCGGCAGCTTGAAGCAACCAGATGGCGGATTCCAGGTCTTCGTTGGGGGCGAGGAAGATATCAGGTATGTCTGTTCAGGGAAACAAGAGAAGAAGGTTCAAGCTGACCACCGAGAAAGGGGGGCATACTGCGCAGCGGTCATAATCTCACTGCTGCGTCTCCCGCTGGATCTGGCACCCGAGTCCCCGGCATATACGGGAAGCAGCAGTGTCAACCTCCTCACTGGTGTAGCCGACTATGTACGACGATGTAAGCAGCGGAAGTGCATGCTGATCGCATCGCCAGACTACGGCTAACCCATCTAGGTCAAACATTCGAAGGCGGCATATCAGGCCAGCCAAACGCCGAGGCCCACGGGGCATACGCCTTCTGCGCGCTTGGTTGCCTCGCACTTCTCGACCACCCAGGCCGCAGCATCCCAAGGTATGTACGCAACATCGGGTGACGGCGGACAGCGGTCGTCCTCTATTCCTCATCCGTCCACAAATCCATCCGCCCACGTGTGGCGAAGAGAGCACGACATACTGACGACGATCAATCTGCAACCACAGCTATCTCGACGTTCCACGGCTGATCGCCTGGTTGTCGTCACGGCAGTATGCACCCGAGGGGGGCTTCTCCGGACGCACCAACAAGCTGGTTGACGGCTGTTACAGTCACTGGGTCGGCGGATGCTTTCCACTCATCGAGGCATGCCTCAACAGCAACATAGGCCGCAGTAGCAGCGGTGGGGCCGTGGCCGCAGACGACCCGGCCGCCACCGCCACCGCAACCACTCGCACCACCACCAAAACCAGTCTACAGCCAGCAGACGAAAGCCTATTCAGCCGAGAAGGTCTGATCCGGTACATTCTCTGCTGCTGCCAAGACCAGACCAGACGGGGCGGCCTGCGCGACAAACCCGGAAAGTAAGTCCACGTCGACATTCTCACCATGTCCCCCCCCCCTTTTCCGCGTTTGCCCCTTACCCATGATCCCGCGTCTCTCTCCGTTCCTCATCGTGCCGATCCCCGTGCCGAGTCATGTGCCATGTCATGCGCACTCGAAACTAACTTCGCTCCCCTCTCCTCTCGTTCCCCCCCCCAACCAGAATGTCAGACGCCTACCACTCCTGCTACGTCCTCTCGGGCCTTAGCTCGGCCCAGCACCAGTGGGAGCTCGACGCGCTCGAGGAGCCCGACGCGCAGCAGCCCGACGACGCCGCTGCCGCTGCCGCCGGGCCCAATGAGCCACCCAGCAAGCCAGCGGCCGACCACCCCCGGGAGGCGGTGTGGGCGGTCCTGCCCTACCTCGACGGCCTGCAGGTCTTCGACAACAAGGACCGCGTGCGCCCCATCCATCCCGTCTACGCCATCCCGCAGCCGAGCGTGCGCGCGATTCAGGACTACTTTACGGACAGGCCAGGGTTCTGACAAATACAAAGCAAGATCGGTGCCGTTGGATCGTAAAAAAAGAAGACGTGATCAGGGGCGTGTGTTTGGTTGCTGTGTTGTTTTCTCCGCCCACATTCTTTTTCTAGGCGAGTGGCTGCCGGCAGACAAGGAGATGTCGGCCTTTGCGAAAAGGGAAAGAGTGCAGACCCAAATTACACTGCTGGTTGCCTTGTCCTGCTTACTGCCGATGTGGCTGCCCGGGTTTGGGATCTGTCATACTGCTTCTGTCATGGTCTATCCAGCTATTTGGGCTTTCCGATAACGGCCAAGGGAAAACACCAGTCAGTGTAGTTTGGAGCGGTGCGCCTCTAGCTTTTGGGGATAGCGTTGAACACATTAGCGGTTGAATCGAGCTCTCCAACAAGGAATGTGTACGTATACCGTACTACGTCTCTCGTTTATCCAACTTGAATGCGGTTTTCCCTTCACTTGGTATCATGATCACCTGGGCCAACACTGTCAAGTAGCACAGAAAGTACCCCCAATATCTGACACAACGGCCCACGGCGGTGACCCGCCGGGTGGCCATTTCCCAAGACCCAGGTGCAGCTGGCTATCTGGATCCAAATCGAAACGGCCAACACCGACCCCACCGCGTTTATCCCTCTGACGCCTATTGCCCCCCAAGTATTGGCCTCAAACGTACCTACCTGACCTGATGTGTGCAGATACGGAGGGGCCAGTTGGGAGACCGCCCGCCGCGGGACTACTCATGCAGTCTGTCCATTCCATGAGAGGATCTGGGCGAACCGAATGCCTGGGCCTTTGCATGCGCCGAGGAAGTCCCCGAGCAGCACGACACCGATCCTGCTTCTTTTTCACTGCCCGAACCTGGGCGGGCCACCCATGCTTGGACGGATGGGGACAGCGAGGTTGGAGGACTACCAATACACGGCTCGACCGATAATCTGGGTGGCGACGCGTCCACCGCGGTACCCGGAATCTCCTCGTTAGGTAGTATATTATTTTTCACATTCAAAATTCTTAGCTCCTTCTGGGAATTTGACGACGCCTGCCGCGGAAGCCGACCAAAGTCGACGTCAGGTTGAGAAAGACCAAAAAAAACAGGATGGAGCCGCGGCTGCATGCCGAACATCCAGATGACCAATGCTCTTCTCATCCTGAGTAGTGGTAGCTTGGTGACTCTATCGCCTCTCTCCTCCATTCGGTCACATTGCTCGGACTCGAGTGTCTCCGTGTTTTTGCAACACAATGGCCGCAGCAATGGGCCTCGGAGAGGGTCCCAGCTAGCATCCGGAGGACGACCGCCAGTGGCCCTCGAGATCTCCAGCGGAGGGTTGCATGCAAGGCGGCCAGCCGCATGAGTTCGAGAGGTACCACTGCTGTGGTGTAATCTATCCGAGTTTATGAAGTATGTCGACAAGAGGCAGCGGAGGTTACATGGTTAGAAGCTAAGGACCATGACGGGGGATCGAAATTACGGTGATAGATGTCGATGTCTTTTTTTACTAGTTTTTTAGGCCGCTTCGGCTATACTCTTTTTTTTTTTTTAGTTTTATTTTTCTTCTATCAGCCGCGGGATCATATCCACTTGGTGTGCGTGCCGTCGAGCGATCGCCGGCTGCGACTTGGATCGGTTCTGTGTAAACTTGTTCCAAGGGATGACGTTGCGCGGGGAACCACTGCTGAGGGGTTCATGTTTGCCCCTCATTGACATCTTCTAGAATCCCTGTCAAATTCTCGGGCATATTGTCCCCGCGGGGTTCGTCTGAAGTACTTTGTATGTTTGCTGTCTCTCATTACAAGGAGCATTTCTTCGTAGGCTTGGCCGGGTATGCATGTCACTTACCGGAGCCGGAGCCTGAGTGGCCGGACGGCGCTCGGAGCCACGCGGGCGGGATGTTTGTGAGCACTGGAATCGACTTTTTGATTCCGCGTTTCCATCACCTGGACACTAGGGGTTTGTTCACTCGGGCCTAGTCTTGTCATCCCGATGGGCTGCCACGAATGAAACAGCGTGATAGAATCGTCCTGTGTGTGATTTCCGCGTGGCCCCATACCAGTGGATGATTCTCGTCCGCCGTTGGCGAGAGAAGGCTCATGTCCAACCATCTGACGTCCCTGGCTGTCGTTGACGTTTGTTTGGAAGTTTGGAAGCTGAGGGCCTCATGGGATTGGACCGTTGATCGCTCCAGTTTATTCCTGGCGCTCCTCGGCCCTTGCCCGAACCAACCACTCAGGGGTCTAACATCGGGAATCGCGTTGATGGCGTTTGTAAGTCTTTCTTGCACCCAGATTGAAACCCGTGGGGATTCTGGAAATGGTGTGGGTCTGTCTCTCAAAACATGGAAATCACCAAATCACCAAACCGAGCGCCGAAGCAAATTCAGTTAGGTTCGGCTTGCCTCTCCACAGCGGGCAGGTACGATGCCCCTCCAAGCCCTCTCATTCCATGACCGAGTCGTGTGGTTGTGCCTTCCCTTCTGGTGGTTTCGGCGGGGTAATCTCCAAGGTAAATCTTACACTCCTGTATCGTGCGTATGTAAGGTACGTACCTCTTTACCCCACGGCGAGGCAATTTCCAATCCCGGCCACCTTCCATTCTTCGCGAATATTTTCTGCCCACCGCGTCGCTGAGCCCGGCAGTCCCCTGCTTCCGCTCACCTTCCATCCCGTCGACATCGCATATCCATCCATTGAACTGAGCTTCCTTTCGGAGCCCCAGCCTCCCTTTTCCTCTCTTCTCCTCTCCCTCCCCGCCCTCGCTTCGGCGGATGAGCGTCGTGGGGTCCGAGGCCGGTCGCAGGTCGCAGGTCGCGCTGTCGGTGCAACCATTCGATGGAGGCTATTCGCCATGTTTTTGCCCCCCCTCTCTCTCCGATCCATACCTGGAGTCTTGTTTTAATATCCAAGAAGCACTGCCAGCTCATCATTGCATGAGCGTTAAGGTTGGCCTGTGCCGAGTTGCCTTGCGGCCGCGCCCGCCATTCAGAACCGCCGCTCGTCGTTGGGGCCAGATGCAGGACATGCAAGGGTTTGCCGGCCCCAGCCACTGTTCATGCACCTCATCGTCCTTCACCGACTTCGTGGTGTGGCCTCAAGCCAGTCATTCTCCGGCTCCTCGCTCACCCCGGCTGGCTGTTTGGTCCGCCGCCAGGGAGGGGCAGTATTCGCCATCCGGACGATCACGATCGCGGGACCGTCCAATGCCTTCCTCATGGGTCGTATTGATCCGAACAAGCGCTGCTCGCCGTCTCGACTTTTTCCAGTTTTTTTTTGTTAGCCGTCGTCCCGGAAAACCCAATTGCCCCCCTCTGATTCGTCGGCTCACCGGGCGAGTACCTGTCGCATGTCGGAGGGAAAGTTTCCAGAACCGCTTCCCAAAGCCCCGGCCCTCTGTTAGACGTCGCTTGCCGACGGTGACGGAGACGTGAAACTGGCGAATCGCCCATGGCCCGCGCATCTGCATGGCCCGGAGAGCTAACCTCTGCATGTTTGGCCCCGGGCACTTGCGTCGTTGCTAGCTCTTCTAAGCACCGTATCCTCCTCCCGTTCCCCACGAGCCCGTCCAGTCATGTACTCGCGGGGCGTTGTCCTGCCGCATACTCCCTTTTGCGGTCTGCCGCAGAGTTTACAGCACTTGGCAACGAGGACCGCATGGTGAGCATGTATCGGTCATGTACGCGATATGTACATCATTGCACCTCCTGCCCGTGGGTGGCACAGTTGCGGTACCGCGCGGATACATTCGTGCAATACATGGGCGATTCGCTGCAGGTGCAGTATTATTAGTCGCCGCCGGACGAGACCTCAGCATCCCTCGAAGTCCCCCTCCCGGCCCACTCCCCTGTCCCCGGGCTTCAACGTTGCGAACAAGGCCATCCCTTCTTTTTCGTCCACCGACCTCCAGCAAGAGTGGGGTGAGATGACAAAGTTTGGTGGGAGGAGTAACAACAATCCAGAGATCTGCTGGTCTCTGGTCCCCTCTACCCTTTCTTCCTTCGACTGATTACCCTGGTAGACTCTCGTGTTCGACTTGCCACTGGCCTCCTCGGATGAAATCCCAATTGCCAGCCTCCGTATAAAGCTTCCATCTGAGAAAAAACGAGCGCCACCGGCCAGTCCGAATATCAGACAAAAACAACCGAGAGAGGCATGTGGGTGCTGGAGGGTCGAGTGGGAAACAACCACCAGAAGCGGTGCAGCATCGGGCTAGGGTCCTTGTTTTCCTCCGACCCAGACTGGCCGGACTTGTCAAACGAGACTTCTCAGTTTGGCGTGTGCATCCCCCCATGTTGTTGGTGTGGAGTTGACCCGGCCTTTGCGGTTATATCAACTGGTAACGACACGCGCCAGCACATCAAGATGGGTCACACTTTGAGCCGCATCTCCCAGTGGACATGCGTCTGACGACCCCTTCCCACATCTCCGTTTGAGCTCTCGGTCGCTTTCTTGTTGCATTTGTATGATTCTGGGCATTTTTGCCATCCACTGCCCCGCATTCCCCTTCCCGTCACCGCAATAAAGCGCACTTCTCTCGCCGGTGGTGACCCATGGCTTTCCGTCCCCTCCTGCGTCGTCGCCTTGGATACGTAGCATATCAGCCTTAACATCTTCAATCTCCCAGCTCACACCACCCTCCCACCCGTGAGACAAGCTTTCACCTCCGACGTTGCCCTACTTACCCCCGTGGGTTTTCCATGCCGCATCACTCCTAGGTTAGGCTCGACTGCGTCACATCACACCGAGTCTCGGCTCCCGGCCCGCTGTCCATCTGCGTTTTCCATCCACCTTTTTTTTTTATTCTCCCTCGCGCCACCGGTGCCACAGATTTCTCAACTACACAACACATACCGGGCTCACCGAGAACCAATTGACACAATGGGCGGTTTCTACATGCAGTATCTCGAAAGTAAGTTATACATCGGGCGCCTGGAGGATTTGCTCGCTTGTCCATGGCGTCGTGGCCAACCCGGGATCACACGTCATTTTTGTGATGGTGGGGTGCTTTTTTCGAGCAGGAGGGCATCCCCACGTGGTCAACCCCCCACACATCTCTACACTGCCCCTGACCTCGCACCCATGGCTACTACCGCATCTCAGCCCCGTCGACTTTCGATTTGCTGGCCCCTGTCCCTCCAATGTGTCCCGTAGGGCTGAGGACGATCATGTTGGGCTGTCATGCAGATTGCTTCACGTCACCCGAGTTTCCGCACCCCTCCTCGTTTGCCTTCCCGCAAGGGGGTATGCCCAGCAGGGTAATGGACGAGCACAAGGGCTAACCGGGATGTCTTACAGGCCTCTGCCGGCGGCGTGGGTGGCATGACCCCACGTATGAATGCTACCGCGATGCCAATGGCTACACGTGCCTCGTCCTGGTGAATGGGCGGGAGTACCAAACTGATCTGGAGTACGAGTCCAACACCCTGGCGCAGGAGAATGCGGCCATGCGTGCCTTTATGGTTTGCCGGAACTTCTCGGTCAATGGCGGCATGCTTGCCCGCAACGGGATCGTCCAGGGCCTGCCGGCGGACGAGGCTGGCCGCAAGCCCAAGAAGAGCAGCCGCCACACAAGCACCTCCAATCACGGACACAGGAGCAGATCCAGCCACCACTCAAGCAGCAGCTCGACTACCTCGCTAGAGTGAGGCTGAGAAAGAGCCGCAATCCTTCCGTGTGGCCAGGACTCGAGCCGGGTTGGGATTCGTTGGATCTCGGTATCCCGCGCTCCCGCCCCAGATTTGGATCCCAAGCCCAATCAGCGAAGAGCAGGAGCTCAAGCCATTGTTCAGAACCGGATCGTTTCTTTTGCTATAAAATTCGGAGAGGCTTCACAGCGACACGGCGACGCCACGAGACGAGAGGAGAGAGAGCGCGAGAGACAAGCCGTGGATTATACCCCATTGATGGCCCCCCAACTGTTTCCCAGGACCGGGAATTTTGGACCTTAAGACTGGCATGAGGATATGAACCTTTTTTATTCCTTATTTGCCAGAGAGAGCGTTTTTTATTTTCTACATTCTCACGACATGATTGACGACCCATTACGACGACGCCATTTAGACAACGTTCGGCATTTTGACGAGTATTTCGACCAGACGGACCACAGACAATCATGGCCCTCGCCTGGCTTTGGAACCATGGTTGGTCTGTGGCCCATTTTCTTCTTTTCTATTCACTATTTCTATCTTGCGAAAGACTTCGATTGCCCGGGCTTTTTTTCACTTCCACTTCACATCCATGGAACTCGCTGGGTTTCACAGAACCAGCCAGATATGAGGGCGGGGATCTCCCCAAAATCCGACTTGAAAGTCCCAGAGGCAACTCTGGTTTTGGCCCGTTGGCAAAGGATGATGGACTGAGAGGCAGGTTGGAGCCACTTTGGCACTGGAATAGTAGCCACACCGTGGAATAGCGAGGACCACTCCACATCCGCTGATGTTGTTAACGACGGGGGAGCGCTTTTCTACGTTTTTTGTTGGCGCTTTATGCCGCATTCCAGAGGGGAAGGGGGGGGGGGTGTTGTTGGGAGGAGGGCTCCTCAGCGTTCGCGCAGGGAGCGAAGAAAAAGGGCCGGGAGGCGGACCTTGGTTTCGTTGTCCATTCCCAACAGGGAGGGGAGGGTCTTACGAATGACGAATGACGACACGACGACTATGATGACGATTACATCCCACAGAGGCAGCAGTGGCTTTCAAAATACATGGGAAGAGGCGTACTTCGTGCCATGATCTTCATTTCTGGGCTCGCCTTGCGGTTGTTCATTGTGAGGGCAACTATGGCTGTGATCACTATGTTTTTGCAGGCGCCCCAAACTACTCGTCAGAAGAACGGCCATCTCATTTAGGTGCCAGATATTGAATGTGGTAAGCAAGCTTACTCAAGAAGCGCACGTGTTGTGGGTGCATTGCACCAACACGCAGTTACACCACTGCACTTTAATCTAGACCGCACCCTGCCTATCAACAGATCCCGTGGATACATATTAACGGGAGACTCGAGTGTATGTACCTATTGCAGGGACATACATGTACAGCAGTACCTCCCTCGTCCTGCGATTCACCTTGTCATGGGGTTGGAGCGTGCAGCGAGCTTGGGGTGGTGGTGGTGTGGTGGTGGGTGTAACGGTCCCACGACTTGACCCCTCCATCGCCTAGTCGTCCCGAACCGCTGGGCCCGGTTCCGAAGCGTTGGTTGGCCGGCGAGTTGTTGTTTGCCCCGTGTTCAATCAGTTGGCGGTGTCCCGTGTTGGCGGCATGCCAACGGTTGCGGTCCGAGACCGGTCCGGCTCCGGCGAGGCTCACCGTCTTCCCGATGCGGTCCGTTCCATCATCAAATCCAACCCCGGATTTTGAGATCTTGTGCGGCCCTTGAACGGTGGCCGGGAATGGGAGATTCGTCGACGGTTGGCCCGGCCCGACACGGCACCACACCGACGATTCCGGAGGAATAATTTTTCCTGTTTCATGTTTGGTAAAGTGAGACCTGGCTTTCCCGTGCTGGAGTACGAGGTCGTGATCGTGTCTCAAACCGAGTCCATCGTGTCCCACCAGGCCGCGTCATCCGGGGTTCGGATTCGCAAACTCTGGCGATGATACAAGACAATGATTGACAGATCTGTCTTTTTTGAAGACTTGGTCTTTTGAAGATCTGTCAACGTGGTCGAAACAATGCATTATTTCAGCTCATCTCGTGTTGGAGTTCAATTCCGAAAACGGAAGGCAATGCCCGTCTGGACCCTCGTTGAAAGTCATGGGCACTTTCCGGAACCGCCCGAATCACTCGTACCCATGGAGACATGGGGAGGGGAGCATGGCGAGAATTCGCGCTCCTGTTGGGGGTAACTAAGCTTTTTCATCAACAAGCTTTTGAGGTTTCGCAAAGCTGCCTCGGGCGAAGACATGGACGGCTTGCGCAGACATGGATGGCATTGGGCAGCCCCTGATCTTTTTACCCCTGAACTTGGTAAGAGAGTAACACAGTAAAGTTGGGGTCCACTGAAGGAACTGGTTCTGGGTGCAGCTGGTTGCGATCCAATCTCGCCATGGGAGATGATCATGCGCTGATTGGCCGTGCATTGGGCATGTGGCCCGGGGAATGGTTCCCCTCCTGCCCAAGCAACACTGTGAAGCCCAAGCCCATCACCCACTACTGCTGCGACACGACCAGAAAAGGGTAACCCTTTAATCCTTTCGCGTTTTGTTGGCCTCCCTTGCACTTCTTGCCACCTTTCTCAAAACTCCACGAGCTCGTGATCGCATCTCCCATTGTTCTTTTTACCACAGGCCGTAACTACCTTTCTTACGCCATTCTCGACAAACCCTCAAGGCCGCCCGCCGCTACTTAAACCCCGCTTGTCTACGCTTCTCCATTCTTACTCTCGTTGATTCCACCTTTGCCCAATTCGTTCATTCCCCGCTAGAAAACATGAAGGGTATGCTATAACCAAATAGTCATCTTGCACAGCAGAGCAGAAAGGCTGATATTTCTCGCTATGTAGCTTTAATTCTTGTCGGCGGCTTCGGCACGCGTCTCCGCCCTCTTGTACGTCCGATGATCTGACAACCACGACTTCCCCCGCACCGATCACCACTCTCGACAGTGGTTAGCCTTGGCGAGGCGACATGGCTAACGCTGGCCTCACAGACTTTGACCCTGCCGAAACCCCTCGTCGAGTTCGGTAACAAGCGCATGATCCTGCACCAAATCGAGGCGCTCGCTGCCGCTGGTGTTACCGACATTGTCTTGGCCGTGAACTACCGCCCTGAGATTATGGAGAAATACCTGGCCGAGGTTAGTTGCTCTGGCAGACACGCGGATCAGGGGAGAAGGGCAACGAAGCTGACACCAGCTCCCACCAATAGTACGAGGAGCAGTTTGGCATCAACATTACCATCTCGATTGAGAGCGAACCCCTTGGCACAGCCGGCCCCCTAAAGCTCGCCGAGGCGGTCCTGAGCAAAGACGACACTCCGTTCTTTGTGCTCAACTCAGATATTACCTGCGAATACCCGTTCAAGGAGCTTGCCGCATTCCACAAGTCGCACGGCGACGAGGGCACCATTGTCGTGACCAAGGTGGAGGAGCCGTCAAAGTACGGTGTCATTGTCCACAAGCCCAGCCACCCCTCGCGTATCGACCGCTTCGTCGAGAAGCCTGTCGAGTTCGTCGGCAACCGTATCAATGCCGGCATCTACATCTTCAATACCTCGGTGTTGGACCGCATCGAGCTGCGGCCCACCTCAATCGAGCAAGAGACATTCCCGGCCATGGCCGCAGACGGCCAACTGCACTCCTTTGATCTGGAGGGCTTCTGGATGGACGTTGGCCAGCCCAAGGACTTCTTGACTGGCACCTGCCTCTACCTCTCTTCCCTCACCAAGAAGGGCTCCAAGCTTCTGGCGTCGTCCAGCGAGCCGTACGTGCACGGCGGCAATGTCCTGATCGACCCCTCTGCCAAGATCGGGAAGAACTGCAGGATAGGGCCGAACGTGACGATCGGCCCCGACGTCGTGGTGGGCGACGGCGTTCGATTGCAGCGTTGCGTGCTGATGGCTGGCTCCAAGGTCAAGGACCACGCCTGGATCAAGAGCACCATCGTCGGCTGGAACAGCTCGGTGGGCAGGTGGGCTCGTCTCGAGAACGTGACAGTCCTAGGCGACGACGTTACCATCGGCGACGAGATCTACGTCAACGGCGGCAGCGTACTGCCGCACAAGACCATCAAGGCCAACGTCGACGTGCCCGCCATCATCATGTAAGCCGAGTGACGAGCGGCTTACAGAACTGGCCTCGGCCTTCCCATCTCACCTTCATCTTTTTTTTCATAATTCGAGATACATTACGCCTTTTAAATCGTCTTCTACAAAACCCCCCCTAACCTTAATACCGAGACGGAGACGGGGATGCGGCGTTTCAAAGGGCCGCTATCGTTTTCTATCGGAAACAAAAAGTTGTCTTGCCGGGCTTCCAACGCTTCCGCATACCAACACGCACTTCCTGGCTGGCCTGGCGTCTAGATTTTACAATCGTGTCCGTTCTTTTTGATGCGAAGGCTGTGACCAACCATCTCTCGACTATGCAAGCAGCTGAGAGATCAAGGTCACAGCCAGAAAAAAGACTTGGAGACGGGAAGATATATATGCATTCTAGGGTGCATCATGGCGTAGAGCGGGTCATGGGTCAACGAGGGCTAATGGGTACCTGTACTGCACTGCAGCATCAAACATGGGAGACGGGGTTGGGAAAATCTGGCGCGGGTTGGGTTGTTGGGCGGCATTCCGGATTCCACATTCGATAGATGGGAAAAGACCTCCCTATCACTGTGCAATAAAAACGTCACTGATGAGCCACTCTTGCTTGCTTCCCGGGCCAAACAGGTTCACGTTCATCATGCGTGGTGGAGAGAAGGAGGAGGCTGAAACACTCCACCAGCTCCGCTACCTTAGTCAGGTTGCTCTTTTCGAGCCACAATGTCGTGCATACCGCCGCCTCGTTGGGGAAACATGGGAAGCAGATCACCTCGGTGACGTTTGCTGTGATGGGTTGTTGGGCCATGCAATCAAACCCTAGTAGCCTAGCCCACACTTTTCGCAGTAAAAACGTAGTATTCCAAGAGAGACACCGTTGCGTGTCCTGTGGAACCTTGCCCGCTCACTGACCGGGTACCTGGGCCTAGTCGCAACTACATACATCTTTGACAAACAAGACAGACCACATGAGAGCTATTGTGGGGGGTGGGGAGGGGGCGAAATCTGTGTAGGTATGACGAGCTTCCTCGGGGCGGTTGAAGACGTGACGGGCATGAAAGTGGCGATAGAGGTCGCCGATGGGGAGAGAGGGGGCAACTGCTGGATCTCTTTTTCCTCTGCTGTGTAGGCAGGTATGGCAGTGCCGGGATTGCGTTAAGATATCTGTCTCGTTTACGTCTGTGGTAAGATGAGAAGCTTTGTTTGCCCCTGGCACGGAGGCGCCGAGGAGACGGGCGGAGAAGGAGGGACGGGATCGGGATCGGGATCGGGTTCAGGGTCACTTCACCTCCGATAATACAACCCTTTTGACGTCTGACCCTGGATCGTACTCGTGTGGGATGGAACAAGCCGCGTGTGGAATGGTGGTTTTGTCTGGAGTAGAAGCTCCGGGCTGGGGCCACATATGTTTGCGATATTTCTCTGATGAATCCTTGTTGGGCCTGGAAACAAAAGGGCAAACATCCATGACAGGTCGACGTCATCCCGGAGCCAGTTGCGGGAGCGCCCGGTTGTTTTGGGATCGCCAGAGTACCTGCTCTGTCTACACTATATGTCGACACCCCCGAAGATCGTAGGTGGAAACATTAGCGTCATAGGGTGGCGCCGTAGGGCTGCCATGTCAACCATGTGCCGATGCAAGTACTTGCTGATGGCAATGATTGTTGTTGACGAGCTGGGTTGTCTGACACAGTATCCCTGCTCATACGAATCAAGGGAAAACAACCCGGTTCTGCACTGTTAGCAACATGGCGGAAATAGGACAAGAAGCTCCGATGGTTGGGGGCGACTTGAAAAGTAAACAGTGGCCATGGCTTACCCCTGAGTAATGTATGAATCGGGGATGTGGAGAGCATCGTCCTAACAAGTCGCCTCCAAGGGGAAAGGGGCAAGAAACTCGAGAAACTCCAGATGAAGATACATGAAATGCTCTCCTCCGGATACTGCACGCCCGATATGTTGTCTCCCACGACGTGATCAAACACAAAAGATCAAAACCTTAGATAAATCCATCCAAACAGTTGAATGGCCCCTAAACAAAGGTTTAGATGGTAGTGTTTTCAGCAGTCCATTATGGTATTATAGTACTATACAATTCCCAACGCTTCACCCGCTAAATTGCTGTGGTGTAAATTCAAGCGGTGATGACCACGGTATCAAAACACGCCCGCCAGGGTAGCCAACGCCAATTCAAACAATAACCAGCCCAAACCCATGCCCAACCCGCTAAATCCATCATGATCATAAAAAATAACCAAAAAGTACCCAGGACCTCGACAGGCCCTTTTTAATCCTCTTGGACCCACCCTTTGCTCATCTCGACGGCCTTCTCCCACCTCTTGAACATTTTTTCCGCTTGGGCCTTCTCCATTTGCGGTTGGAAGACCTTGCGCCCATTCTGGTTGACCTCCTTGAGATCTTCCAATGTCCGCCACACACCGGTGGCAAGGCCTGCGGCGATAGCGGCACCAAGAGCGGTCGTTTCGCGCATGGCAGGGCGATCGACGGGAATACCGGTAACGTCGGCTTGGGTCTGCATGCACAAGTCTGAATTGGAGAGGCCGCCGTCGACAGCAAGTGACTCAAGTTTGTGCTGCGAATCCTTTTCCATTGCGTCGAGGATGGCGCGGGTCTGGTAGCAGGTTGCTTCAAGAGTCGCACGGGCGATGTGGCCTTTGGTGGTGTGATGGGTGATACCAACTGCGGAGGCGTTAGAATGAAACTTAAAAAGGAGGGGGGTGGGCGGTTCCTTACATAGCGTTCCCTTGGCGTCGTCAATCCAGTACGGAGCAAAAAGTCCGCTAAAGGCAGTGACGAAGACGACGCCGCCGTTGTCAGGGACTGATTCTGCCAGCGAGGTGATCTCGCTCGAGTCGTCGACAAAGCCGAGGTTGTTCATGAGGAACTTGACACCGGAGCCGGCGACGGCGATGCTACCCTCGAGAGCGTATACAGGCTTCTTGCCACCGCCAAAATCGTAGGCTACAGTGGCGAGGAGCCCGTACTTGGAGATGACGGGCTCGGTGCCGACGTTGTACAAGAGGAAGCACCCGGTACCATATGTGTTCTTGGCTTGCCCCGGGCTGAAACCGCACTGGCCGACCAGGGCGCTGGACTGGTCACCCAAACACCCGGCAATGGGCACATTGACTAATGGGCCGCTGGCGATCTTGCCAAAACACTCTGGGTCGGACGATGGGACGATCTTGGGTAATTGGACCTTGGACTTGTCGATACCAAAGAAGCCCAGGAGCTTGTCGTCGTACTGCAGGGTGCGGAGGTTGACAAACATGGTTCTGCTGGCGTTGGTGCTGTCGGTGACGTGGACAACCTTTTCGGCTTTTGCGCCGCCGTTGAGTTTGTAGATGAGCCAGGAGTCGACGGTGCCAAAGGCAAGACGGCCTTCTTCGTACGCTTGCTTGACGGAGTCGACATTCTGGAGGAGCCAAAGCAGCTTGACACTGCTAGGATACGTTGAAAGGGGGAGACCGCAGAGGTCCAACAGTTCCTCCGACCCATCGCGCGACTTCAATTCGCGCACAAGAGCACTCGTCCGAGTGTCGGGCCAAACAATGGCATTGTGCAGGGGCTCGCCGGTGTGCTTGTCCCACACTACTGTCGTTTCGCGCTGATTGGTGATGCCAATTGAGCGAATGTCTGACTTGGAGTAGCCAAGGTCGACAAACTTGCGCAGAGCCTCTTCAATACATTCTTCGACTGAGCTGACAAGTTCTTGCGGGTCATGCTCGTGCCATACTGGATGGTTATAACGTCTGTTAGCCCCGTTGATGTGCCAGGATGTGCAGCAGCTCCGCAGTTTTAAGGTGGAGAGAATGCGGGGCGGGGGAGTAGGAGCCGGGTGCAAACATACCCTGACTTTGGATACAGGGTTCTTAAACATCTATTTGGTGGACTCGCAAACAGGATCGCCCTCGCCGTTAAAGATAAGGAAACGCGACGATGTGGTGCCTTGGTCGATGCTGCCGACGAACCAGTGCTGCTTTCTCTTCCTCCTCCGTTTCGATGATACCCTGGGGGAGATGGGATCTCGTGGTGTGGGTGGAAGTTGGCGGCGTCGTCGCGGGAGTGTCCTAGGGTGTGGCGGCAGTGGGCTTCATCAATAGACCGTCTAGGTTGAAGGCTGGTGGCCGCCATTGACGAGCACATCTTCAAACCGTGCGGTTATTGAGTTCTCGGACATGTACCATGGTGTTTATGGTGTTGTGTTCCCTTGGAATTGGTAGTTGTGAGTGTGGGCTATTGGTTGGTGGCTCATTTGGACTGGAAAGTGCGACGGTGTGGTGGTTGTTGTTGGTTTTGGATCCGGGTCGAGATAATGGGTGGTTGCAACCGCGGACGGCGTAGCTCTGATAAAGAATGCCAGCGCGGGGCTTTAGGAGGGTCAGAATCGGGAAGGATGACAGAGGAGGGGGGTACGTCATCCAAGGCGTGGCCCTAGCTATTCGTACAGCGATCGTGGTGTGTCAGCCGGGAGAAGGCGAAGGCGACCTTCGATCTGTTGCAACTCCCCCAAAAACTTCTCCGCTGTGATGCTACAAGTGGCGATGCAGCGTTCCAAGGGGCACTCGTTCCAGTTAAGATAGCTCGAGGGGCGGGTACCCCTCTCAGCGGTAGCGCGCACATATCAGCGGCGGCGTGCTTTTTAAGTCAAAAAGCCGGTACGGCGTGTCGTTTAGTTAGGGGGGTGCTGTCGCACAGCGTGCCTTCCGGCTCAATTTTTCTTTGTTGGCTGAAAGAGGCGCTTTCGTGGTTGCATTCTGCAGACAGGGTAGCTTGGACCGAGGTCTCGTCCATTGGTGGGTTTTTTGCGGGGAGACAGCCTTCTCGTGGGGGTGTTTGCTTTTGATCACGGGAAGTAAAAGCCACCGAGTCCCACTGCCATGGAACCCCGCAAACGACCCCGCCAGCATGCTCCGCTCGAGGGATCTCGAACGTCGACCGCGACTCGAGCGAGCATGGCATTTCTGATCGTCGCTCTGCACCCACAGCAGGATTTTGTTACAACGTCATGAAGAGTCAGCCGGGACCAAAGCTCCGACTGACGTCTTTTCGATCAAGGCAAATTATCTTGTTCTCTGCGAGTGATGTCGCTTCCCCACCGAATTTATCTTGATCAGTATAATCCAGGGGTCAAATGCGATCCCCGATGCAGCCCCTCTGCCCCTCTTCAACCACAGACGATACCCCTGACCAGCGAGGACCCAATAAGTTTTGGATGCGACGATGGACTGCACGTAAAAAGCACATCTGGGTCCCAAATTTGTCTAGACCCCGCCGATCTCATTGCACAGCCGACAACGCACTCCTTCGCCGGTCACTTGACGAGAGAAGTGTGAACTCGGTGCTTCTAGGCAAATTTGCAATCACCATGAGGGCTGGCCAGAACTCGGGATTTTCTAGGTTCATCCACGTAGATGGGGTCCTTCTTATCGGGAGCGGCTCGCCCGAACCCGCGGCGTCAGGGTCATGCCTTGGGGGAAAAGGTTTAAAGCGGGAACGAGTCAGGTCCCCAGCCTAGAACTCGACTTCTGTCCACCGAGATCCTCTTGTCTCAGTCCCACGATTCAGAAACCGGCGGTCTGGACAGACATACGGGGCCAACTCGCTGTCCAAGTGTCTCGTGACTTACAAAAACCAACACAGAACTATCGCAGACCGAGCGATCCGCCGAAGATAAGGGCAACGGCGAAAAAAGGAGGTCGCATGCGGCGGGGAACAACCCCTGGCTAGACACGTGGGAATGGGGGAGTAAGTCTAACATGTGGAGAGACTTCGTCGACATGGAACGGTTTGTTCGTTTGAGGATATCCGAGGATAATACATTACGTGTAGAAAATATATGGCGTAAGACAGAAGAATCATACCCCCGAAAGTATAGTTAAGTGAAAGCTTGTATTTTGTCTTCTTTTCCTTTTAATCATAGGCATTCAACAACGTTGAATTATTAGGTCCTTCGAAGTTGAGACGACTCACATATGATTCGAAGTTTCCACTAGGGCAGCAGCCTGTAGATCGAGGCAAACCAAGCAACGGAAGGTCGCAAAGGAAGCAAACAATATCGCGTAGAAGATGATAGATCTACAGATCATCACTCTTGCATCGTAGGTAATTTGTGTGTCGAGGGACTTCCTTTAGCAGCTTGAAGCCCTCTCAAAGTGACATTCGGGCTCAGCACCTATCTCGGCCGACAATCATTTCCATGTGAATAAACAGACATTTTCATTTCAAAACTAAGAAAATCGTATTTCACCTGAATGTAAATGCGCGCTTGATTCGGGGTTCAAAACCAAAGTCGCGGTGTCGGAAATTGGACGTCTTGCGCGATTCTGCCATACCAACGCAAGTTTCCACCAATCCCTCTCAACAATACGAATCTAGCCTGCCCGGCTAGCTCAATCGGTAGAGCGTGAGACTCTTAGGGTTCGGGTTATCCACTCAAAGGTTCACAATCTCAAGGTTGTGGGTTCGACCCCCACGTCGGGCTCAATTCCCGGCAACTTCGATTGCCTCTCTTTTTGCTTTTTTTTGCGAGTGTGCTTGTCATGTTTTATTTGGGAAGGCTGGCAGTTCGGTGTTCTTTCGGGGATGCATTGGCAATTGCGACTCTTGTTGTGCCTCCCACTATGAAGGCCGTCCTTCCGTCACCAGCAGCATCCCGGATGAGAGTGGTGTGATGAGAGAGATATTTTGTTTATTCCTCGTCCGATCTAAAATGGGGCCATATGTGTAACTCCAGGGAGGACTCCGCCCCCTCCTGATAAGTATGCACTCGGCCTACTTTTTGCAGCAACCGGTAAGTAACTCCTCAAACCGACAACATACCAAAGCTATGATATATCCTCCATACGTCCCAGGGGCCCAGCCCGTCCCAAATCGGAGGAAGTTAGCACCCCAAGCAACCCAACCCAGCCAACCCATCATCAAGATCATCATCGCCGTCGCCATATGCATGCTCGCTTCGCCGCCGCTGAGTGTTATATAACCGAACAATGCTCGTCCACGCAGGAAAACAGAGAGGAGAGCCAAACCCAGAGCTACCGAACGGAGCAACCGAGCGAAAAAAAAGAATAAACTCCCGAAATGCAAACGAACGCCATGCCCCCAAGATAGAGTTAACGCGCTCACTCACGCATTCAAGTCCCCAAGATCCCTTGTCGCCCCCTCACCTCAACCAAGCTCCATCCTCCCACCCATCCGCCCGCCATTCATCCATCCATCCATCTATCCCCTACGGCCCCGGCATCGACATCGATATCGTCGTCGCCATAGACGCAGCAGTTCCCCTCCTAACTAACGGCTGCGAGAAGGCGCTCCCGGTGCCCGTGGTGCCGGCGGTCCCGCTGCGGTTGAGAGTGGGGCTGCGGTTGCCGCTGCGGCTGGGAATGGCGCGTCCCGTGCGGCGCTCCTCTTCGCAGTTGGGGCAAGGCCCCGGGGTGTCGTAGACGTCGCACAGGTGACGGAACCACGGGTACAGCTGCTGGGCCTCGGGCCGCCGCGCCTGCGCCTCGTCCATCATGCGCCGGATGTACGGCAGCGTGGCGAGGACGGCTTTGACGGAGGGTTCACGGGAGGGGTCTGAGGCGATGAGGTCGCGGGAGAGGATGGTGAGGGTGGTGAGGTAGTTGTCGAGGTTGTGCAGGGTTTCCGAGTATTTGAACTCGGCGCTTCCAGAGATGGAGTTTCCGTCACCGCCGTTGCTGCTGCTGCCGCTGTTGTTGTTGATGGAAAGTTGCTCTTCAGCGAACTTGGCGGGTTGGCCGAGGAGGACAGTGGCCATCTCGAGGAAGACGCAGCCCAACGAGAAAATGTCGGAGCGCTCGTTCCGCCCATACTCGTGCATGGCCTCCGGATCGGCGTATTTCAGCGTCTTCGGGGTCGGACCTTCGGAAAACTGGCCCGTTTCGAAGTGCCTCGATAGACCGAAGTCTGTCAGCACGGGCAGACCAAAGTCGTCGATGACGATGTTGTCCGGCTTGATGTCCTTGTGGCGGATCTGCACGCTCCGCCGGTGGAGGTAGGCTACGGCCTGGGCAAGACAGCCAAAGAATGTATGGAGATGGGGCAGGATCCAGTCAGCCTCCTTGGGGCTCTGGATAACCTCGTCCATGAAGGTGTGCAGGTTGCATTGCGCAGGCGGGTACATGGCGATGCCGAGAATGTGCTTCTTGATCCGCTGGTTCGCGCTGATTAAGATGCCGTGGCTCTTGCCTCGCGGCCGTCGCTTGATCTCTCGAGTCTGAATACAGTAATCCTCGAACGATGCCACGTATGCGACGATGTGCGGGTGCCGTAGCGAGGACATGGTGCGGACCTCCTTGAGTGCATCGCTGCGTGCCTTGCTGTCTGGCCCCGGCGGCCGCGAGTTCTCCTTGCAGACTATCACCTTGAGGGCAAGAGGCCGGCGATAGGCATAGCCCTCCGGGGAGGTGACCCGGTACACGATGGTCGAGCCCGAATCACCGAGTTCCGGGCCCTGTTGAACAAAGGGGCTGGGAGGTTTGAGGTATTCTTTATTGGCGTGGTGAAATACCTTGTGTTTCTTGGAGTCGAGGAAGGCTGCCTTGACAGGAGCCAGCCAGGCGTCCGACACCTCCCGGTTTGCATCGTCCCATGTGAAGTGATGGTCATCCTGAATGCTGAGGAAGTCACTCAGCGGGATCGGTTGCGTCTGGGACGACTGGCTGCCGTTCGACTCGAACGACATTAGGGACCTGGAGGGTGAAAGAAGTGGGATGTGTGAGACAAGGGTGAGCTTGGCCAAGTAGCCAAGCAGATTTGAGAGGGGAAGCCTTGTTGTGGAGCGGTGCCAGCCCGAGTCCGAAGTTCGAATCAATGGCAGTGCAGCAGCTCAAAACCAGGGGTAGAGCAGAATGTGACACAGCAGCGCAGCCGGAAGAAAAGACCAGGGTTTCCGGGAAGAAGACAAGGGGCGAGGGTGTGCAGAGGTGAAGAAAAAGAAAGAGGATAAGTCAAGAGAGCCTCAAGAAGACGAGGCTGAATGAGTGTCTGGATTGTGCCGAGAGCCTTCGCATAGCTGGCTTTTGGGGGAGTCGCCCTACTGTGCGGCGGTAGGTCGGTTTGGATCGCCCCGGAATATGGAGTGTGATTCGATGACGGTGCCAGGCCGCGCAGCGAGCAGGCGCCTGCCAACACAGACCCCAATTGGCGGCGCCCGGTACTGGCAGTAGGAGAGTTGGCTGTCGAATTCTTGAGCGGCCGAATGGGCGTAGAACGGCCGTGTCCCGGAAATGCGGTGATCGGTGAAACAGTCCAAGGCTTGCCGAGTGGTGCTTACTAGCTTCCAAGGCTGATCCAAGCTGGTCCATGGGAGACCGAATCCGATTTGAACCTGAATTCCCAGCCGATGTCCAAGAAATGCACCATAGGCTTGCATTTGTGTCACCCTTTTTCAAAAGAGGATAGAGGAATTGAGGGTACGGCCCCGCAACCCGGGATGCAAAGTCGCGGCGCAGTGGTGCCTGATGGGGTGGGTCGGTTCGGGCCGGGAGTTGTCACTTTTGGCGGCAGGAGCTACCCGGGGTAGAGGTTAGGGGTTGGAGGAAACAGTGTAAGTCATCTTGACAAACACTAATCTTGAAACTGTCATTATGTGGTTAATAGATGCGTACTTCGTAGGCGAATTCGTTATGTATTGTTTCTTTTCTTAGAACCAACTCAACAACAACTAAACGTTACGCTGTCACCACCAAGCAACACAACCACCGATTAATCACACTTTGATCCAACATCTGTCCTCACTCGCCCTGAACCACCTCAACCGACGAAAGGAAGGAGCGACGAAAACCACAATCAGACTCTGACCGAATATCGGACTCAAAAGAACGCGTCGAATTCCGAAATATGAGTCAGAGTTGCTCATGTGCTCACAGTGTAAATAGAGCCGGAGCGAAAAGAGGCCAGAATTTACATTTCTAGCAGCTGCTACCACGAGAGCTCTTGCCTATTTAGAAACTCGGGGCGGTTGAGAGCATGACTGTTTATTGGAGAATATTGAAGGCTCTCCGAATTTTTCCGGGGTTGGTTGCGAGATCTAACGGAGTTTTGATGTAGAAGTTCATTGTGACTTCCCAACCTTCAGCCATGAGATGTCAGGGGGGAGGGGTCCCAACATATGGTCTCGCTGAGTTATGTATGTATTCAAACTAATATATACTAAAAGAAGAAAGTAGGTAAGCGGCAAACCAATCTATCCCCAAGTCCATTCCATCTCTGCATTCTCCAACAGCATTACCTCTTGTATCCAAGCCGACCAACCCATCCAACCCGCAAAAGACAACCAACCTCTCAGAGCCCGCCCAAAGCTACCACCCAATTTGTCAGCATCTCAGAAACAACACACATAGAGCCTCACAAGCAAACAGCAACTCACCCGCCGAATAACACAAATACCACGTCAAACTAGCCCCCCCATCCAACCACGCCGGATCAAACCCCTCCCCCGCAAAGAAGGCATACGCGCCCCTGGGATCGACGGTCGCATAATTCCCCCAGACGACGCCCTTCCAGCCGCCGGTGATTGCCCCTTCGCGCCCTCCACTAAAGTACGTGTCCCACTCCTCGCGGACAAAGGCCGGGGTGCGGATGAGCGGGGTGTGGGGCAGCAGCGGCAGCATGTGGATGCCCTGGATGTCCTCGGTGCGGTTGCCGAAGTAGGTACGTGTGGTCGATCTTGTTCTCGAACAGGATGCCGGCGACCTGATTGCCGATGAAGGTGGCGGGCTGCACGGTGTTGGATGAGGTGTAGAGATAGTACGCCTGCATCGAGCGTGCTTGGATGGAGAGCATGAGGTTGCCGCTGTGGGGGGTTGGGGAAGGGGGTTAGTGGTGGTGGTGGTGGTGGTGGTGGTGGAGGGGATAGGGCTAAAAGTGATGAAAGGGGGTGGGGGAAAAGGGTATGGGTATGGGGAGGACGTACCGGGCTTCCAAGTTCTTGTCGCCCGTAATGGAACCCCACATCTTCAAGGCGTAGGCGTGCATGGTGTCCTCCGAGCTGGATTCTTGGTCGTTGCCGTCGAGCGTGTCGGAGAGTCCGTGGGCCCAGCTGTGGCCGTGGAACCAGTCAAAGCACCGCCAGAGGGGGAAGTACTGGTCCTGCGTGCTAGGGTTGGCGATGTCGCGGACGAGCATGTTGACGTAAGCCTTGTTGTCGTTGATCCACGAGGGGTCGAGGTGGCCGATGACGGCCGCGGTGTAGATGAAGTAACCCCAGTGAAAGTGGTGGTCGTTGTACATGGTGTTGCCCAAAGTCGACATAGGGGTCGCCCGTCACGTACGTGGCGGACGAGACCACGCCTCCCCAACCACCTGGCCGTGTCAGAGAGGGGAAACCGCCAATTGTTGATGAAGGATCAAGTACTCACTCTCATACACAAGGGGGTACTTCTGGGCGTTCTGCGCAAAACGAGAGAATGCCACCTTCAGCTGCGTCAACCCGGCTTGTGCCAGCCCCTGATCTCCTAGCAACTCCTGAATCGAAAGTATGAGACTAGCAAACTTGGCGAGTGCCTGCAACTGTCAGTCCCAGTTTTCACCGGTACGGCGCTCGTCTTACCTTTCCGCTGAAATACATGGAATTTTCGTCCAGCTGCTGAATAATATTCTGCGAGACCTCCTGCTGGGCGATGTTGTGGATGACTTGCCTAGTGGCATTGGAGATGGCGCTGACGCTCCCGGCCTGCGGCGACCACGGTAGGAAGCCAATGTTTGTCGGCAGGTTTGACTCGCCCATGGTCCAGCTGTCAGCCAAGATGGCGGTAGCTATCCCCTTAGTCGTGGTCTGCAGCTTCAAGCCGGTCAGCTTGCCCCGAGTGGGCGTCGTCAAACGAGCTCTGGTGGTGAGGTAGCGCAAACATGGCGAGCGCCGTGTCGCTCGTGCCGGGCTTCTTGAACGAAAAGCGGTAGGTCCCCTTCGCGCCGTCCACGGAACCTGAGAGCTGGACGCCGACCGGGTAGGCGCCGCAGGCCTGGTCGTACACCTTCTCGCCATCGCCAGGGTCCTTGGCAAGTTGGATCGTTCCGTAGAACGGCCCCTTGGCTTGAGCTAGCCCGTTGTTGACCACTTCGAGATCCAGAGGGTCGCCTTGGGTGTGGCGAGCGTACACCAGCCAGGTAGCACCGTCTTCAAGTTGGAGCTTGTACTTGGTGACGCCGGGCTTGGGGTCCGCAGTCATGCGCGTGACGGTTCTGAAAAAGACGCTCGTCTGAAGCACTGGGCTTGCACCATCGTAGATGGCTGTGATGAAGCCCACGCCTTGAACCAAGGGAAACTGCACCGCGGGAGCGGCCTGGGGGGCTGGGCGCAAAGCGACTTGGATCGAAAAGTCCGTCAGCCCCTCGGAGGTGAGGACGGTGTCGCTTCCCAATTCTTTGGCGGAGAGGCACACAGAATGGATCCCAATAGGATTGATGAAGTACGACACAGCGCCCGTCACCGGGCTAGCCTGGCCGTAAACTCGCTGGTGAGCCTCGACATGAGAGACGGCCAGACCCCAACTCCCAGACGCTCCCTGGCCACGCACCCACGCAACCGAGTACGGGTGCAGGTAGGTTGGCGAAGTCTGATTTCCACGGTGGAAATTGCCGTAGAATTTGTTGGTCTCGAACGGGCCTTTTCCTTGGATTCCCAGTCTGGGCACAGGGTGGTCCTGTTCCCTGCCGATGTTCCCAGGTGGCGCATCCGTGGAAATGGGATCGACAAAGATGTCTCGGGCCGTCATTTTAACGGAGATCGACGGCGATATCTTTAAACTCACAACCACTGACACAGCTGCGAGCAGAGAGGTCGGCTTTGGAATTGGTTTCGTCAAAAGCGGCACTGACGTGACGTGTCCTACGGTGTCGAGGATGGAGGGGATGAAGCCAGTGGCGGGTGTCTTCTTGCTGGCGAGGACCTGAGCTGTGCCGGATGGACCAACACTTGTGATGACCTTGGCAGGAGATGTCAAGACCTCTAGTGACGGAGGGTCGTTCCAGTTCCGCTTTGGTCGTGGCAATGGTGTGCTGGTGCTGCGGGCGTCTCTGTAAATTGCGTTGGGAGCGTCAGGGGTCGGTTGAGGACCTGGTACCGTGACACTCTTCGTTAGAGCGGCGTGAGGAGGTGTCTGCTGCGCCAGGTAGACAGGAGAGGCGACAGATGTGGTAAACTGCAGAGCAGTTAGCAAGGCGAACAACAACCTCCATATCCACTCCATCTTGGCGACAGCGGCATATCCAAGAAACTCAGACGCAGAGTCCACCCGCAGGCGGGCCCCCGTGCTATATAACAACTGCGTGCCGTTGGGACGGACATTATATGGGTTGATTTGGCTAGTCTTCAGCCATGGCTTTGATCAATTTGTGTCGGCCTTATTCCCCCGGATATGAGATCGCCCCG